TAATGAGTATGAACAAATGATGGTATAGCTGAATATTCATAAGGCGAAATATATAATGAGTATGAACAAATGATGGTATAGCTGAAAAGTGGTTTCACCACTGAATATTCATAAGGCGAAATATATAATGAGTATGAACAAATGATGGTATAGCTGAATATTCATAAGGCGAAATATATAATGAGTATGAACAAATGATGGTATAGCTGAAAAGTGGTTTCACCACTGAATATTCATAAGGCGAAATATATAATGAGTATGAACAAATGATGGTATAGCTGAATATTCATAAGGCGAAATATATAATGAGTATGAACAAATGATGGTATAGCTGAAAAGTGGTTTCACCACTGAATATTCATAAGGCGAAATATATAATGAGTATGAACAAATGATGGTATAGCTGAATATTCATAAGGCGAAATATATAATGAGTATGAACAAATGATGGTATAGCTGAAAAGTGGTTTCACCACTGAATATTCATAAGGCGAAATATATAATGAGTATGAACAAATGATGGTATAGCTGAAAAGTGGTTTCACCACTGAATATTCATCAGGAAATCAATGAATATTCATAAGGCGAAATATATAATGAGTATGAAAAAAATGATGATATAGTTGAAAAGTGGTTTCGGACCCAAAATTCGGACCCAAAATTCGGACCCAAAATTCGGACCCAAAATTCGGACCCAAAATTCGGACCCAAAATTCGGACCCAAAATTCGGACCCAAAATTCGGACCCAAAATTCGGACCCAAAATTCGGACCCAAAATTCGGACCCAAAATTCGGACCCAAAATTCGGACCCAAAATTCGGACCCAAAATTCGGACCCAAAATTCGGACCCAAAATTCGGACCCAAAATTCGATGCATGCAGGACCTGAACCCACAACGCCTGGGTTTCCAGTCACAACTACTAACCAGTGCACTACTTGGGTCCCCCCAGTACATTTCCCTATTTTATAAACTTAGCTCTTAGGTTCCCTAAATAAATTTCAATAACAGTGCTTCCACACTTAGCCACACACAACTCTGAAACTCTCTTACAAATTCTAATATTTCAACTTCCTGTCTATTTATTTTTTTGAAAAAAAAAAAATCTACCATCCAGATTGCTCTTTCTTTTTTTTTGACAAACAAAAAAAGGCAAACAATTGTGTTTTTTTGGAGCTACAAATCAAATTGTTTGATCCAATCATAATTATTCTAATAGTGCATTGGAACTTAACAGATCATGTTTTTCAGCTGGCTACAGTTCAATTCCACACATCTCGAGAGAAGACGCATTAACAAAAACATTGTAATTACTGATGACTGATTTGATTTATTGAAATAATTATGACCGACAGAACAATTCATACACAAGAGAAAAGTAAATAATAACAGGAATAATTTGTACAGAAAACCACTGCCTTGCGATGCCATGGATAGTTAGAAAGGCAGTTTCAATAATGTTACATAGTACAGACTTCATACATTGTTAATATGTACTCTGAAATTATTCTACAGTACTATTTACAGCTTTTATACAAATGTGCATAAACACAGCATTGGTAGTTAATTTTAACGGATAATTTCAATAAAATCATTTGAAATACTTCCATGTGTAGCTATGGTTGGTCATTTTTTGGTCCATAAAATATTAATCCTTCAAAAAAGTGTAAGATTTAAACTGAAAACTGTCCCATTCATTATTGCTAATTTCCTGTTAACGTTTAAAGGCACATTTTGCTTGTTTCGCTGAACAAAAACAATATAATGTACATTATTGTTGATTCCTCTGACAAATGCACTTAGTTTCTAACATTAGGTGTTTTTCAACTAACCTCAAAACTTAAACGTCATTTTTTCATAAAAAAATCAAACATAATTTCAGTGTTATCCCAATTATAGTTTTCTTCTCTACACATTTCCCTTCGCATCTGGGAAATAAATTTACCTCTTTTTTTCCGTTCAAACCATGAAACCACAGATACTTTATAGTTACTTATAAAACTAGAGACTTATGAAATAAATAATTTTGGAATCTGTTGAAGTCTGTGGTGTTGCATAACCATCAGAATGCACATCTATCAGCCTCATTTCAACAATATGGATGACTGTATGTTACACAATGAGTGCGTTTGATTATTTTCCCCAGCTTACTCGCGCTTGGCTCGCGTGATGACAGACATGCGCAGTGGAGCTAAATAAACGAACGGTTCCGGGTTAAGTTTTGTGCAAGGAGCTGGAAAGTTGAACTTTGACATGACACTGAGGCTGCATCCGAATCAAGTGTCTAGCTCTGCGCCCACTGAAAATAGCGGCGGGGACGCACTGACAATAGACGTAGCCGTGGCTCTGGAAGCCTGTTTCGGACACGGCCTGAGGCGCCCGCCGAACGTCACGTTGGCAGCCGTGTTCATTGTATGGCCTTATGGGATACTTACCCAAGTAACTGGCTCGGTGAGTCGGTTACTTGGGCCAAGCTTGAGTAAGCACGAGAAGTCACGTGAGAGGTCAATCGAATGCTGTCGTGCTTGCACGAGTAAGCGTGGGGGAAGTAATCGAACGCACTAAAATTAAGCAAAGCTTACCTGAATAACCCTTAAGCACTGAAGAAAGATCTTTTGCTGTTAATCCCTCAACCGTTTTAAAGTACAGTATGATTTTCTCTTCAAATATGAAAAGTCTTACTTTGCAGTACTTCGAGTCTATTCCATCCCTGTGAAGCACCAGCAAGGTAGTGATGTGCACTTGGTGCAGTCCTTCTCCTGGGCCGCATAGTGCCTCTCAAGGGAGCTCTGTTCTGAGTCTCTTCCATCCCTGTGATGAAGCACCAGCAAGGTAGTGATGTATATGTACTTGATGCGGTCCTCCTCCTGAGCCGTACAGTGCTTCTCAAGAGAGCTCTGGTCTGAGTCTGTTCTAGCCGTGAGAAGCACCAGCAAGGTAGTGATGTATATGTACTTGATGCGGTCCTCCTCCTGAGCCGTACAGTGCTTCTCAAGAGAGCTCTGGTCTGAGTCTGTTCTAGCCGTGAGAAGCAGTCCTTCTCCTGGGCCGTATAGTGCTTCTCAAGGGAGCTCTGGTCTGAGTCTGTTCCATCCCTGTGAAGCACCAGCAAGGTAGTGATGTACTTGGTGCGGTCCTTCTCCTGGGCCGTACAGTGCTTCTCAAGAGAGCTCTGGTCTGAGTCTGTTCCATCCCTGTGAAGCACCAGCAAGGTAGTGATGTACTTGGTGCGGTCCTTCTCCTGGGCCGTACAGTGCTTCTCAAGAGAGCTCTGGTCTGAGTCTGTTCCATCCCTGTGAAGCATCAGCAAGGTAGTGATGTACTTGGTGCGGTCCTTCTCCTGGGCCGTACAGTGCTTCTCAAGAGAGCTCTGGTCTGAGTCTGTTCCATCCCTGTGAAGCATCAGCAAGGTAGTGATGTACTTGGTGCGGTCCTTCTCCTGGGCCGTACAGTGCTTCTCAAGAGAGCTCTGGTCTGAGTCTGTTCTAGCCGTGAGAAGCAGTCCTTCTCCTGGGCCTTATAGTGCTTCTATAGTGCTTCTCAAGAGAGCTCTCTGATGTGAAGTGAGCTGGTAGATCTGCCATCACCTGGTCAAGAAATTTGAATATTGTCAATTTGGGAAAAAATGTTTGATACTGATTGAGAGATTTACTTGTATTCATTATTAGCTATCCTGCAAATTCGAGTGGAACAAGGTTAAAAAAAAAATAGGTTAACCAGTTTGCATCGGATAACGTGTATACAAACAAAGATTTTGCGGTATTCGTAGCGGATGCCAGATGAACAAGAATGATAGCTGAGTCCTATAAATACAGATGTCAAATTGGTTCAGAGAACTCTTAGAGTTTTTAAGAATAAATTATTGTTTCACTGAAGAAGAAGTGTCTTTGCTCCCTTATTAGTCCCATCCTTGTAGATAGGATAGGATGCCTGGTTATATATCTTTGATACAAACGAATCCGGGAAATATAAATTTATAGTGACTTGGCATCATTACATCTTGCAAGGTGACAAAAGAAAGTCCTGAATAGCGCCCTCTACCCCACCTCACCCGGCCGCAGCATTACATGACAAAAACAATGAAAAAAGCCCATTGGTTTTACTTTAAACATGCCTTAGACCTTACTCCATATTTTTTATACAATTTCCTTAAAACATAAGTAGTAACTATCAAAGGTTATTAATATCACTCAATCTGAAAATAAAAAGAAAACAAAAATCCCCCACTTGCATTATTGTCCATTCAGCCATAAAAAATCGTTGCGCGTCAATTTTGATCTGTTAAGTCAATTTCTTTTTTTTCTTTAAAATTTTCTGTAGCTACAACAGTGCCCTTTAGTGCTGCACCGCCTCAAATATTTAGCACTAAGGAGCACAAGGGCACCAAGGCAAATGATAGGGCACCAAGTCAAATGATGTAAGCCCATATGAGAACTCAAACAAACAAAGCAGTACCACTTTGCTATTTTTTCCCAAGCTTGGATGGTACAGACAAAGAATATTTTTTTAAACGCATCACTAGTTTGAATACAATTTAATACCAAATTAGTGACTCTCAACAATATAGTTATGAACTCACAGTCTGTTTGTTTGATGACAGAATTTTTGTTACAACTTCCACATGGTAGTAGATTAAAAGGCGACTACAAAATACTTCAGTCTTTGTAAAAAAAAAAAAAATAGGCGACTTGATCAAAGTTACTTATTGTACAAGTGCGATTAGGCCTAAACCTTTTTTTTCCTGAATCTTTTTCTTAAAGTTGCTAAATGAAAGCTGTAAACGCGAACAACAAATCTGTTGGTGAACACACAATTGGGTGTTAATTTGAATTTGTTGTTAGGTTTTTCAAATAGACCTACAAACGCTGTGGTATAATAGCTGATTATGCTTTTTACCTCTTTACAAAAAATTGCTGATCCAAATGCGTTGCAGATAATGTTGGGATAATATTCTGGTTGTTAACAAGTTTTGTTTGGGTGGCTTGATTTGGTCGATCTTGTAGCTTGGATCATGTCCCTCGAGCCAGTACGTCAGGCTTTCACCTTTGCCCTGAAATAAAAGAAAGGAAAAAGAAAAGAGATTGATTGAAACAGATATCTCATGCTTCCTTTGAAATATGATGGACTTGAGAATTTGCAGCAGTGAAAATTGAAGGAAGGGTAGATCATTTGTCATTTGTGATTTTTTTCCCATTTGAAGCAACAAACGTGCTCAAAATCTAAAGATGGGTGCTTAACAAGTACCCCAAATGAAGTTAAAGATATGTGAATGCTGTGTTTTCAGAGGAAACAATATTCTAGGATCTCAATTTCTATTCAAAAGTTTCCGAGACACGTTTGTTCTCATTCAGCTGATTTAAGCTTTGCAATGTTGCACACTAAACCGCTGAATGAGTCATGTCAACGCGTGTGCACACCCATTCACAGATTAGTTCGATCACAAACCAACTAAATAAAAACTTCCAAAAAATGTGTCATTTGACACACTATTTAGAAATGGCCTTCTTTTATTGTGTTCTTCACAATGACAACATGTAATGCCAGAGAGAATAATTTCACAGGCAGTCCGACTAGCTGTACTAAGGGTTGTTTTTCTATTTTTATAGTAATTTTCCTACTTGGGTCTCGATCCTTTGCGGCTGGACTCTGATGTTCTCATAGAGCTATATTAAAGTACAATACTTGTGATGTACTTGTGACTAGACTTGTGATTTACTTATGACTGGACTTGTGATATACTTGTGACTGGACTTGTGATTTACTTGTGACTAAACTTGTGATATACTTGGACTCGACTTGTGATGTACTTGCCACCAGACTTGTGATGTACTTGTGAACAGACTAGTGATGTACTTGTGACTGGGCTTATGATGCACTTGTGACTAGACTTGTGGTGTTCTTGTGACTAGACTTGTGATGTACTTGTGACTGGACTTGTGATTTACTTATGACTGGACTTGTGATGTACTTGTGACTGGACTTGTGATGTACTTGCCACCAGACTTGAGATGAACTTGTGACTGGACTTGTGATATACTTGTGACTGGACTTGTGATTTACTTGTGACTAAACTTGTGATATACTTGGACTCGACTTGTGATGTACTTGCCACCAGACTTGTGATGTACTTGTGAACAGACTAGTGATGTACTTGTGACTGGGCTTATGATGCACTTGTGACTAGACTTGTGGTGTTCTTGTGACTAGACTTGTGATGTTCTTGTGACTGGACTTGTGATGTACCTGTGACTAAACTTGTGATGTTCTTGTGACTAGACTTGTGATGTACTTGTGACTGGACTTGTGATGTTCCTGTGACTGGACTTGTGATGTACTTGTGACTATAGACTTGTAATGTACTTGTGGCTGGACTTGTGATGTACTTGTGACTAGACTTGTAATGTACTTGTGGCTGGACTTGTGATGTACTTGTGAATGGACTTGTGATGTACTTGTGACTAGACTTGTGATGTACTTGTGGCTGGACTTGTGATGTACTTGTGACTAGACTTGTAATGTACTTGTGGCTGGACTTGTAATGTACTTGTGAATGGACTTGTGATGTACTTGTGACTAGACTTGTGATGTACTTGAGGCTGGACTTGTGATGTACTTGTGACTAGACTTGTAATGTACTTGTGGCTGGACTTGTGATGTACTTGTGACTAGACTTGTAATGTACTTGTGACTGGACTTGTGATGTCCTTGTGACTAGACTTGTGATGTACTTGTGGCTGGACTTGTGATGTCCTTGTGACTAGACTTGTTAATGTACTTGTGACTGGACTTGTGATGTACTTGTGACTAGACTTGTAATGTACTTGTGACTGGACTTGTGATGTCCTTGTGACTAGACTTGTGATGTACTTGTGGCTGGACTTGTGATGTACTTGTGACTAGACTTGTAATGTACTTGTGAATGGCCTTGTGATGTACTTGTGACTAGACTTGTGATGTACTTGTGGCTGGACTTGTGATGTACTTGTGACTAGACTTGTAATGTACTTGTGACTGGACTTGTGATGTCCTTGTGACTAGACTTGTGATGTACTTGTGACTGGACTTGTGATGTCCTTGTGACTAGACTTGTGATGTACTTGTGGCTGGACTTGTGATGTACTTGTGACTAGACTTGTAATGTACTTGTGACTGGACTTGTGATGTCCTTGTGACTAGACTTGTGATGTACTTGTGAATGGACTTGTGATGTACTTGTGACTAGACTTGTAATGTACTTGTGGCTGGACTTGTGATGTACTTGTGACTAGACTTGTAATGTACTTGTGGCTGGACTTGTAATGTACTTGTGAATGGACTTGTGATGTACTTGTGGCTGGACTTGTGATGTACTTGTGACTATAGACTTGTAATGTACTTGTGGCTGGACTTGTGATGTACTTGTGACTAGACTTGTAATGTACTTGTGGCTGGACTTGTGATGTACTTGTGACTAGACTTGTAATGTACTTGTGACTGGACTTGTGATGTCCTTGTGACTAGACTTGTGATGTACTTGTGGCTGGACTTGTGATGTACTTGTGACTAGACTTGTGATGTACTTGTGGCTGGACTTGTGATGTACTTGTGACTTGACTTGTACTTGTGGCTGGACTTGTGATGTACTTGTGACTAGACTTGTGGTGTTCTTGTGACTAGACTTGTGATGTACTTGTGACTGGACTTGTGATTTACATATGACTGGACTTGTGATGTACTTGTGACTGGACTTTGTGATGTACTTGCCACCAGACTTGAGATGAACTTGTGACTGGACTTGTGATATACTTGTGACTGGACTTGTGATTTACTTGTGACTAAACTTGTGATATACTTGGACTCGACTTGTGATGTACTTGTGACTAGACTTGTGGTGTTCTTGTGACTAGACTTGTGATGTTCTTGTGACTGGACTTGTGATGTACCTGTGACTAAACTTGTGATGTTCTTGTGACTAGACTTGTGATGTACTTGTGACTGGACGTGTGATGTTCCTGTGACTGGACTTGTGATGTACTTGTGACTATAGACTTGTAATGTACTTGTGGCTGGACTTGTGATGTACTTGTGACTAGACTTGTAATGTACTTGTGGCTGGACTTGTGATGTACTTGTGACTAGACTTGTAATGTACTTGTGACTGGACTTGTGATGTCCTTGTGACTAGACTTGTGATGTACTTGTGACTAGACTTGTAATGTACTTGTGGCTGGACTTGTAATGTACTTGTGACTGGACTTGTGATGTCCTTGTGACTAGACTTGTGATGTACTTGTGGCTGGACTTGTGATGTTCCTGTGACTGGACTTGTGATGTACTTGTGACTAGACTTGTAATGTATTTGTGGCTGGACTTGTGATGTCCTTGTGACTAGACTTGTGATGTACTTGTGACTGGACTTGTGATGTTCCTGTGACTGGACTTGTGATGTACTTGTGACTTAACTTGTAATGTACTTGTGGCTGGACTTGTGATGAACTTGTGACTAGACTTGTAATGTACTTGTGGCTGGTTTTGTGATGTACCTGTGACTAAACTTGTGATGTTCTTGTGACTAGACTTGTGATGTACTTGTCACTGGACTTGTGATGTACTTGTGACTGGACTTGTGATGTTCCTGTGACTGGACTTGTGATGTACTTGTGACTAGACTTGTAATGTACTTGTGGCTGGACTTGTGATGTACTTGTGACTAGACTTGTAATGTACTTGTGGCTGGACTTGTGATGTACTTGTGACTAGACTTGTAATGTACTTGTGGCTGGACTTGTGATGTACTTGTGACTAGACTTGTGATGTACTTGTGACTGGACTGGTGATGTCCTTGTGACTAGACTTGTGATGTACTTGTGACTGGACTTGTGATGTACTTGTGACTAGACTTGTGATGTACTTGTGACTGGATTTGTGATGTACTTGTGACTAGACTTGTAATGTACTTGTGGCTGGTTTTGTGATGTACCTGTGACTAAACTTGTGATGTTCTTGTGACTAGACTGGTGATGTCCTTGTGACTAGACTTGTGATGTACTTGTGACTGGACTTGTGATGTACTTGTCACTGGACTTGTGATGTTCCTGTGACTGGACTTGTGATGTACTTGTGACTAGACTTGTAATGTACTTGTGGCTGGACTTGTGATGTACTTGTGACTAGACTTGTAATGTACTTGTGGCTGGACTTGTGATGTACTTGTGACTAGACTTGTAATGTACTTGTGACTAGACTTGTAATGTACTTGTGGCTGGACTTGTGATGTACTTGTGACTAGACTTGTAATGTACTTGTGACTAGACTTGTAATGTACTTGTGACTGGACTTGTGATGTACTTGTGACTGGACTTGTGATGTACTTGTGACTAGACTTGTAATGTACTTGTGGCTGGACTTGTGATGTACTTGTGACTGGACTTGTGATGTACTTGTGACTAGACTTGTAATGTACTTGTGACTAGACTTGTGATGTACTTGTGACTGGACTTGTAATGTACTTGTGACTGGACTTGTGATGTACTTGTGACTGGACTTGTGATGTACTTGTGGCTGGACTTGTAATGTACTTGTGGCTGGACTTGTGATGTCCTTGTGACTAGACTTGTAATGTACTTGTGGCTGGACTTGTGAAGTACTTGTGACTAGACTTGTGATGTACTTGTGACTAGACTTGTAATGTACTTGTGACTGGACTTGTGATGGACTTGTGACGAGACTTGTAATGTACTTGTGGCTGGACTTGTGGCTGGACTTGTGGCTGGACTTGTAATGTACTTGTGACTGGACTTGTGATGTACTTGTGACTAGACTTGTAATGTACTTGTGGCTGGACTTGTGATGTACTTGTGACTAGACTTGTGATGGACTTGTGGCTGGACTTGTGATGTACTTGTGACTAGACTTGTAATGTACTTGTGGCTGGACTTGTGATGTACTTGTGACTAGACTTGTGATGGACTTGTGGCTGGACTTGTGATGTACTTGTGACTAGACTTGTAATGTACTTGTGGCTGGACTTGTAATGTACTTGTGGCTGGACTTGTGATGTACTTGTGGCTGGACTTGTGATGTACTTGTGACTGGACTTGTGATGTACTTGTGGCTGGACTTGTGATGTACTTGTGACTAGACTTGTGATGGACTTGTGGCTGGACTTGTGATGTACTTGTGGCTGGACTTGTGATGTACTTGTGACTAGACTTGTAATGTACTTGTGGCTGGACTTGTAATGTACTTGTGGCTGGACTTGTGATGTACTTGTGGCTGGACTTGTGATGTACTTGTGACTAGACTTGTGATGGACTTGTGGCTGGACTTGTGATGTACTTGTGGCTGGACTTGTGATGTACTTGTGACTAGACTTGTAATGTACTTGTGGCTGGACTTGTAATGTACTTGTGGCTGGACTTGTGATGTACTTGTGGCTGGACTTGTAATGTACTTGTGACTAGACTTGTAATGTACTTGTGGCTGGACTTGTAATGTACTTGTGGCTAGACTTGTGATGTACTTGTGGCTGGACTTGTGATGTACTTGTGGCTGGACTTGTAATGTACTTGTGGCTAGACTTGTAATGTACTTGTGGCTGGACTTGTAATGTACTTGTGGCTGGACTTGTGATGTACTTGTGACTGGACTTGTGATGGACTTGTGACTGGACTTGTAATGTACTTGTGGCTGGACTTGTGATGTACTTGTGACTCGACTTGTGATGTACTTGTGACTAGACTTGTAATGTACTTGTGACTAGACTTGTGATGTACTTGTGACTGGACTTGTAATGTACTTGTGACTGGACTTGTGATGTACTTGTGACTGGACTTGTGATGTACTTGTGGCTGGACTTGTGATGTACTTGTGGCTGGACTTGTAATGTACTTGTGACTGGACTTGTGATGTACTTGTGACTAGACTTGTAATGTACTTGTGGCTGGACTTGTGATGGACTTGTGGCTGGACTTGTAATGTACTTGTGACTGGACTTGTGATGTACTTGTGACTAGACTTGTGATGTACTTGTGGCTGGACTTGTAATGTACTTGTGGCTGGACTTGTGATGTACTTGTGACTGGACTTGTGATGTACTTGTGACTAGACTTGTAATGTACTTGTGACTAGACTTGTGATGTACTTGTGACTGGACTTGTGATGGACTTGTGGCTGGACTTGTGATGTACTTGTGACTAGACTTGTAATGTACTTGTGGCTGGACTTGTGATGGACTTGTGGCTGGACTTGTAATGTACTTGTGGCTGGACTTGTGAAGTACTTGTGACTAGACTTGTAATGTACTTGTGGCTGGACTTGTGAAGTACTTGTGACTAGACTTGTAATGTACTTGTGACTGGACTTGTGATGGACTTGTGACTAGACTTGTAATGTACTTGTGGCTGGACTTGTGATAGACTTGTGGCTGGACTTGTAATGTACTTGTGACTAGACTTGTGATGTACTTGTGACTGGACTTGTGATGTCCTTGTGACTAGACTTGTAATGTACTTGCGACTAGACTTGTAATGTACTTGTGACTAGACTTGTGATGTACTTGTGACTGGACTTGTAATGTACTTGTGACTGGACTTGTGATGTACTTGTGGCTGGACTTGTGATGTACTGTTGACTAGACTTGTGATGTACTTGTGACTGGACTTGTAATGTACTTGTGGCTGGACTTGTGATGTACTTGTGACTGGACTTGTGATGTACTTGTGACTAGACTTGTGATGTACTTGTGGCTAGACTTGTAATGTACTTGTGACTGGACTGGTGATGTACTTGTGGCTGGACTTGTGATGTACTTGTGACTAAACTTGTGACTAGACTTGTGATGTACTTGTGACTGGGCTTATGATGCATGTGTGACTATACTTGTGATGTACTTGTAACTGGACTTATGATGTACTTGTTACTGGACTTATGATGTACTTGTGACTGGACTTGTGATGTACTTTTGCCTGGACTTGTTATGTACTTGTAATGTACTTGTGAATGAATTTGTGACTGGACTTGTGATGTACGTGTGACTAGACTTGTAATGTACTTGTGACTGAAATTGTAATGTGCTTGTGACTAGACTAATGATGTACTTGTGACTAGACTTGTAATGTACTTGTGACTGGGCTTATGATGCACTTGTGACTAGACTTATGATGCACTTGTGACTGGACTTGTGATGTACTTGTGACTGGACTTGTGATTTACTTTTGACTGGACTTGTGATGTACTTGTGACTGGACTTGTGATGTACTTGTGACTGGACTTGTGATGTATTTGTGATTGATCAATCTTAAGTATCTCGACCACAAGCAAAGACAATGATCTTACCTGAGTGAATACCGATGCGGAGTTTGAGTTTCTCATCTTGTTTGTGTGGCATGATCAACTATCAACGCCCTCCAGGAGATGCCATGCAGTGGAGGCGATCATACCAGCATGACGGCTGCCATTACGGATCAGTAGGCAGGAGACCAACATGTAGGCATCATCGATGCTTTCAACCTTGGCAAGATGTTATTATTTAACACTGGTTAATTTTGCATTCAGACATTATAATAGAACATACATATTTGCGTGGTTTTTGCCTGAACTAGTAACCATGGTAGCATCAACTTAACCTCTGAGTGATTGTCATGACTACGCCTGCTAACAGCCCAGTAATGTTGACAATGATAATGCAAGTGACTTTTTGTAATTATATCACCGCACCCACAGATTCTGTGTTTTTCAGTGGCCGAGAGTGTGCATCACATAGTATTTGCTATTTTCCGTCTACATGTACATGGCTAAAAGGACTATGGCACCTTCCATTTTAATACTGACTACTTTGAGTGGCATAATCAAACTACCGGTAGCCTCCTAGACCTGTTTTATAATGCCACTTGAAGCAGTCAATATGCAAGACTACAAATTATAAGCATAGCTTGTAAAGTACTCTGAAAGTAAAACAGATCTAAGATGGTAGAATCAAGCCAAGCAGTAATGGGTAAGGTGCTTTCTGTCAATGTATTGTTGATCATTTCATGTTTGCATATTAACCATAATAAATGAACCTGGATAAGTGTATTAAGTATAATCTATTGCAAGTACCCTTTCAAATAACTTCCTGTGATATGGCACATTTGGCTTAACAAGTTCACATCAGACAACGTGTATACACGCAAGGTTTTGCGGTAATCGGAATGGATGATGGATAAACACACAACAAGCGAGGCCCGAAATGTCTGTCAGTGGCCCGCTTGCAGCGAGATACCCGTAGATGACAGCCTGAAGCCGTCTGACATCCAGATTCATGAAAACAATCCCAAGTCTTGGTCTGGTCAATGTCAAAATAGTCCAGCGCGAACTGGTTAAAACAATCTGCTGGGTCATATGGAATATTTACCTTGTAGACGTCATAGTTGGAAATGATGGCGTCGAACAGCGTGTGCAAGGCATTCAACAAGTTAACAACCTGGAAAGTTAAGAACAAGACGTAAAGGGTAACTCTGGTGACACTATTGGTTTGCGAATCTGAGTAGACAATTTGGTCAAATTTGAGTACATTTTTGATAATACATTGTAGTATATACATTTTGAACTGAAGCCGCCTTTGAGCAAGGGCGGATCCAGAACACAATTTTTTACTGTTTTGGTCCCCCAAAAAGAGGGTCAAAAAAATTACGGCGTGGGGTTCGGGGCCCCTTAACATGCTTGAGGGCCCCGAAAATGTTTTTGATTGTAGATGCTCTGTGGTGCGATCCGAGGCAATTTCTCACCACTTTAACCAATGTTTTTTTTAGGAAAAGATGGTGGTGTACTCATTGCCTGCCTTTATTGCGATGTCACATTAAAAAAAAAAAAAATTGGTTTCATTTGGGGGGGGGGGGGGGGGGGGGCACGGCCCCCTTTGTCCCTCCCCCCCCTCCTGGATCCGCCCTTGCCTTTGAGAATACGATTGAAAAGTACAAAGCCCTAGGTGCATGTTTATCTTGTGACTAGACTTGTAATGTACTTGTGACTGGACTTGTGATGTACTTGTGACTGGACTTGTGATGTACTTGTGACTGGACTTGTGATGTACTTGTGACTGGACTTGTGATGTCCTTGTGACTAGACTTGTGATGTACTTGTGACTGGACTTGTGATGTACTTGTGACTAGACTTGTAATGTACTTGTGACTAGACTTGTGATGTACTTGTGACTTAACTTGTAATGTACTTGTGGCTGGACTTGTGATGTACTTGTGACTTAACTTGTAATGTACTTGTGGCTGGACTTGTGATGTACTTGTGACTAGACTTGTAATGTACTTGTGGCTGGACTTGTGATGTACTTGTGACTGGACTTGTGATGTACTTGTGACTTAACTTGTAATGTACTTGTGGCTGGACTTGTGATGTACTTGTGACTAGACTTGTAATGTACTTGTGGCTGGACTTGTGATGTACTTGTGGCTGGACTTGTGATGTACTTGTGACTAGACTTGTAATGTACTTGTGGCTGGACTTGTGATGTACTTGTGACTAGACTTGTAATGTACTTGTGACTAGACTTGTAATGTACTTGTGGCTGGACTTGTGATGTACTTGTGACTAGACTTGTAATGTACTTGTGACTGGACTTGTGATGTACTTGTGACTGGACTTGTGATGTACTTGTGACTTAACTTGTAATGTACTTGTGACTGGACTTGTGATGTACTTGTGTCTAGACTTGTAATGTACTTGTGACTGGACTTGTGATGTACTTGTGACTGGACTTGTGATGTACTTGTGACTGGACTTGTAATGTACTTGTGGCTGGACTTGTGATGTACTTGTGACTAGACTTGTAATGTACTTGTGGCTGGACTTGTGATGTACTTGTGACTAGACTTGTAATGTACTTGTGACTGGACTTGTGATGTACTTGTGACTGGACTTGTGATGTACTTGTGACTGGACTTGTAATGTACTTGTGACTGGACTTGTGATGTACTTGTGACTGGACTTGTGATGTACTTGTGACTAGACTTGTAATGTACTTGTGACTAGACTTGTAATGTACTTGTGGCTGGACTTGTGATGTACTTGTGACTAGACTTGTGATGTACTTGTGACTGGACTTGTGATGTACTTGTGACTAGACTTGTGATGTACTTGTGACTGGACTTGTGATGTACTTGTGACTAGACTTGTGATGTACTTGTGACTGGACTTGTAATGTACTTGTGGCTGGACTTGTGATGTCCTTGTGGCTGGACTTGTGATGTACTTGTGACTAGACTTGTAATGTACTTGTGACTGGACTTGTGATGTACTTGTGACTGGACTTGTGATGTACTTGTGACTAGACTTGTGATGTACTTGTGGCTGGACTTGTGATGTTCCTGTGACTGGACTTGTGATGAACTTGTGACTGGACTTGTAATGTACTTGTGGCTGGACTTGTGATGTACTTGTGGCTGGACTTGTGATGTACTTGTGACTGGACTTGTGATGTACTTGTGGCTGGACTTGTAATGTACTTGTGGCTGGACTTGTGATGTACTTGTGACTGGACTTGTGATGTACTTGTGACTAGACTTGTGATGTACTTGTGGCTGGACTTGTGATGTTCCTGTGACTGGACTTGTGATGTACTTGTGACTGGACTTGTGATGTTCCTGTGGCTGGACTTGTGATGTACTTGTGACTGGACTTGTAATGTACTTGTGGCTGGACTTGTGATGTACTTGTGGCTGGACTTGTGATGTACTTGTGACTGGACTTGTGATGTACTTGTGGCTGGACTTGTAATGTACTTGTGGCTGGACTTGTGATGTACTTGTGACTAGACTTGTGATGTACTTGTGGCTGGACTTGTAATGTACTTGTGGCTGGACTTGTGATGTACTTGTGACTGGATTTGTGATGTACTTGTGACTGGACTTGTGATGTACTTGTGACTGGACTTGTGATGTTCCTGTGGCTGGACTTGTGATGTACTTGTGACTGGACTTGTAATGTACTTGTGGCTGGACTTGTGATGTACTTGTGGCTGGACTTGTGATGTACTTGTGACTGGACTTGTGATGTACTTGTGGCTGGACTTGTAATGTACTTGTGGCTGGACTTGTGATGTACTTGTGACTGGACTTGTGATGTACTTGTGGCTGGACTTGTGATGTACTTGTGGCTGGACTTGTGATGTACTTGTGACTGGACTTGTGATGTACTTGTGACTGGACTTGTAATGTACTTGTGGCTGGACTTGTAATGTACTTGTGACTGGACTTGTAATGTACTTGTGGCTGGACTTGTGATGTTCCTGTGACTGGACTTGTGATGTACTTGTGACTGGACTTGTGATGTACTTGTGGCTGGACTTGTAATGTACTTGTGGCTGGACTTGTGATGTACTTGTGACTGGACTTGTGATGTTCCTGTGGCTGGACTTGTGATGTACTTGTGACTGGACTTGTAATGTACTTGTGACTGGACTTGTGATGTACTTGTGACTAGACTTGTAATGTACTTGTGGCTGGACTTGTGATGTACTTGTGGCTTGACTTGTGATGTACTTGTGACTGGACTTGTGATGTACTTGTGGCTGGACTTGTGATGTACTTGTGGCTGGACTTGTAATGTACTTGTGGCTGGACTTGTGATGTACTTGTGACTGGACTTGTAATGTACTTGTGACTGGACTTGTAATGTACTTGTGGCTGGACTTGTGATGTACTTGTGGCTGGACTTGTAATGTACTTGTGACTGGACTTGTGATGTACTTGTGACTAGACTTGTAATGTACTTGTGGCTGGACTTGTGATGTACTTGTGACTGGACTTGTAATGTACTTGTGGCTGGACTTGTAATGTACTTGTGGCTGGACTTGTGATGTACTTGTGACTAGACTTGTGATGTACTTGTGACTGGACTTGTAATGTACTTGTGGCTGGACTTGTGATGTACTTGTGACTGGACTTGTAATGTACTTGTGGCTGGACTTGTGATGTACTTGTGACTAGACTTGTGATGTACTTGTGACTGGACTTGTAATGTACTTGTGGCTGGACTTGTAATGTACTTGTGGCTGGACTTGTGATGTACTTGTGACTGGACTTGTAATGTACTTGTGGCTGGACTTGTAATGTACTTGTGGCTGGACTTGTGATGTACTTGTGACTAGACTTGTGATGTACTTGTGACTGGACTTGTAATGTACTTGTGGCTGGACTTGTGATGTACTTGTGACTGGACTTGTAATGTACTTGTGACTGGACTTGTAATGTACTTGTGGCTGGACTTGTGATGTACTTGTGGCTGGACTTGTAATGTACTTGTGGCTGGACTTGTAATGTACTTGTGACTAGACTTGTAATGTACTTGTGACTGGACTTGTGATGTACTTGTGACTAGACTTGTGATGTACTTGTGGCTGGACTTGTAATGTACTTGTGGCTGGACTTGTGATGTACTTGTGGCTGGACTTGTAATGTACTTGTGGCTGGACTTGTGATGTACTTGTGACTAGACTTGTAATGTACTTGTGACTGGACTTGTAATGTACTTGTGGCTGGACTTGTGATGTACTTGTGGCTGGACTTGTAATGTACTTGTGACTGGACTTGTGATGTACTTGTGGCTGGACTTGTAATGTACTTGTGGCTGGACTTGTGATGTACTTGTGGCTGGACTTGTGATGTACTTGTGACTGGACTTGTGATGTACTTGTGACTAGACTTGTAATGTACTTGTGGCTGGACTTGTGATGTACTTGTGGCTGGACTTGTGATGTACTTGTGACTGGACTTGTAATGTACTTGTGGCTGGACTTGTGATGTACTTGTGGCTGGACTTGTGATGTACTTGTGGCTGGACTTGTAATGTACTTGTGGCTGGACTTGTGATGTACTTGTGGCTGGACTTGTAATGTACTTGTGACTGGACTTGTGATGTACTTGTGACTAGACTTGTAATGTACTTGTGGCTGGACTTGTAATGTACTTGTGACTGGACTTGTGATGTACTTGTGGCTGGACTTGTAATGTACTTGTGACTAGACTTGTAATGTACTTGTGACTGGACTTGTGATGTACTTGTGACTAGACTTGTGATGTACTTGTGGCTGGACTTGTAATGTACTTGTGGCTGGACTTGTGATGTACTTGTGGCTGGACTTGTAATGTACTTGTGGCTGGACTTGTGATGTACTTGTGACTAGACTTGTAATGTACTTGTGACTGGACTTGTAATGTACTTGTGGCTGGACTTGTGATGTACTTGTGGCTGGACTTGTAATGTACTTGTGACTGGACTTGTGATGTACTTGTGGCTGGACTTGTGATGTACTTGTGAATGGACTTGTGATGTACTTGTGGCTGGACTTGTGATGTACTTGTGACTGGACTTGTGATGTACTTGTGACTAGACTTGTAATGTACTTGTGGCTGGACTTGTGATGTACTTGTGGCTGGACTTGTGATGTACTTGTGACTGGACTTGTAATGTACTTGTGGCTGGACTTGTGATGTACTTGTGGCTGGACTTGTGATGTACTTGTGGCTGGACTTGTAATGTACTTGTGGCTGGACTTGTGATGTACTTGTGGCTGGACTTGTAATGTACTTGTGACTGGACTTGTGATGTACTTGTGACTAGACTTGTAATGTACTTGTGGCTGGACTTGTAATGTACTTGTGACTGGACTTGTGATGTACTTGTGGCTGGACTTGTGATGTACTTGTGAATGGACTTGTGATGTACTTGTGGCTGGACTTGTGATGTACTTGTGACTGGACTTGTGATGTACTTGTGACTAGACTTGTAATGTACTTGTGGCTGGACTTGTGATGTACTTGTGGCTGGACTTGTGATGTACTTGTGACTGGACTTGTGATGTACTTGTGACTAGACTTGTAATGTACTTGTGGCTGGACTTGTGATATCCTTGCGACTAGACTTGTAATGTACTTGTGGCTGGACTTGTGAAGTACTTGTGACTAGACTTGTGATGTACTTGTGGCTAGACTTGTAATGTACTTGTGGCTGGACTTGTGATGTACTTGTGGCTGGACTTGTGATGTACTTGTGGCTGGACTTGTGATGTACTTGTGGCTGGACTTGTAATGTACTTGTGACTGGACTTGTGATGTACTTGTGACTAGACTTGTAATGTACTTGTGGCTGGACTTGTAATGTACTTGTGACTGGACTTGTGATGTACTTGTGGCTGGACTTGTGATGTACTTGTGAATGGACTTGTGATGTACTTGTGGCTGGACTTGTGATGTACTTGTGACTGGACTTGTGATGTACTTGTGACTAGACTTGTAATGTACTTGTGGCTGGACTTGTGATGTACTTGTGGCTGGACTTGTGATGTACTTGTGAATGAACTTGTGATGTACTTGTGGCTGGACTTGTGATGTACTTGTGACTGGACTTGTGATGTACTTGTGGCTGGACTTGTGATGTACTTGTGGCTGGACTTGTAATGTACTTGTGACTGGACTTGTGATGTACTTGTGGCTGGACTTGTGATGTACTTGTGACTGGACTTGTGATGTACTTGTGGCTGGACTTGTAATGTACTTGTGACTGGACTTGTGATGTACTTGTGACTAGACTTGTAATGTACTTGTGGCTGGACTTGTAATGTACTTGTGACTGGACTTGTGATGTACTTGTGGCTGGACTTGTGATGTACTTGTGAATGGACTTGTGATGTACTTGTGGCTGGACTTGTGATGTACTTGTGACTGGACTTGTGATGTACTTGTGACTAGACTTGTAATGTACTTGTGGCTGGACTTGTGATGTACTTGTGGCTGGACTTGTGATGTACTTGTGAATGGACTTGTGATGTACTTGTGGCTGGACTTGTGATGTACTTGTGACTAGACTTGTGATGTACTTTTGCCTGGACTTGTGATGGACTTGTGACTGGACTTGTGATGGACTTGTGGCTGGACTTGTAATGTACTTGTGACTGGACTGATAATGTACTTGTGACTGAATTTGTAATGTGCTTGTGACTAGACTAATGATGTACTTGTGACTAGACTTGTAATGTACTTGTGACTGGGCTTATGATGCACTTGTGACTAGACTTGTGATGTACTTGTGACTGAATTTGTGACTGGACTTGTAATGTACTTGTTACTGGAACTGTAATGTACTTGTGACTAGACTTATGATGCACTTGTGACTGGACTTGTGATGTACTTGTGACTGGACTTGTGATTTACTTGTGACTGGACTTGTGATGTACTTGTGACTAGATTTGTGATGTTCTTGTGACTGGACTTGTGATGTACTTGTGACTGGACTTGTGATGTACTTGTGATTTATCAATCTTAAGTATCTCGACCACAAGCAAAGACAATGATCTTACCTGAGTGAATACCGATGAGGAGTTTGAGTTTCTCATCTTGTTTGTGTGGCATGATCAACTATCAACGCCCTGCAGGAGATGCCATGCAGCGGAGACGATCATACCAGCATGACGACTGGGCAATTCTCCATGGGAGAGCAAAAAATGTCAAAAATAAATATTTACATATTAAACCTTTTTTGTACTTTTTCCAGACCTCAATTAAATGGGGAATTCAGTTCAAAAAACGAAATTAAAAAAAAATACATATTTCTGGTAAAAACAGTGATTTTTGCAATTTATGATTAAAAACGTTCAGATTTGGTAAAAACAATTTTTTTTGTGTATGTATTACTTTCTGAATTATAAGGAAAAGATTTGATTTATTTTATGATGTTACAAGTTACTAACATTACTCAGGGTCATTAAAAAAAAATCTAAAAATATAAATATATATATATATATAGTGTAGGCCTTCATTTAAAAATGTCAAAATTAGCATGTAATTCCGTTACCGAAAAAATGGCAAAAGTTACTTATTTCACAAATTTTCTTGTTTTTTTTCTACAAATCATGTATGTTGAGAAAAGACCCTACTATAAACATAAATGAAAAATAAAAACTTTAAAATAGTACTTTCTTGGCATTTTTCCAAGTGGTAACGGAATTACGAAACGGTAACGGAATTACGGTAACGGAATTACGCATGCACAAAGTATGCACACTTCCCCCAGATTATGTACATGACATATTAAATAGGAGATTTGCATGTAAACCTTGGACAATAACTTTAAATACTAAATTACTTGTTAAATCATTTCCCTCTTTAATTTGCTATTATACCATTAAAAATAATCAGGTGTTCCATTGATATTTTTTACTTTTACTTCTTTTTTTTTTACTATTTAAAAAATGATAATAGTTGTTTGGATGCTTAAAGGGAATATACAACATTTGCAAACATCAGAAAATAAAACTACCAAGTTTTTACGAAATACCTTACTAGGATGTTGGTAAATGACAGTCTAAAGCATCCTGTAAAATTATGGCACCTGGTGTGAAGTAATTTTCAAAAAAATTATATTTTTGTATACATTTCCAACGGTGGTCGGCCGACCACCGTTGGAAAAACCTAACTATTTTTCAACTACTGCTCCAACTTTACACTCTTTGCAGTCCAAATTTTGTTTGCTATTTGTTACATGTTCATGAACGGGTGCAGGCCAGCCAGTCTGGTTCCCTTACCCTCCACTTTTCCAGCATCTATAAATTGATCCATTTTACCTTTAGTGGAGTCAAGGAACCAGACTACTTGAACAGTTTTGTTTTTCTTGGTTTTCCAGCATTTTCGAACGCAAAACTTCAAACATGTCAGTGTAACAATATTTGATCTATTATACTAACCCCTCAAATAGTTCATTTCTGAAAATTACAGCAAAAGCCAATGATGTACATTCCCTTTAAATATGTTGCCAAAGCCGTTGTCTGGTACCCAGAGAAAATATATTCCACAACAAGTATATGAAAGTTGAGTACCAGACTGTACTGGTACTTCTAATTGGCATAACTTAACATCTTCCCTTGCTCAGAGATGCCAACCAGTACAGTTTTATTGTATTTTCCACGATAAACTAGTGAAATACGATAATACAATTGTTCATAGTAAAATTTGATTTTCGTTAAAAAATAAATATACATTGTTAACAGGCAATGCAGCCATCACCAGACTGCTTTCATTTGACCTTGACCTTTGACCTAACAAAATGAAGCCCAGACATGTTTAGGCCTACATTAACATTTTGATCTGCTAATTTTCACTGAGCTAATTCCCCTTGTGGCATTTTATATACTTCTAAAATTTGTATTGTGATGAGTTTATGTTGAATTCAATGTTAATGTATTGCATTTACCTATTACATGTAAACCTATGGCGTAATTCCGTTACCGCCCAGGCGTAATTCCGTTACCGTGATTAAAATGCAAATTATGAAAAGAGTGATTATTTTTTCAACTTTGTTCTGCATTGTAGTTAACAACACCCCTGAACTCTACAAATAACAGGTAGTGTCCAATTTTAAAATTTCAAAACTTCAGAGAGTTTTATTAATTTATGCGAGAACTCAAATATGCTTGTCCTCCGTCCGTAATTCCGTTACCGATATTAAGCTCCGCCCCTTAAAGGGTAATCTTGGGGGATTTTTTTTTTTTTAGCGGTCAATCAATTCTACTGGGTCTTGGCTCCCTTTCCATGTTTAGATTAGTTGCCTAGCATTGAACATATTTTCTTGGGAAAGAATAATCCTTGACAAAGTGACAAAATTCCGTAATTCCGTTACCAAAGAATTGCCCGACTGCCATTACGGATCAGTAGGCAGGAGACCAACATGTAGGCATCGTCGATGCTATCAACCTTGGCAAGATGTTATTATTTAACACTGGTTAATTTTGCTTTCAGACATTATAATAGAACATACATATTTGCGTGGTTTTTGCCTGAACTAGTAACCATGGTAGCATCAACTTAACCTCTGAGTGATTGTCATGACTACGCCTGCAAACAGCCCAGTAATGTTGACAATGATAATGCAAGTGACTTTTTGTAATTATATCACCGCACCCACAGATTCTGTGTTTTTCAGTGGCCGAGAGTGTGCATCACATAGTATTTGCTATTTTCCGTCTACATGTACATGGCTAAAAGGACTATGGCACCTTCCATTTTAATACTGACTACTTTGAGTGGCATAATCAAACTACCGGTAGCCTCCTAGACCTGTTTTATAATGCCACTTGAAGCAGTCAATATGCAAGACTACAAATTATAAGCATAGCTTGTAAAGTACTCTGAAAGTAAAACAGATCTAAGATGGTAGAATCAAGCCAAGCAGTAACGGGTAAGGTGCTTTCTGTCAATGTATTGTTGATCATTTCATGTTTGCATATTAACCATAATAAATGAACCTGGATAAGTGTATTAAGTATAATCTATTGCAAGTACCCTTTCAAATAACTTCCTGTGATATGGCACGTTTGGCTTAACCAGTTCACATCAGACAACGTGAATACACGCAAGGTTTTGCGGTAATCGGAATGGATGATGGATAAACACGCAACAAGCGAGGCCTAAAATGTCTGTCAGTGGCCCGCTTGCAGCGAGCTACCCGTAGATGACAGCCTGAAGCCGTCTGGCATCCAGATTCATGAAAACAATCCCAAGTCTTGGTCTGGTCAATGTCAAAATAGTCCAGCGCGAACTGGTTAAAACAATCTGCTGGATCATATGGAATATTTACCTTGTAGACGTCATAGTTGGAAATGATGGCGTCGAACAGCGTGTGCAAGGCATTCAACAAGTTAACAACCTGGAAAGTTAAGCGCAAGATGTAAAGGGTAACTCTGGTGACACTATTGGTTTGCGATAATCTGAGTAGACAATTTGGTCAAATTTGAGTACATTTTTGATAATACATTGTAGTATACTGTATACATTTTGAACTTAAGCCGCCTTTGAGCAAGGGCGGATCCAGAACACAATTTTTTACTGTTTTGGTCCCCCAAAAAGAGGGTCAAAAAAATTACGGCGTGGGGTTCGGGGCCCCTTAACATGCTTGAGGGCCCCGAAAATGTTTTTGGATTCTAGATGCTCTGTGGTGCGATCCGAGGCAATTTCTCACCACTTTAACCAATGTTTTTTTTAGGAAAAGATGGTGGTGTACTCATTGCCTGCCTTTATTGCTATGTCACATTAAAAAAAAAAAAATTGGTTTCATTTGGGGGGGGGGGGGGGGGGGGGCACGGCCCCCTTTGTCCCTCCCCCCCCCTCCTGGATCCGCCCTTGCCTTTGAGAATACGATTGAAAAGTACTAAGCCCTAGGTGCATGTTTATCTAGGCTGATTATAAAGGTTACGTGCACGAACAGTAGATTGTCCCTTTTTGCGACTTTTGAGAGCTCTAGTTGAAGAGACACATTGTGTGTAGTGCCCGCGCACATGGCGCGAAATACACAAGATTAATTTTATTCTGGATTTGCACAAATCCTGAGCTTCTTCACGTGAGCATCAGATACAATGCATTCAAATGTAAAAATATCTAGAGATTTGCGTTTGTTGAGTTACAAACGCAGGGTGATCGGTTGACATTTTCATAGAAACGTGCCCAGTGTACTGGTGAATATCGTAACAGAAAGAGGATCACAAAATTGTACCTTCTGAGAAGTATGATTTGTTAAATTTTAGGGAAAAAAAACATTTTGGAGTATGATAAATTTGAGTTTAGAAATTGTATTATGTAGAAATACATGGAATATCCGATTTGATGACATCATAAATTAAAATGCACAAAATGAATACTGATTTAGTTAAGAGAGGATACATGTTCATCTACATTGTGTAAAAGTAAAAAGAATTTGTGAAAATAAAGGAATTATGATGAATGTTGAAGTATTTGTATTATTAAACTATTTTTGTGACGTCACATTTTGTTAAAGTGTAGACTACACTTTACTATGTAAATTTTTACAAATCGACATCAACAATTAATCAATTTATTTCGTGCAAGTTCCGTCGAAAAAAATGATTGCGCACAGGCTAGGCCCAAAGATCCAATAGCGCCGCATAATTATGTGAATATATGTACCGAATATATGCTTCAATTAACTTAATAAGTAATGCATTAAATTGAACGGTGGCCAGGTGATTTATCATGAAAAATAAACAAACTAGACAGAAGATTAAGACGAAATATCATTTTTCTCTCCCTCAATAGTGTCTTGTGTCAACGCAGGGAAAAACTGGGCCATAGGATGCAGTCCCAGTCCAAACAGACCATTTCCCTCACTTTTTGCTCGGAAACGATAGACCTGCGGGACAAACTATCTCAAAAAATAAGTAATGCATTAAATTGAACGGTGGCCAGGTGATTTAACATGAAAATAGACAAAAAAGACAGAAGATTAAGACAAAATATTGTTGCTATCTCCCTGAACAGTGTCTTGTGTCAACACGGAGAACAGATTTTGCTCGGAAACGATAGTCCTGCTGGACACGATATCTCAAAAATTAAGTACTGTATTTAATTGAACGGTGGCCAGGTGATTTATCATGAAAAAAGACAAAATAGACAGAAGATTAAGACAAAATATTGTTGTTCTCTACCTCAACAGTGTCTTGTGTCAACACGGAGAAAAAGTTGGCGAAAGGATGCAGTCCCAGTCCAAACAGACCATTTTCCTCACTTTTTGCTCGGAAACGATAGTTCTGGTCGACAAACTATCTCAAAAAATTAAGCAATGCATTAAATTGAACGGTGGCCAGGTGATTTATCATGAAAAAAAGACAAACTAGAGAGACAATTTAGACGAAATATCATTTTCTCTTCCTCAACAGTGTCTTGTGTCAACACGGAGAAAACTGGGCGATAAGGATGAAGTCTCCGTCCAAACAGACCATTTTCCTAATTTTTTCTCAGAAACGATAGTCCTGCTGGACACGATATCTCAAAAATTAAGTAATGCAATTAATTGAACGGTGGCCAGGTGATCTATCATGAAAAATAGACAAAAAAGATGGAAGATTAAGACAAAATACTGTTGCTCTCTCCCTGAACAGTGTCTTGTGCCAACGCGGAGAAAAACTTGGCGATAGGATGTAGTCCCAGCCCAAACAGACCATTTTCCTCACTTTTACCTCGGAAACGATAGTCCTGCTGGACACGATATCTCAAAAATTAAGTAATGCATTAAATTGAACGGAGGCCAGGTGATTTATTATGAAAAATAGACAAAATAGACAGAAGATTGAGACAAAATACTGTTGCTCTCTCCCTAAACAGTGTCTTGTGTCAACACGGAGAAAACTGGGTGATAGGATGTAGTCCCCGTCTAAACAGACCATTTTCCCCTCATTTTGCTCGGAAACGATAGTCCTGGTCGACAAATTAACTCAATAATTAAGCTATGCAGTCAATTGAACGGTGGCCAGGTGATTTATCATGAAAAATAGACAAACTAGACGGAAGATTTAAACGAAATATCATTTTCTCTCCCTCAAAAGTGTCTTGTGTCAACGCAGAGAAAAACTGGGCGATATATAGGATGCAGTCCCAGTCCAAACAAACCTTTTTCCTCACTTTTTGCTCGGAAACGATAGTCCTGCTGGACACGATATCTCAAAAATTGAGCAATGCATTAAATTGAACGGTGGCCAGGTGATTTATCATGAAAAATAAACAAAATAGACAGAAGATTAAGACAAAATACTGTTGCTCTCTCCCTCAACAGTGTCTTGTGCCAACACGAGAAAACTGGGTGATAGGATGCAGTCTCCGTCTAAACAGACCATTTTCCCCTCATTTTGCTCGGAAACGATAGTCCTGGTCGACAAACTATCTCGAAAATTAAGTAATGCATGAAATTGAACGGTGGCCAGGCATGCCAGGTGATTTATCATGAAAAATAGAGAAACTAGACAGAAGATTTAGACGAAATATTTTTTTTCTCTCCCTCAACAATGTCTTGTGTTAATGCAGAGAAAAACTGGGCGATAGGATGCAGTCCCCGTCTAAACAGACCATTTTCCCCACTTTTTGCTCGGAAACGATAGTCCTGGTCGGGGGGTCAGACAAGTCGACCGTTGAGACAACTCAACTCGGGACAAGTCGACCGTTGAGACAACTCGACCGTTGAGACAACTCGACCGTATGTGCGATAAATGGAAAGACAAGTCGACCGTTGAGACAAGTTGCCTCGCATGGTTTTGGGCCTAGTTTTGGGGATATAGTACTGGGGATTTTTGACGGCGGCTGATCGCCGTTTGGGAGTGATGACACATGAGGTTTTTTGTTGCATATAACAGAGCCGATATAGCGCAGCTCGATTGTTTTTGCCGGGCCTGTGCGCCCACTTGCCGCGCCGGTTGACATGCCCGCGTGCCGGGCCGGGCCGGATCCTCGCGGGCAGGACGCGCCGGTCCAACGCGACGGCCACCGGATCGGATCGCCCTCTGTGCATCGAGTATGCCCGCGCTGCGCCCGCGGTCCTGCCACAGATTTTTGCAACTTTTTCCGCTCCACGTGTATACATTTCCATTAAGTCGAGCTGTCTCAACGGTCGAGTTGTCCCAAGTCGAGTTGTCTGAACGGTCGAGTTGTCTGAACGGTCGACTTGTCTCAACGGTCGACTTGTCCCGAGTCGAGTTGTCTCAACGGTCGACTTGTCTGACATTCCCTGGTCGACAAACTATCTCAAAAATTAAGTAATGCATTGAATTGAACGGACGGGCATCGCCGTTTTAGCGCTTCACTATTGCTCATCAGTTACGAAGAGAAATAATTGGCCTGAAATTCACTTACATGAGGTATTTTATCCGGTAAGCCGTGTCTGGCGGGATTTGCATCCTACGGACCAAATAAGATCGTAAAGTCCGGACACAGTTACAAAAAAAGTTTAGTCAGATTCTCAGTACACAGAGTCTACTAACGTACATAATGTTGACATGACTGAATCAAACAACGGGTGGCGCTCTTCCATGTCTTCACGATTAACGGTGTCAAGTCCAACCTCGTTTTCATAATGTTGAGCAAGTACGCTCTCACCGCCATAATGTTATGGAAAATGAAGTTGAAAATAAAAAGAGGCCCTGGACGCGTCAATGCAAAGGGCGCAATTCGCTCGTACTGCACTTCAACCTCGTCCCCAGTGCTTACTTTATTTCCAACCGCGTTTCCTGAGAGAGCAGGTAGTGGTGGGCGCGTACTGCTCGACACCCTGGGGACGAGGTTGACTGCACTCTATCCTGTTTGCAGTGCGGGGGGTACCAGCGAAAGGGCGCAAACTTTGCCAACTGACATTTTATGTCAAAAGAGGGCGCGCTACACATATCGTATGGTCGCCATCGTATTGTACTGTTAACATTACCATATTTGAAGATATTTCACCACCCTTTATTTCGTTCAATTTGCGAGTCCATCCAAAGATGATCAACCCTAATAAAAGTAGCCATTGTCATTTTGGAAAACGTGCCTGCGCTCCATTGTAAAATAGAGCAATTTTATGATTCAATTTCATCCAAATTTCCATTTCAATTTCAGTCCTGTGCACAGCATAAACCAATATTTTTTTCTTTTACATGTCAGGGCCCACACAAAAAAGTTTTAATATCACAAAAAATATATATTTGGGTTTTGTAGGTAAATTTGGGCCTACACCCATAGACATAAAGAACCTACACAGTCAGTGCGCAGCGTTGAGAAAAGGCCTTCCGTTTATTTGCAACGTATGCACGAATTGTTCAGTTCTGCATACGTAATGAGATTGGAGGTCACATTTTCAAAAATTACTTTCGCGAAAATCTGTCTTTGAAAATGTGATTTTAGTTGATATTACAATAGAAGATGGTTCAATGTTTTCATTTTATTGATTTATTTAACCTTTATGAGGTTAGTTTTGTGAAATATCGTCGTAAAACCATTCGCGTCCGTGTATAGAATTGACGGTTAACGAAAAACGCCTTTTTTGTCCGATTAACCTAACCCGGCCCATCGGCTCAATCAATAGCGCCCCCTGTTGAGCACTTTGATCTGCAAGAAATTTCGAGTCACAGGCAACAGCGCCCCCTTCCTTTGATTTGATCACTACATTTTTTTCAGATAATTGCGCCCTCTATTGTGCTGAATGAACAACAACTGTGCTGAAAAGTGAATAATTACAAACATCATGGAACAAAACAAGCATTAACTGATTACAATTTAATTGGATGAGTTTTGAATTTCATAAAACAAAATTAATTAACATAATGGTGTGATTATTTCAGAGAGAAAACAAAGCAAAAATCCTTTATAACCAGATATGTTTGTCTTTTTTCAATACTGTTATAAAACATTGTTTAGTCAGCAAAGTTTTTGTTTCATGAGATATAACTTCTTCAGCCCTTCTGTTAACAATGTTGATATAAGCTTTACTGGAGGTCAAAATGTGATACAATTTTAATAACTGCTTTTTCTTGGCCTTTGAACAAAAATGTGCAAAGAATGATTAATACCATCACCAAATCAAACATGAAAACAGGGGCAAAATAATGGTGATATGAATATTAAAAGTAAAGTTGTAGAGGTTAGAGTGCTACAAAGTGAACTAATTAAACATAAAGAAAACTTCACAGCTGCAACCTTTTTTTAAATTGAACAATATCTTTATTAAATGTAGGTTTTTCTGGCCGAATTTGTCAAATTAGCAGCCAATGTTTATACAGTGTCATTAATATAAAACCTGGATTTAATTTTAAAATAAAGATTTTGAGTGCGTAAATCCGTAAACAAGCCACAGGAATGGCTGGGCAATGCACGTTGCTTTAATGGAAATACATGATAGTATCTAAACACTGCAGAATGGTAAGTTAACAAGATTGGCCAAGAAAACGCACAGGAAAAAAGGTGATTCAATGGAGCCTCTTATAAGGCGAAAACAAAAGTGGTTTAATGAATTGTCGGTGGAAATAGTATACAATGCATTGGGAAACACAAGAATTAATTTTGATTCAATTTTGTTTGGCCTTTTTACCAGCATAACTGATCATGTGGATTAATTTTACGGAATGCTTCAAAAGCTTAAAATATGTTGAATATTAAAATGTTAACATTCAGAGATTTCAGATCTCTAATGTGTCCCCACTTGACACACAACACTCATATACCTCTCATAAATTAATACTATATTTAAAAGATTTGCTTTTTTTATACAACCTTTAAATCTTATGGCATACTTTAGCTTGGACATTTTCCAAACTTTTTTACCTCCGAAACATGACTAAGAATTGTTTCAAAGAATCTCACGATAAAACAAAGCATCCATGAATTGAGAAATATTAAGTTTTATAATTCCACAAGAATACTGACTTTCAATACTTCTTTGTCCACTGTTTTGGAAAATTAAAATTTCATATTTGCTTCAGCAGCAAACATTTTACAGGTTCGCTTTTCACACTGTATGTAGATTCAAATCGCCCACACGGCCCAAAAATTGTTTGAGATAATCATGCAAATTATAACAATCATGATGAAGATGATTTCAGGATTTCTTGTGTGTTGATAAAACAAATTAGGATTGGCAACATTTTGAAATTTACCCACTGGAATTGATGACTGACTCTCATCAACATTTCGATTCAAATTCACAAGTTAATTTCTCACTTAACACACGTCTTGTGATGAAAGGTCTCAACGTTGGTTGTTTTTTAGGTTCTGTACTTCTTAGGCTTTCAATAAAGCCTTCACGACAGCTTTGACGTTCAGCTTACGCAGATCACGATATGTCTGACCGGTCCCAACAAAGACAATAGGCTGACCAGTGGTGTAGGTCATCGAAATAGCAGCGCCAACCTGCGAGAAAATATGAGCAATGATTGAAATAAGGGGACAGCAGTACAAAGTCATGACTCTGCAGTGTCTACAAAACAAAGCAATCGTCAGTCAAAAAATCAACAGCACAAAACTTGTTCAACTTGTGACAGAAACTTATAGGCGCCGTGCGCAAACAAGGGGTAATTTAACACTTTTGAGAGCCCAGTCAATGGGACACACTGTGTTCGTGTACTGGTTTTTGCAAGCAAAGTGTGATTCGTTTTATTCTGAAAGCCATTGCATCTTTGTGTGAGCATCAGATACCGACAGCGCTACACTCACATGTCTCTCCCAATGGTCTCACAAACACTCTCTCTTTGTACAAATAAACCATTCTCAGGGTACGCCATCTTGAACATCATAGCAAGGCAAACAACGCAAACAAACATGGCGGAGTAAAGAGTGTAAGCGGTCAACGAGTGACTCTCACAAAGTTACAGCAGATTGAAAGTCTTATAAATGAATGGATAGGTCAAATTCCCCTGAAACATCGATTCATATTCCAAGTTGGTCATGTCGCATTGCATTTTGAAGAAGGGTCTTAGTAAATACAGCCTGAAACAGTGGCCGAACTGAAGCTTTTGTGTAGTAGTTAACACCGCAGCACTGCCGTCATTGTCAGACTTTTCAATTGTCACTTTCCATCCCATTTTCTCAACTGAAATTGCAATAATTTGGTAGGAACTACTTACATTATAAGGCTATCCGTGAATTGTCATTAGCAAAAGAGATGTCGTTTCCCAGAAACAAGAGCAACTGGAGCCCGATACAAACATGTAAAATTTCTCTTATATTTTGAGAAATTTCTCAACGGTCTTGCACTGTACCTTGACTTGTTTACTTACAAAATAACATGGACCTTCTAGACACCCATCTATAAGTAGAGCAGACGGGCGTCTCGAAGGCCCATATGTTTTAGGTTGGATATTCTAAAATCCTTTTTCAAAATGCAAATGAGACATGACCTACCTAGAATACGGATTGATGTTTTGGGGAATTGGAGCAATCCATCCATTTACAAGATTGTCAATCTGCTGTAACGTTGTGAGAGTCACTTGTTCACCGCACACATTATTTAGACCGTCATGTTTGTGTTTTTTGCCTCGCTTTGATTTTCAAGATGGCGTACAATGAGAAAGGTCTAGATGAAAACTGGCCACTTACCTTATCATCAATGGTGTCAAACTTAGTCAGCACAATGCCGTCAATCAGCCGAGGCTGGTCCATGTCTGAATGGTCCGCTAAAGCTCGATTGAACTTAGTTAACTGGTCCACTGCTTCGTTACCAACCAACGCCTCCCCAACGAAGAGAACTAACTCTGGCTGGTTGATTTTGATCAGCTATTTGAGCACAAATAAGGAAAGAGGAAATTTGAACATTTCTTTATCAACAAATATAAACACATTCCAAAATAAACAATATCTCAGGGAGTTACATCTATTAAAGGTGATTATGTTTGGAGAGTTATTTAAAAAATGTGGACATTTTGGTTAACAGATTCAGTACTACAGTTTCAAAAGTAATGAAAACATTATCTATCTTCATGCAGTTCTCCATTGAGGGCAATGCATGTTTGTACTAGATCCACATTGGAACCTATAACAGCTCTTAAGAATACTAACAACACTGGTACTACCGCCCTCTTGGACAACAGTAAGTTGGTCATTCTATAACTGTTATATCCAACATATATACTGAGCAGGTAGTTTGCTATTCATAATTATGCTCGGCAGAAAACTGCATTGAGGCGGCATCCAGAATTATCAAATCATAAATGCCTTGTGCTTGTGGCTTAGCCAATGAGAAAAGGGCATTTGGCTCATGAATATGCATGATGTGTAGTAAATGGACTTACTTTGGATAGAGCTCTCATGAGTGGTTCATTATCCTGCATACGTCCTGCTGTATCAATCAACACAACGTCAAAGTGACAATCACGAGCTGCGGGCAAAACAAAGTCATTTAACAGCATAAGGTATTTGATCTGTGCAGATCTATAGACCTACCAGACCTACTCACTTGAGGACATCTTTTGTTAAAGCAACTTTGCAATCGTAAAACACAAGTAAAACATCAAATGAACAACTGTCGCAGTTCAATTGACACATGTCTTGAGAAAAGAATACTTGATGACAACTCTGAAACCATAGGGAAAAACAACAAGGATCGATAACTATAGTAAACTCCGGCTAAGATGGCACTCTCGGGACAAGAGAATTTGTGACGACTTACGCGAATGTCGGCTTCTGCTGCAAGTCGTCATTTTGCCGACTTACACAAATACACAAATTGAATCACGGAGTGAAAAAAATAGATTGAATTAATGGCCTATGCGCATCTGTATCTGGATCATGCAAACAAGATTCATGGCTAAAATTCAAAGGCTTTGATTTACCCTGGTTTATTTCTACATCCATGGTTGATTCCAGTAAATATATCGTCAATGTTTATCATAACAAACAGGTTGTGGTATTGATCACAGAAAGTCATGCATGTACATGTATGTACGTACAAAGCAAGGAGGGCGCGGCCGGCTAGCGTTAACAGTGGTAGATATACAGATCGCTTGCATACTGTACGTCCATGTACATGTAGTGTACGTTGTGCACGTACCTGTACATGTGTGCATGGTACTTGTACAATAAGGGGACCCCCAAAATGAACAGAGTGCATGCGTGCAGTCGAGAGGGGGTACTGGTATTGATGTGTTATCGGGAAAACCCCTTTTTGATCGCGCACGTGTAAGCGAATGATGCACACAATGTACAGACTGTGCATGAAACAGTGTACACGTGCGATTAGTGTACACGTGCTGACCGATGCATCAATCACGGGCCGTGCCATTGATAAACAGATGTCAGTTAGCAGTGTGTGGGACTTTTCACTCGAAACTTCTTGCAAACGGCAGAGCACGATGCCGACTGATACAGAGGAATTTTTGTGGTTTTGAGGAAATGGGATTGAAAGTAACACGCCGACATAGGCGAAATGGCGGCTTACAAAGGCCGACTTAGAAATGAAAAAGTCAATGGAAATGCATTAGAGACAATCGGGACTATCGTCAGACGGCCGATTAAGCGATATGACGGTTTATACGATGTCAGTTTAGCCGGAGTTTACTGTACTCAGTAACTTGATAAATCGTGTCACTCAAGCCAATCCGATATCACATACTATGTCCTACTGTCTTTTCAACCAAATGTTTTTATGTTAGAAGAAAAAAAACAGACTGGAGCATTGTTTGAAATAGTTTTGCCCCAGATGAAAGTGATTGAAAGTGGATCATGCATATCTAACGGCATGATTACACCAGCGCACCTGCTCGCACTAACGTCCTGGGAATCCTGTGGTAGCCGCTTAAGTTGTTCTTTATTTTCTCCTTAGGCTTTCCTAGGAACGAATCAGTGATCAAGGAATGGTTTATGCTCACACGCACAATACGTTCGGCACTGAACAGTAAGCCTTTTTTGGAGGCAACTTTATAGTCTTCACACGGCGGTTGTAAACATGCGAGCTACTTTTTTCGAAGTCATTAATATTTCCACCAACGGTCTCATTCACGTAAAACACCCACGCCCCATTGCTGCAAGATTCCCAAGACGTTAGTGTGAGAAAGTACAAAAACAATTATGCAAGGGCACTGTGCAACAATGCAACCATCACACCGACGTCTTTGGCCGAGACTACATTTGAACCCGCAACCAACAGGGCACTACAAACTGAGCTATCCAGCATTAGGTCTTTGTTCAAAGGGCACTAGTCAGAAGCCACTAATCATAAATGCCATGAAGCCAGGGATCACGTCCTAAATCATGATGCTAGCAACCTGGGATCACTCAGGATTATTAGAATTATAAAAATATACCACAAAGTGGAACTGCCAAACATAGCGCTGGATAACTCTGTTGGTAGAACGCTGGAACAATAATCTGGACGTCGCAGGTTCAAATCCCCACTGCAGTCAATTTCTTTGTTTCACTTTAAAAGAACATTTGTAATGTACATGTCACCATAACTAATTAGCAACTAAGTACTATATTTACCACCCAATCAGAACTCTCATACCATGTTTTCTTGTCTTCATAGCCAATCAGTAGCAATGTACTATATTTACTAGCCAATTACAGCTCACGTACCATACTTGATGGCCTCCATAGCGATGCCAGCAGCATCCTTCCCATAGCCTTTCTCATACAGTTGAACCGGAGAGCGCCCGTCGTGTTTCTCAGCAGGATGGAGAGCGTTGAGATGACTGGTGTGAGTTCGTAGCTGCTCTACAGCACCGGCCCGGAACGTGTCACAAGCAGCGATCAAGACACTGAAGCCATTCTCTACCAACCAGAAGCAAATCTGCGAGGGGGGGGGGGGATACAATGCAATTTTGGGATTTCCTGTTATAGTCGTGTTCCCTAACGTGGCGCACTTCGAAGCATGTTCGAAGCTTACCCAACTTTCCTCGTGTAGTGTTGCCAAACCTCTTTGTTGACAAACCTCAAATTCATGCAGGGAAATACTAGTACTTTTACCTTATTAATGCGTGCTATTTAACCTCCGTGAACAATTTCGGTTTCATAAAATTAAATCCAAAATTCAAAAACGGTGGCGTCCGGAAATTGGGCACAAATTGGCGGCGTGTTCCCTAATGTGGCGCACTTAAATAAATCTCGGAAAATTCCAAATTAACATTTAAGAATTTCTGTAAACTTGATAAATTCTGATAAATCATTATTATTTCTACTTACATACCCAGCCAGATGTTTATCAGAAAATTATTTCTTATTTTTCGGGGCATTTTCAAAGGTTTCACTTTGCACTTGAAAATAAAATCGGAAAATCACGCCAAAATAAAATTTTCTTTTAACTTTGTAGCGGGTAAATAAACTCGCAATTTATAAACAGGAGTGTTGAGAACTTGATGAAATTTCACTTTCTATGAAATTTCAGTTAAAACTTTTGCTCTAGCTAGGCGCTACAGGCGAAAAATCAAAGTGCGCCACGTTAGGGGCCGCGCCACGTTAGGGTACATCAACAATACAAATTTGCATAACTTGAAGACAATTTGGGTCTCAAACATTTCAGTGTGTGTGTCATTACATCAATTTTCCTTTAAATTTCCATTTACATAAATAATTTTGCACACCCCCTAGGGAGTTAGGGTCAAGTAGAGGACCAAGTCCGTCAAAATCCATCGAACACTCTGCTTCCAGGACATGACATCATGGAATCACTACTGAAGTACTGATGGATAATGATGGACCCGCAAAGCAAAGTCAACCAAATTCCCCAGCACTGCTTCTGGCCTCCAGGCCCAAGTCAATAATACTCCATCAATATTTAGTCAAACCAGGCCTGCAGGACCAAGTCCCCCCAAATAAGGGATGGATTTTGATAAAGTTGGGTAGGATGTGTGTTAAATTCCAACTCCAATTTCCATTTTTTTTAAAATTCTATTTTGGGCCTCATTTACCCTCTTTAAAAAGGATGGTTTTTTTTCGTTATTTTTTTTTTAAGGGGCAATTGGTTACTGGTCCGTACTTTATCGATACTGATTGTGGGGAACAAGACTACCCTCAGAAAACTGAATGATCGTCAGGCTGTCAGTAATTTGAAATTTGTAATATGTCAATAACTAAACAGGGCAGACTTTTTTGGGTCGATGTCTTAATCCAAAGTGAAAAAGTTTTGTATTGCTAGAAAAAAAGCATTCTAAGAAATAAAGATCATTAAGCTTGAAAATAGCGTAGGGAATGCCACTTTCAGTATTTTGGTTTAAGAAATTGTTGTACCTTGGCTAAGTTGGTTGACTTCCCAACACCATTGACTCCACAGAAGACCATGGAGTAAGGTTTGCCACGAGAACGTGCCTCCATCGCATCACGTAAGATGTCAATACGACGACGCGGGGATAAGATCTGAACCAAAGACTCCTCAATTCCTTCACGGATAACCGAGGTCACACCTACGAATAAACAGCAATCGAACCAGGCGTTAATAGAAAGAAAAAAACTAGCAGTAGGATCTGAACCAAAGACTCCTCAATTCCTTCAAGGAAAACTGAGGTCACACCTTGGAATAAACAGGAATCGAACCAGGAGTCAAAAGAAAACAAGCAGTTGGAAGTAGAGATCTCAAAGCAAAAAATCTGAATTCTCTTCAACGCAAAACTTCACACATGATTTACACAGAACTACTAGCTTAAAAATGTGAATATTTGTCCAGCCTTTACCAGTTACATTTTTCCCCTTAAAATTCTTAAAAAGATTGCTTTCATGTGCGTTGCTGGGAAAGATTTCAACATGTTCCAGGTGTTTCTTCAACTTACGGCTTAGAGTTCCCATGACTTTTCCTTCCAGCTTGGTAGACACAGAATCACACAGTTTCTCTGCGATGTCACGTGCAACGTTCTTAGCTGCAAACATAAAAATTTGAATCAATTGTCAAGCTTCATTCAACGTTCTTCCACAAATACATTGTACCAATGCAATCATAGAGGTTTGTACTTTGCACATTGCAGAGCTTATTGTCAGGCAAAGAGATGTTCCCCTGTCTGTTCTAGGGTTCCCAATGGGCTAGTGAGTTGAACTTGCGAAGAAAAATGAAAGCAGTGACATGAAGTTAATTGCAAATTAATACCAGTCTGCTCTGATGAATAATTAAAAAATTTTGATTAAATATTCCCTAATGTTTTAAGCCACATTGAAAAACAAACTGAAAGTGAAGCTAAAACTAACCACTTCGCACCAGGTTTATTCGCAAGAGTGAATTCAACAGTATTTGTATGACATTTCTTGCCGAAACCTCATATGTCTTCAGGGTGTGCAACAATAGGCCGTGCACGGCCCAAACAACGGTCAGCAAATGGTCCACCTCCACAGACTACATAGACTTTGTATGTGCGTACAAAAGGCACAAGTCGAGGCAATCTTGACCCTTAACCCATCAGCCATGCCTGTGCACAAAAACAGCCAGTGCGTGTTATCATGGCCTCGAACTGGTTAATGCATACATAGTCTGACACCATCCCATTCAACCGTTCAGGGAACACGACCAACATGGCTTCCTTGTGAATACGGTCAATAGTTGACCATACATGCAAGTATAGTTCAACAAGAACTTGTACATACAACAAGGTATTTCCTGAATTACTGATTAACCAATAACTGTCAATGGGTCTGTCCAAACTAATGGTTACAACTTATAACTTTATGGGTGAGACATGGGAGGTGGATTTCAAAGCAGGTTTTTTGCTAATTTTTATTTTTAAACATTCCTGTATTATCCGTGATTGGACTGATAAATAAGTAGGCCGATTCACTGGATATGTAGGAAATTACTCGGCCATCTTTAAGATGAAATGAAGGATAATGTTCATAACATGGATGGACACTCTTGATTCATACTATAGGTTCTTAATATAATATATCCTGGCCATGTTCCATTTATATTACATATTCAATGAAGAATTAGTATCATTCAACATTAAAGCAACCTGTTAAGTATTTATGAAATTATGATGCAACTTGATACATGTTCATAACATGGACAGAAATTTGTGACACAATTTCTGTCAATATGAACATGAAGTCTTGAAGATGTGCCCACCCTGTAGTTAAAAATACCTAGAGGTTTAACCTGAGATTGGCCAGTGGCAATCTCTCAATGGGTAGCTTTACATTAGGAACAAATTTGGTATAATTCATGTATTTTATTTACTGCTTCCCATCATTTAACTAGAACGGCGAAGCCGCCATGGCTCGCTGTCCAAGGCAGGAAGGGAGGCTGAAGGTAGGGTTGAGGATGGGCATGATGGAAGGGGATCAGGATTCTTGTTGATGTGCCTAGGTGTAGGGGTCAGTTTTTAAATGTCAACATAAAAAGTCAACAGATTACCTAATAAATACATGTGTATATAGGTTAGCCGTCACTGTATTATGGGGGAGTTTTCCATTGTTAGGGTAATTAGGACCCAGTTGTGGATATTTGCAGCCCCAACAGTGCCTTCTGCTCCCCATACTTGTATTACCATGGGAAAACTCTTGTGTAGTCGCCACAAATGCAGAACAAGAATGGGTATACATGTACATGAAGACACAGCACCATCACCACCTCCCCCAAACCTTACCCCATCCCCAAACCTTACCCCATCCCAAAACCTTACCCCATCCCCAACCCGCCCCCTCCCCCTCCCAACCCCCTACCCACACCCATTCCATCCTCCCCTAATCATCCCCACCCTATCACCTACACATCCAAACCCCACCCAAACTCCAATCCCCATCTCCTTCCCCCTCCCCTGACCCGTACCCTCCCCTACCCCAACCCCCTACACCCACCTACCCTATCTTCCCCTATCTGTCCTTACCCACCCCTACACATCCCCACCCTAACCCTTACTCGAATTCCAATATCCCGCCCACCCCATTCCCCCACCCATACATCCCCACCTGACCCCATGCAACCCCTACTCTGATCCCTATATACTGCCCCCTCCCCTTATCCAACCCCTACAACAACCCATCCCTACACATCCCCAACCCAACCCCTACTCCGATCCTATATCCCGACCCCTGCCCCACCCCCTCCTAACCCAACCCCTACATCCATGCCCATCCTCTCCCTACCTGTCTCCCCCTACCTGTTCCCACCCCACCCCTACAAATCCCCACCCCACCCAAACCCAGTATTCCAACCCCTCTCCCCACCCCACCCCACCCGCCCCGCCCCACCCTTCCTAGCTCCCCTACTCATCCTACTCACACAAACCCTAACTCCAACCCTATCCCCCACCCCACCCCACCCCACCCTCCCCTACCCCATCCCTACTCCAACCCCATAAACTAAAAGATCAAACCAGAAGCTCATGCACATCCCCAAAATGCATAGTGTACATGTACATGTTATACCGGTATACACACATGTACATGTTATACCAGTATACATGTACATGTAACAATTAAAAACTTTAACATTTCCTTGAATTAAAGTTCCTCAATAAAATCATAAAATTTACTGCAATGATATGAACCTAACTGAAGTTATAGGCCTAGAGATGATACCTGACAACTGCATTTAATTTTTTTCCCCAAGTTATAGACTAGAACCAAAAACTTCAACATTTTTATCTGAACGCGGACGGCCGGACGGACGGACGGACGGACGGACGGGCGCCCGGACAGACGGACGGAAATTGGTATTACATAGGCTCGCATCTGCTTCGCAGCTCGCCAAAAATGAAAGGTCTGTCCATGTTATGAACGTTAAATCTTAAAGAAAATCCTCTGTAATTTCTCGAAACCTGAGAAATTGATCAAACTTGTTGGTGGGCAATGTTCATACCAAGATTTTGGATGAAGAAAGATGGAAAACTTAGCATATTACTTCATGTATCGACTCCTGTCCATGGTTCCCTCTGAATGTCACACTTTTGTAACCGTTAGTGTGAACAGACCCCAATCCAACGTGCTCTACATGTCCATTAAACAACTCACCAATCAGATGGTCCTGCATTTTATTCATGGCAGGGGCCATATCTTCCTTGGTCAAGCTCTTTGATCCAACAAGGCCCCGGAACATGTTGAAAACACCAAACCCACTGGACTTAGTAGACCTGTTAATGACATAAAGGAATTACTTTCTGGCATAAGTATAAAGCATTTTCCTAAAGAGTATAGAAGTCCAGTCTTTGTCCGTCTTCCGAGAAGTAACAGCATAAAGTGAGTTGAAAACTGGAAAAATTTACGTCATGTTAATTGTGGACGAAAGAGTGAGTTGGGGTCCACTGGAAGTGATATTCAAACGCACTGCTGACAATGCCTGGCATTCACGCCAAGATGATATGGCTTTGGGCACATTCAGAATAATACTAGTGGTGTGCACCACGCCATATACGCATGAACCAGTGGTCGAAGAGCGTCTACTACTCGTGCACAGAGTCAACATTCTGTTTTTTCTTTATATTTTAACCAAACACAGAGAGAAGCAAAAATGTATTTTGTTAACCCCAACTCCCTAGGGTGATTTACTAGAAAAGTTCCTCATCCTTGCAAATCCAAATACAATGGTAAACTGTGCACATAAACAAGTTGGACTCTGCTATTTGTGGTATGCCTAATCCCACATAAAGCGCAGTCAGTTTACTAGTGCAGTACTCATCCTAACAGATTCCAACAATTCCTGTGTTGGAGTTTGGCTGGTTGGGGATCGTTAGAGTTAAGGTGATATGAGAAGGAAAATTAACAACTGACAACACTTGTTCCTACTTTTGATTGGTGACTTTGGATTTCTCCGGTTCATCAACCTCTTCCTCCTCTTCCTCTTCAACCTCATCCCCACTGGATTCATCAATGTTCTGCAAGTCACCGGCCATCGAGCCCACCATAGCCAACTGCGTCAAATGGACACATTCAGACATGTTAGTGCATCAAGAAAAAGTTATTTAGTTCCTTTAGGGGTAACTGCTTGTTCAAATTTACACCCTAAAGGTACCTCTCCACCCCTTACCTGTTCCTCTAGAGGTAACTGCTTGTACCTATTCACACCCCTAAGGGTACCTCTCTACACCTTACATGTTCCTCTAGAGGTAACTGCTTGTACCCCTTCACACCCCTAAGGGGACCTCTCTACACCTTACATGTTCCTCTAGGGGTATTACTGCTTGTACCCATTCACACCCCATGGGGACCTCTCCACACCTTATCTGCTCCTCTAGAGGTAACTGCTTGGTCCTATTTACACCCAAAGGGGACCTCCCTACAGCATACCTGTTCCTCTAGAGGTAACTGCTTGGTCCCATTTACACCCAAAGGGGACCTCCCTACACCATACCTGTTCCTCTAGAGGTAACTGCTTGTACCTATTCACACCCCTAAGGGTACCTCTATACCTTACCTGTTCCTCTAGAGGTAACTGCTTGGTCCCATTCACTGCCCCGTTGTTTCCCTCTGCGGCATTCTTTGCGCTGTAGTCCAGCGATGGCATGTCTTTGACTGATCCCCCGTTACTCCACTGTCTTGCTTCTTTGCCTTTCTTCTTCTTGTCTTCTTTGGGACTGGCTTTCCTACATCAACAATCAGCGAGACACAAAGAATGAAAAAAACAAAATCAAGTCAAACATCCCTGAAAAACTGTTTAAAAAACAAACACATTCTTGAAAAAGACAACTAACTTTGCTTCCAGGTGATGTAAATCAACATTACGTTTTGCCATTCACCGCAAATCCATCTTATGAATAGTTTAATGTACATCAGATTCGAACCAGCCGACCAATCCCGCAATCTCGGTGGTTGAGTGGTAAGACGTCTGCACTAGAAAGCAGGAGGTCATGGGTTCGAGTCCCAACCGAGTGTTTTTTTCCAACTTTCACTCGGGAGGTAACACTCTAAGTATACAGTGTTTATACGTCCGAGAAGGGCAAAACCTATTAAATGTTGAAAATGAAAATCTTCTCGGAAAAACTCAGAGGAATGCAACCTCTTGACAGTAATTGTGGACGTACATGGAATAGTTTTAACTCTCTGAAGCGATTATAGAGTTAAGACTTACGGTAATTTCTCAACTTTCTTGGGTTTAGCTCTGTTGAAGAGACGCTCACGATTCTTGAGGATAGTCTCCTCATCCAGCCGCTGTTCTTCCTGATCTTTGCTGCCATTGGTGATTATCTGGGTAGGAGCAGGCTCAGGCTTCACAGCTGTGTGAATAAGAAATGGGAATCAGTCTGTCAGCCTTGAGCAGGAGGCTAAGGAACAGACGATCTTACTTTTAACCCTAACCCACCAAAATCATCCACAATCAACCAGAGATTTTGGAGGTTTGAGGCTGCATGCTGGGTTAGTGCCCATTTATTTTGGAGGCTACATTGTATCACGATCTAAAGCTGTATATTGTGTTATTTATGCTTAGCCAGGCATAAATTGCTAGACTGGTTCCCCTCGTACCTGACAGGGAGAAGACAGGTAACAAAGGTTGAGAATGAGCTTTCTCAATGCTCAGATCCTATTTGTTTTGGTGTTCCTCAAGGTACCATTTTAGGTCCCTTACTGTTTTCAGTTTTTATCAATGATCTCCCCTCCGTGATTAAATATTCTAAATTTTCCCTATATGTTTATGACACAGCCTGTTTATGCTGACACAAAGATTGATCAAATCAACCATTTTCTAAATCATAATATTGATAGAGTAAATGTATGGTTGACAAAAAATAGATTAGTTTTAAACAGTTCTAAATCAAAGAGTTTGTTGATTGGTTCGACCCAACGACTAGCAAAGGTCCAGCAGCCTTCAATGAACGTCTTGTTTAATAATGCCCCTCTTGAACAGACTTTCTGTACGAAGTATTTGGGTGTTCAAACTGATCCTAGTCTCAAATGGACTGATCACATAAATAATGTAAGCATAACCATATCCAAACGTCTTGGTGTACTCAGCAGAGTTAAGAAAATTCTCCCGACTAAAACCTTGAATCTCATCGTTAAGTCAATTATTCTCCCTCATTTTGATTATTGTGACATAGTCTGGACCATAGTCTGGACCATAGTCTGGACCATTGATTAAAATTCTCAATTGAGATCATCAAATATGCAACCATTATTTCTGAGGGATTGAATGTGCTTTTTGTTGGGCACTATAGCGGCTAGATGAAATTTATTTCAATGGGTTTTTTTCCCCCGGCTAATTATAAGGTACAATTTTTAACGTTCAATTTCAAGCAATTTTTATGCTCTCCATTTTTAAAATAATGTTTCATACTGTGCAATGTTAAATATACATGTAGGCTACACACATGTATATGATTTTATCTATTTCAATTTTAATGTTAAAATAAGGTTTTATTGTATTATTACTCCTACTGGGACCCATGGGAGATCAGTTCTGACAAAAGGACTGAATGGGCCACCCGGTAAAAAGAAGAAATAAATAAATAAATTTAGGCTTAGATTATACTGCCTCAATGTACTACAGTGGTTATTGCAGGATTGTCAGGGATTGAGGCAGTGGTCATCCCTCCAATGAATTTCTAGAAATATTGGATGATTTTGGAGGATTAAGGATAAAGGGCATCATGTTGCTCTTAGTTTGGGGAGTCAGGTTGGCGTAGCGGTACTGTCCTCGCCTTCCACCGCTGTGACCCAGGTTCGAATCCCGTCTGGGCCAATATGTGGATTGGGTTTTCAGTCCCTACCTGACTCCATGGGTTTTCCCCAGAATATTCTTTTGGGTTTTTCCTTCCACCTCTAAAACTGTAATTTCTTCTCATTGTCTTCTCTCTACACGTTTCTTCGGGCTTGGGAGCTACAGTGCCTAGGGCGCTTTTGAGGAATCCTTAGTTTCATTCCCAGAAAAAGAACAACAATACAATAGCTTTACCTGCTTTCTTTGCTTTGTTGGTCTTGTTTTTCTCTTCTTTCTTGGGTTCAATCTTCATGGATGCTACCGTCTTCTTAGATTTTTGTGACTCTTCAAATGTTCGCATCTATTAGAGACAAACCAAACATTTATAAGACAACCTACATGATCACAGCTACTTGCATCTGCGTTGGTATTCTATACAGTGCATTATCGAAGCCGATATGCCCGAAACCTAAACACACAATCAGAAAATGAGTGTTTAATTTTGCTCTGCGCAAACAACGCACAGTGCGCGTATGAAAAATCAAACACTTTCAATCTCTGGCTGAGCTCCATGGTCATAAATGGGTCGTATGGCTGGCTGTCTTTCTCAGCGCCTTGTTTGGGCAGTTGTACGAGCTAACCTACTCTCCTGTTTACCAATCTTGGACGTATCTCTACTTTAAGAACCGCGGGCATTATCAGAGGGCAAGTTCGCGAAAGAACTATTGTTAACCATAGCTCGACTTAGTTAGCCTGAACTTTGTCTAGTCGACGATGGTTGTACTACTCTAGTAGACTATTCAAGACCAGCCTACCGCGGCTGGTCACGCAACGATTTATAGCTGGTTATCAATGGCAATTTCCATACCATAGTGCAGAGGAAACCCACTATCAACAAAAATGGCGGAAAACGAAACAGTGAATGCTAAATTTCATTTTCAATTTTTCCATGTTAGTTTACGATTATGTCACTTCTGTACAATACTATTGGCGATTATGTAAGATGTCCTAAACTATACACAATCACTATTATTTGTGTAAATAAAGAGAAACAACAAGTGTTGAATAATTGTGCGACTGCCAATTTTGACAGTCGTTGACATGGCAATAGTTCGACTAGATGCGTTCGCACTTCAACTTTAGTGCGCATGTGCTAGGTACATCACAAACTAACCACTAGTTAACCATTGGTCCTTGATCCAACTAGACTCGTTATTGGTACATTATCTTCACTGTGCATGCGCTAGGTACGTCACGAACCAACCACTAGTTAACCATTGGTCCTTGATCCAACTAGACTCGTTATTGGTGCATTATCTTCACTGCGCATGTGCTAGGTTCGTCACAAACCAACCACTAGTTAACCACTGGTCCTTGCTCGGACTTGCCCCATGACAGTAGAGTGTGCTATTGATGTCAACAGAGGGCGCCCTACTCACCTGTTTACCAATCTTGGCTTTATCTCTGCTCTCTTTCTCCGCCTGCTGCAGCAATTGTTGGAATTCCCCAGTGAAGTCAAATTTTCCAAACAAACTGCCGATCTTCAAATCCTCCTTGTACTTATCTCGGAATTCCAGATGTACGTCGTCTATGAATTTATCCACGTAGGACAAAGAGAGGATCTTTTGATATGCGACCTGTGTGTGTAGAGACCACAGCGAAAATTTACATGAAATGATTAATTTCACATTTACAAAAAACAACAATTAAGTCAATGATTGATGTAGAAAATCTCAATCAAACTCTTAATAGAACCGGTGACAACACGTTCATTGGTACAATCCGAAACGTCGTCTATTATATTATCGATCATACTGAAAAAAAAAAGAGAACACATTACTTACAAATTACAAATTGCAAGGGGGAAAAAGTAAAAGTAAAGTCTGTCACGAACCAATGTGGCCCATCAGGCTGGCGTTTATCTCTGGTTTCAGTAGCATGAAATGATTGAGAATATTTTTATTCCCCCTGGACGGGATGCTAGTCCATCGCAGGTTACTCCCCAGCTAATGCTGGTACCCATTTATACTCCTGGGTGGAGAGAGGCAAGTGGAGTAAAGTGACTTGCCCAAGGACACAACGTATGGCCAGCAGTTGGATTCCAACCCCTGACCCTCTGATCATGAGCCCTACCCCCTAACCACTAGGCCACACTAATTACAAGGGGTACATGCAGTTTACTGAAGCAATACTTACAACAAAAATGAGTTCAAACTCGTTGTCTAGTTTGTACTTGAGTGTCAGGGATCCATGTTCAAATGTACTCGATCCACCACGCTCCTAAAAACAAAACCAAAGAAACCAAACCACAATTGTGATCCATTATACATTATTACATGCATTCTTGCTCAGCGTGTTCCTCACTCTTTCAGAAGGAACTACGGGAAGTCCTAATATTGGCAAAATATGGGAAATCGCATGGGTATTAAAGTGAACCTGCATGCATGCAGGGTTTCAGGCTGAATGATTTCCATGAACAAAAAGAACATCATTTCAGTCACTTCTCTGCTTCCCTGACCTGCAGACAAAAGACGTTAATTCTCTTTTTAAAATGTGCTGGAATTCTCTTGAATAAACCATTTTTGGAAAATTAAATAATACTTTATAATGTGCTTGATTTGCGGTGGTTCTGTCTGAAATATTGATATTCTCGCGTGATCAGTTCTTTTCGCGTGAAGAAGTTTTTAATTTATTTTAAATAATTGACAGTGCGTCCAATTGGATATCTTGTCAATTTGCTTGGCGTGATTAAACCGATCCGGAACTAGGACAAGTGGTGGAAAAGATGTTGCAACCTGACGCCACTTCCACAATTGTGTACAAAGTCTATGGAGAGTCAAGAACATTTTCTAAGTATTTCTTAACAAAATTGGAAATGTTTCTCAGTCCCAGATTCATGTCTTATCATCATTTTTGATATCATTTTTTTATCATTGAGATGATATATGAAGTAAAAAGTGGCATCAGGTACTCAGGTTGCAACATTTTTCCCATTGATTGCAATCCGGAACCAGGAAAATGACTGTACATGCTGTATAGTGGTGTTCCCTAACGTGGCGCACTTCGATGTTTGCCTGGCTTTACTGCATGCATTGTTGCCAAACCTCTTCGTAGAAAAACTTCAAATTCATTCACTTAAATCCTGGTAGTTACCTTAACAACGCTACCTGTTGAACCTTTGTGAACAATTTAAGTGTCATGAAATTAAGTCCGAAATTAGAAAATGGTGGCGTCCGGTAATCGGGCACAAATTCAGCCGAGTGTTCCCTAACGACGTACTAACGTGACGCACTTGAATAAATGTCGGAAAATTCTAAATTAACATTTAAGAATTTCTGTAAAGTTGATAAATTCTGATTAATCATTATTATCTCCACTCACATACGCAACTACAAGTTTGTCAGCAAATTATTTTCTTATTTTTGGGCGAATTTTAAAAGGGTCCATTGTCATTGTGCACTTCGAAAAAAAACCCGGAATATCAAGCCAAAATAATTTCTCTAGAACTTTGTAGCGCCTTAGCGGGTACGTAAACTCAACATGCTCAAGATTTATGAACGGGAATGTTTCGAGCTTGATGAAATGTCACTTTTAGTGAAATTTGAGTTAACAATTTTACTCTAACAAGACACTAGAGGCGAAAAATCAAAATGCGCCACCTTAGGGGCCACGTAACGTTATGGGCCAGGGTACATCACATCGGTGGAACAGTACTCAGTCAGATTCAGAATCACGCGCATACTTCAACTTGCCGGCCGTTTTAATGGTAATCCTTACTTTTAGGACACCTCTAATTTTACGAGTTCTGTTCAAAACTGACTTTTGCAGATGACTGTCCAGTACCAAAGTGACTTTTGCAGGCTAAAGCAGCCTTTTTTCTTCATATAAACTCATGTTAGTTGTAATTTTGAAAGCACTTTCAAAGAAAATACATGTATGACTTTCCTACCTTTTTTCACAGTCAGACGTGCATGTTGTAGTTATCACACGCGTGAAAGCCCTACATAATGAAAGCCCGATGCTGATTGGCTGCTAAAAAAAATAATTAAGATGTTTATTTTTTATCAGCCAATCAGCATCGAGCTTTCATTGCATCGAGCTTTCACATTTGCCATCTTGGTTTTTTAGTCTGTTTTCTGGTTGTCATCATCGTCTTTTACCCCTCAATTTCCCTCTAAAATCAAAGCCCTGCCCTCTTTCCACAAACTTAAACCTGCTGATATTCAAGAAGGTGTCATTGCGAACTGTTCAAATGTGTCAAGAAATATCAGAATGTCACTTTTGAGTGTCATTTAGTCAGCTGTTTTGGTGAGTCTTTCCCTTCCTATATAGGAACGGGGTCCTAAAAGTAAGGATTACCGTTTTAATTTGGCAGTGTATATTTTGCCGGAGACGGCAAACCTTTAGTAAACGTTAGTTTGCCGGATATGCACTGAACATGCGCAGTTACTGTTTTTTTGTACTTAAACATTTTCTGGTGACAAGTTTTAGTCTGGCTCCATGCCAAAATTATCGTTGTTACCTCGTATTCACAAGATGGGATTCAGACCATTTTATAATTCCGGACTTTATTTCCCTTTTAAAAAATATCCTCCAGAGCCACAAATTTGAAAAAGAAAATGTAATACTCTGCAAAAAATGTTTGAGACATGTTAAAATAATAAAAGAAGAATATTCTTATTTATTTGGGGATGAGAAAAAAAACCTTTAAAATGTGGTGCGGTCGGAATCGAACACGAGTCATCCCACTTACTAGAGCCTTTGCCTAACCACTACACCAAACGTGCTACACAACTTTTGGTGGGAATTTAATACATATTATAATTCAGCCCTATTTTAAAGAGCACAGCGCCCTCTGTTGATATGGATTGCCGCCGACAAACCTTTAGTAATCGTTAGTTTGCCGTCATTACCTCCGGCAAAATATCCACTACCTTTTATTAATTTCGTAGTTTTTTGTACACAACATATGGAACATACGTATTCAAGTTAATACAATTCTCACTCATTTCTCTTACCTGTAAGATAACGCTTTTAATCAGAGCGTTTACCGGTGAGCCAAGGGCTTGGCATGTTCCCTGAAAATACCACAAGACGATCCCGCCCTTGCTAAAAATCGTAAAAAGATCCAACATTTTGTCGGTCTTATTGCGAATCCGTCAATGTGCAATTTTTATTATTGCCGCTGGTACCGTGCTATTGGATTTCGTAATGACATAGACAATAAGCGCTTGTGAATGTGCGCTGCTGTGCACCAGCTACAAATTAGGTGACGTGTGAAACAGCCGTTGAGTTTAATGGACAGTAAACAGTCGCGCAAAAGGGTGATTTGTGGGGTCATTTGTGGAAGAGGGGGGGGGGGCGATGCCCGCTAACTAATAGTAATACATTTAGATTTTTAAACAATTTCGTTGAGAAACACTGAACATTTAACCCAAGGCCCCATTGGAGTGCACGTAAATTATGTCATAATATAAGTTAAGGCCCCCCCCCCCAAAAAAGTCTCCGGTTTCTGGTATGGAGCTTGCCCAAAAAGTGGTGCGGCGACGCGGCTTTTTTTTTTTTTTTACCTGATTTTTTTGCTTCAAATGTGTGCTGATGACTGCAAATGGTGCCCGACTAAACTTAGTGCAAATATATGGGAGTCCAGAGAGGCCACATAAAGCTTATTCTCGACCATAACCCAATCTAAAAACACGTTAAAATTGTGCAGCAGCAGGATATCAGTCAAACCAGTGAGTTGGCGGTTTTGAGACATCATCTTTCATTTTGCCGACGCGCATGGCTACGGCGACGCGCGCGCATACCAGAAACCGGGGACTTTTTTTTTTGGCCTAATATATTTCACCCCAAAAATAAATGATTTGGGGGAATTCTGATTTCTGTTTAAACAGGGGGCTAATTGTGTTTGGTTTCACATTTTTATATTTTTCAAATGTTTGTTTAGTTCCGAATGGTAAAAAAAAATCATTATAAACCATTGAGTTAACTTTCTCAATGTTAATGTTTTTAAAGCTTTAAAACAGGAGCCAAACCTTATCTCTAAATCATTTTAATCACCGAGGGTGGTAGGTTTGGGCCGTGCTTTTCCCGTGGTTTTCAGCAGGCCAGTGAATTCGAGTAAAATCAATTTGAAAGGGAATTATATTCAAGTGAAATTGAATTTGGATCCTAAAGTTAATGTGTTAATTTCAACTTTGACGAAATCACGCAAAATGTGTGCATTAAATTCATCAACGGTGATATTGTGTTTATTGTTCCCAAGAACATTTATTCTGTACTCAAAGCCCCCTTATAAAATAAATAAGGACAAGTTAACACAGATGTCTTACATAAACATGTATCCATTTTTTGCTTCACTTTCACAAACAGAAACATTAATTGTGTAACAAACGCAACCAATTTCCCAATAGTTTTTTAACCAAGAAGATTCTTCACATACAAGTAATTAAGTAATTTAAGTCATCTCAGTACTTAGTATTTACATCTGGAAAGGAAATAATTCAAACCATACCTGACACACTCTGATTTTTTAAACCAAAAGGACATGGTCAAACCTTAAATTCCACAATAAATACTTCCGTTAAATTTATGTCCCAACCCCACCTAAAAAAAAAAAAAACAAAGACAAAAACACATACTGATATTCACATCAGACCTCCGTTAAAAATACTTTACAAACAATGACACAAAAGACAACATTAAGGAATTTGCACATAAAATTCACAGATTAAACAGTAGTTGAACATCAACGTATTCATAAATACTTTGAAAAAGGTTCAATTTTATCGTCAAATGAACCATATTTGGAACTATAACTTAGTTCACTTCAAATTGATTTTGGGTGAACAATCAAAAACTGACTGGGATTCGAACCTGTAACGTATGGAATGCTGTTTGAGTGCTCTACCAACTGAGCTTCCAAACCTTATGTTGGCAGTCTCCAAGTTTATCAAAGACTTTGTTCAATAGGTGCTAGGGAACCAATATTCTTGAGGTCACTGGTTCGAATCCCAATTAAGCCTTTTTTTTTCCAAAATAAAACTTGTTTCAAATTCACTGAAAATATGGAACCAAATTTGTAATCTTTATTACAACAAAAATCCTTAATGGGGTAGCTGTTGTAACTATGACCAAAGATTCTTTTAGTTAAGGGGGGGGGGGGCTGTGAAAAAAAAAGAAAAAACATGGAAAAGGGGGTCAAACAGTTGAAAGCATTAAATTCAATGAGAAACCGCAATGGTTTGTATTTTCCACATGTCAATAAAAGTCAGTTTCTCCAAATACCTTTGTACATAAGTAAGATTTGAGGCTTTGCATGGTGGAGATACTAAATAATGAAAGGTTTGCGGAAACACCATGTGCGAATAATTTCTCAACTAAGAGAATGGTTCTGAAAAGAACCAGAGGTATAAACTCGACGTTCCGGTCAGTATGCTCTGACCGTCGAGTTTATACCTCTGATTCTTTTCAGAACCATTCGAGTTTAGTTCAAGTACAACACACGGTCCGCCTTCACAGACTTCTCAGACTTTGTGTGTGTGAACAAAACAAATGGGGGATTAGTGTGTTTAGGCGTCACCCGGAGGCGAGTCGAGGCACGCTTGACATTTTATTCCATCAGCCGTGCCTGCAGCCAAAATGTGTTAACACGTCATCTGACTCTACGCGAACTGGTTAAAAACATATACATTGTTGTATTTACACAGAGTTTGCAAACTTTCAAGGTTGAAATCATGGTATCCACAAGAAAATTAGACGATAAACATAATGCATGGTGCATCATCACTGAGGCACCTTTAGTTCTTTAAATTCAGTGTCAAAGAAAGAACAAAGTGTTGACAAATGCATATCAAAGACGAACAAAGCCCTCTGGGTTTTGTGACATCATATGGAAAGTGTCTATTGGATGGCTGAAATGCCGAGCCTTAACCATTTTTGGTCTTTGATCATATGCTTTGCTTCATTTTTGATCTCCGACAGCCAAAAACCCTTTCTCTAAAGACCGTCAGAAAAAAAATACGGATTTGTGCACAAGTACAGGAAACTGTGACAGGGAAATACCCGTTATAACAAACATCAGCACTAGTACGTGTATAGCTTGTGAATTTTTTCTCACTTGTCCTCGGACAACACTGAGTGTACAGTGTTTATAAAAACGCTGGCGAAGGGCAAAAAACTCAATATTAAACAAACATCATTCATTGTACGGCACTTCCCTGGTATGCAGTGATTAATTTTTGTATGTGTATTGGTAACGAGCCATGGGAACCAGTGAAGTAAGACTCTCATTTTTAGTCTGGTTCTTGTCCTGCCTTTCACAGTCTGGAATACAACAGAGGAGCAAGGAACCACCCTAATTCACTCTTGTTTGGCTAAACTTGCCTTTCCTGTAACACATTGATTCCCAAATGTAATCGGACGAACATGGATTAACAAAAAGTGAAATCCATATCCAGATAAACAGCGCCCTCTATCTTCCACACACAGCCAATCATATATCACCCTTACGTGTCTTGTATCTTTTTATACAATATATTCATTCTTTGGGAAGTGTTTAGTGTTGACAAATACTATCATAGATCGCCTGTGTTGCGTGATGTGTCCGTGTTCGTTTCCTCTGTTGTAGTAGTCGTTGTTTCTGTCGGGGCTTCACCTTCTGTTTTTGGTTGTTCAGATTCCACGTTATCTGTCCCTAGACAAAGAAAATGGACAAAAATATAGTGACAATCAATTTTTAAGGATGAAATTTGACTTGAAAGCAAACTTGCTGAGCTTCATCACTGATGATTAATGTTGTGCAAAGCCGACCCGAAACCGAAACTGAACTGAAACCGACTTCGGGTTGGGTTGGGTTAGTTTTTCCATCATCTCAGTTGGGTCAGGTTGGTTCGGGTAAGCTATCTGTGAACAACCCGAAATACAGGGCAAGTAAAAAAAAGCAAAACCCAAACCCCTAAAATTATATTTCATATTTAAGAATATTTAGCACCAAAAAAAATAATGACTGGAAAGCCAATTTCATAAGCTACTTTTAGATGAAAAAGTACTGAAATTGGTCAATCCGTTCAAGGAATATCACCATTTAAACACAATGACCCTAAAACCTCTTTCATCCAAAAATGCGATTTCAAGAATCGTCATCACAATTGCCTTCAAACATCACCAGCGATAAAATCTCAGTTAAAAACTTAAAAATACTCAGCAAGGTCCTTTTCAAGGCCCGACTTTTAAAAAAAAGAGTTGATTTTATAAATTATATTGTTTGCCTATTACCAGGGTTATTAAAAAAGATATTGTGTACTTCAGTTGTTGACAGTTGTTGAAACAAGTATTCTGTGTCATTTTCTTTGTTGTTCCAAACAGTCAGAATACACAATAAATTGCTTTTTTTGTGTGGACGAAACAGGTTTTTCCACTATCCATTAATACGGTGGCTGTGTTTAAAATTCTGTTACTTGAAAAGTACATGAGTGATTTGAATGATTCTTGTACTAAAAGAAAGCTTATGAATTGAGCTTTCATATCCTTGATTTTGAAAGTGCTACATGCAGAACTTCACTAAAACAATAATCTCGACATGTGGGTTTTTTTTTTTTTACACAGCATGTAATTATAATAATAATAATAATAATGGAGTCTTATATAGCGCACGCATCTACCAACAATTAGGTACTCAAGGTGCTGGAAATTATGTCAATTATTAAAGAAAGGTAAATAAAGTTTATGCGAAACATGAGACCCATTATGTAGCACCTTATAATGGTTTACAAGGTGCTGCGGCGCACATTGCAGCCACTGCCAGAAACACCGGGGCAAACCCCTTCTCTTAGCGATAAGTGTTACTGGGTTCTTTAACGTGCATTACACAACACACGGGACCTACGGCTTTACGTCCCATCCGAAGGACGAAGCAATAATGGTAAAGTGCCTTGCTCAAGAGCACAAGCACCATGTTCGCACGGTCAGGATTCGAACCCATGCACCACGGCACACGAGTCGAACACCGTAACCATTGGACCACAGCGCCTAGGCAGTTTCCATACGTGGTTTCCTTGAAAACTTGAAGTTAAAATATTTCACAGACTGGAACATGTCCAGATACCAGACATTGAAATTGATCTCCCACAGGTCATGCTACACTGTAATGGCATATTGGTCATTGTCCTACCTTCATCATCAGGTGCAGGTAATTGTAATGGTTCCTCTACTGTCTCATCTTGAGCTTGGTCGGCATCCGGGGATATCGTCTCAGGAACCTCTGGTTCACCCTCAGCTTTAGTTACTGCTGGCTTTTCTGTTGGCACCGAAGACTCTGCGACAAAGAAAAGTTGATTTTAAATTGTGGTGTTAAATCTCATGAAACACTGACTTATCACAGATGTCCAAGCAGTGGCATCTGTCTATTTCACACGCAGCTGGAACATTGTGGCATTGAAAGGACGTACGTATTATTGCCCATGTGGGCTACGCTTAATTGATGAGTATATTATCCCCAGTGGAGGGCCAATAATAATAATACTGGAGTCTTATATAGCGCACATATCTACCAACAATTAGGTATCCAAGGCACTAATAAATTTATTTTAAAGACAGGTAAATGAAGTATTAGAAATATGAGACCCATTATGATGCACCTTATAATGGTTTACAAGGTGCTGCGGCGCATTAAGCAGCCACTGCCAGAAACACCTGGGCAAACCCCTTCTCTTAGCGATAAGTGTTACTGGGTTCTTTTACATGCATTACATAACACAAGGGACCAACAGCTTTACGTCCCATCCGAAGGATGAAGCAATAATGGTTAAGTGTCTTGCTTAAGGACACAAGTGTCAAGACCGGCACTCGAACCCACACTCGGCTGATCAGAAACACCAGCGCTTGAGTCCGGTGCTTTTAACCGCTCGGCCACGACACTCCACATGCATGGAGCCAAATGCCAGATGGACATGCCTGTCACAATTGCCTGCAGCTTCATAATTACAGCTCGCCCAACTTAGTCCTTAAGTACCAAGTTAGCACTTACTACCCATAATACTACCAAGTACCCAAAACTATCATTACTACCCAAGTACCAACAAGTACCCAACTACCAACCTGTATCATTTATCTTCTTCTCTCCATTGATGTCTTCATCTCCTATCGTCTCCGTTTCATTGCCACTCTTCTTGTTCTTCTTCTTCTTAGGTTTATCCTTGGGTTTATCTTTCTTCTTAGGAGGCCCTGCCTTGGCCTTATTCACCAAGTATCTCAGTTCGCGATCTAAACTCACAATCTTTGTTTTTAAATCGTCCGTCAAAAGGACAGGTTTCTCAGTGTCTGGTGTGTTCCGCTGAGCCAGCGATTTCTCAGTGTACCATTCCATGGAGTCGTTGTAAGCTTTCTCTAAAAGTCCCATTTCTACGTCGGTAAAGATCTGGATTTCTGCTGAAGCATTTTTGGCCGCGGAGAGGAAGATTTGCGAGACGTTCTGAAGCTGCTTGAGTTCAGAAATCAACTGAGGGCGCTCTCTAAGTTCTTTGACACGGAAGGAGAGATTCTTAGTGGCTTTCTTGAGTTCCTTCATCTTATCTTGGAAAACCTGAGGGTGAAAGGTAAAATGTCAAAGGTCAAGAAACTTCTAGCTTCCAAGAAACTTCTAGCTCAACTAAAATATGAAAAGTTACAAGGCTTAGTGATGATATGATCCTCGTAGAATCTTTCTCATTATTAGGAAGGTCCTTGAAAAGATCCTATTGGGAACAAAACATCAGGATCTGTAACTTTTTAAAGAGTTGCATATTTCAGGCCCACTGAGTCAGTTGGCAGTTTGCAGCAACTTTTAGTTTCCTTAATAAAAATGTCAGATGGGTAACACATTCAAAGCTTCTAATGTTCCTTTATAATCTTGCTAACATAGCCATCTTAAAAAACTTGGACCTAACATTTGTTTGCTTTGATGTTGTGTGTTTCTTGGCCCAAATGCTGCGTCCTATATCCCCAATGTTACATGAACGATCATTGCTATAATTCATCGGATCAATGTGCGACATCGCGTAGCTGCAATCGGCTCAGTGAGAACGTGTCTTGGACGCTGAATTCAGGCCCAATTCAAAACATGATTCAGCAACTTTGGATTTGAAATCGAGATCCTAGAATGTTGTTTTTCTCGAAATATAAAGCTGAAGCTGAGCTCAAAATTTCATCAGGTTAGTTGTTCAGCACCATTTTTTAGATTTTGAGCACTTTTGTTGCTTCAAATGAACAAAAAGAAAAAATTACAAATGACGGACTGTATCTTTAAGTGTTTAAAATTGTTCATCTTAACCTGCAGGACATCAATTGTCGGACTTAAGACTCACCGTATGAGGAGCATCTTCCTCTACTTCATACAGCCAATCAGAGGCCTCTCGGAGCTTAGCAAGCAGTTTTTCTCGATGTTCTTCCGTGGAGCACTTCTCATAATCCTCTTGGTCGAGTTTGTCTTGCATGTCATAGATGAAGGACTCTAAGGCATTCAGTGAGGTCTCACGGGCTAAACGTTCCTCTTCTTTCTTACGCAGTTCGTTTAATCTGAGGGAAAAAAATCACAAAGTTAAATGCCTCTAGCAATTCAAAACTATGAAGCAAGCATGTAGTTAAGTCCATCACAAGTCCAACACAAGTCCATCACAAGTCCATCACAAGTCCATCACAATCCATCACAAGTCAATCACAAGTCATCACAAGTCCATCACAAGTCCATCACAAGTCCATCACAAGTCCATCACGAGTCCATCACGAGTCCATCACAAATCCATCACAAGTCCATCACAAGTCCATTACAAGTCCATTACAAGTGCCCCAAAATTGTGCATATTATTTCTCTATTTCTCAAAATGTATACTTGTAGTTGCGAAAAAGTTAGTCAGTAATGCACCCAACACAAAATGCAAATTATCCATCTTTAAAGGGCATAGGTTAATATGCCTTTTCTTTTTCTTTTCTTTTTTTTGTTCAAAGCTGTAAAAGTGCTCAAAATCTTGAGAAGTTTCAGCTCAGGGGATACTACACATTTTGAGAAATTAGAGAAAATGTAGGCATAATTTGTGGAATCTTGTAACTGGATTCTGATGCTAGCACATAAAAAAATAAGCAGGCATACTTCAATTATTGTTTTCTTCGAAATGAAGTCAATTGGGGCAGAATAATTTCACAGGGTATTTGGTTCTTGTCATATCTTCATTTTGAGCAAGATTTTTCTCGTTAAAAGATAGGTACTTTTCTGGAAGACCATACGGGTTTGTGCACAGTTGGAAAACAATTGGTTAAGCGAGCTTTGCGTTGTACAGCGCCCTCTACTTTCCGTGCATGGATTCCATCAATACTACAAATTTCAAGCAAGTTGTATTTTGTTTCTGTGATACAACCTTCAAGTTTCACATCTGATTTTATGACTTACTTGCTCCTGGATGCTTTCCTAGCCTCCCTGGATGGTTTAGGGATTCCATGAACTTGAGATTCTACCGTCAAATTCTCCTTCATCGTCACCTGCTTGGGCTTAGCGACTTTCTTCTTCTCTTTCTTAACTTTGTCTTCTGTGGAATCTTTGTCCTTCTTGCCCTTCTTGTCTTTTTTCTTGTCTTTCTTTTTGTCCTTTTTCTTGTCTTTCTTTTTGTCTTTCTTAGTCTTCTTCTTGCTTTCTTCCGTCTTCTTTTCTTCTGGTTCATCTTTCTCCGGAGATTCTGGTTTCGCATCACTGTCTTTACTATCCGCATCACTGCTCTTCTGAAAAGAAAGTACAAGACACTGATTAAGAGATGTGTGTTTAAAAAACGCTCTTTTGACTATCACTGGAATGCGTCATTCTACAGGGTGAGTAAAAAAAACCAAAATCCAAAGTTTGGGACTATTGTTTTAGTGAAGTTCTGCATGTAACACTTTCAAAATCTAGGATACGAAAGCCCAAAAGTCATAAGCTTTCTTTCTGTGCAAGAATCATTCAAATCACTCACATACTTTTTAAGTTACGGAATTTTAAACACAACCACTGTTTTAAAATTCTGTCCACGGATCACTAAAAAAGGTAAGCGTTCTTTCAGATAAACAAAAACAAATTCACACACATCCCTATGTGATTGTTTTTGTTTTGCTGAAAGAACACAAACCTTTATGTGATCCACGGACAGAACTTTAAAACGGTGGGTGTGTTTAAAATTCTGTAACTTGAAAATTACTTGAGTGATTTGAATGATTCTTGTACTAAAAGAAAGCTTATGAATTGGGCTTTCATATAGTAGAGTTTGAAAGTGCTACTTGCAAAACTTCACTAAAACAATAGTCTGACATTTGGTTTTGTTTTTTTAACACCCTGTGTGTCCCAAAAAAGTATTCATCTGACTGTTTTTAAAATTACTACAAAACCATGAGCTCAATTTTAAAAATGTTTGGTTGTGCAGATACTCCTAAGCCTTGGCCTCAACCCCTATGAGTTTCATCTAATTTCAGTAACGTATCAATGCACAATTGTCATTTGATCACAACAACATTTTTGGACACTGCGACCAAGTTCCATGCTTTAATCAGTTTCAGTGCTGTTTATGTAAGTTGTGAACAATCCTGCGTGTTGTGAAAAAAAGCTGATGTGGTTTGGGATTGGAATCATTTGCCCTTGAGCATTAAACTGAGGTCTTGCCATGATGACTGATAGCCAGACAAATGATTCCAATCCCAACTGCAGCTCTTTTCACAACATGAAGGCTTTTACACAGCTTACATAACACAGCACTGAAATTGATTAAGGCAAGGAACTTGGTCACAGTGTCCAAAAATGCTGTGAGCAATTGACCATTGTGTCTAGTGAAATTTAATGAACCAAGGCTTAGGAGTAACTGCACAACCAAACATTTTCAACATTGACTTGATGGTTTTGCAGTGATTTCCAAATTAGTCAGACAGACACTTTGTTGGGACATACTGTAGAGTGGAGAAGCCTCCTGAGGAAACCACCAATTTAGGAAATAGTTTTCATAAATACTCTGTGTTAAGAGCAGAGTCAATCACACGTAACACAAGGCGAACAATTTCAAAAGAATGTTTTGGTCATAGTTCACGTAAACAGTTTATGAGATGACATGTGACTAGTTACCAGACAATTTCCTTTCACTCCATACCTCATCGTCTTCATCTGTCTTCTCTTCATCTGTCTTCTCGTCAGCCTTTTCTTCATCAGCCTTTTCCTCGTCGGACTTCTCTTTGTCGGCCGTCTCTTGGTCAGTCTTCTCTTCGTCAGCTGTTTCTTCGTTGGCCTTCTCCTCGTCAGCCTTTTCTTCATCAGCCTTTTCTCCATCAGCCGTTTCTTCGTCCGCCTTGTCCTCATCAGTCTTCTCGGTTTCCTCCTCTCCATTTTCCTCAGTTTCATCTTTGGTTTCTTCCTCCGTCTCCTCCGCCGTCTTTTCATCCTTCACGCCTTCGTCTTCTGGCGTCGGTTCTGTCGCATCTTCTTCTTTCATCTCACCGTCATCCTCCTCTTTTTGTTCATCTGTTGTCTCCTGAGTGTCATCTGCAGTCTGTTCCTCCACTTTCTCATCTTCTGCTGGCTTGGGTTCTTCCGTTTCCTTGCTCTCTGTTGCATCCTGAGGACAAAGTGAGCCAAAGACAACGTAAGAATTCCTTCTCGTATTTCCTCTCAATAGGAATTCCATTTAAAAGTAATCACCTTCAGAATAAAAAACTAAAGGCAATGTGCAATTTAGCATAAAATAAGTCGTGCGTACTTCGCTCTATACAGGCGAATCAGCATGCGCAACTTGTGTGGACTGTCTATGTCCAGTAAGTGGTAAAAAAGCGCCCTCTCTTGTTCATGCACGGAGCTCATGACCATGAATTCTCGACAGACTAAAACAGGTTGTAACCTAACCAGACCATCACTAGGAGGGGTTGGGTGTCATACCCCTTTAAAGTGTCATCTCAAAAAAAAGATTTTGGGGCGTCATTTTTGAAAAGATGTAAATAAGCTTAGCTGTAAATACAGTTCATCAGGTGCACAACGAAGTGATATATAGAATAATTTCAATGCACTGCAAAGTTTAGTATACAAGTAGATCAGGCTGAGAATTTGTAAACATGATACATTGCATGGTGGTGCAGTACTTTCCACGTTATGTCGCATGATTGTACGATCCATTAATTGAGTGTTTCGCAAAAAAGCAAAGTTCATCACAATAAATATTACAAATTGAAGCCAAAATCATCCATACACGTTACCTTTTCACTGATATCTTTATCACTGGTATCCTTCTCATCGGTTTCCTCTTCTGTGGCACCATTTTCTGCGGCTTTGTCGCCCTCTTGTGGTGGAACCTCTGAAGTTCCTTCATCTGAGGATCCTGAGAAGAATCGACTGATTGTGCTGCTCAACTCTGAAAAAGACAAAATATAAGAGAATATTTGAATGATATCCTGAATTCTCTGATGTTACATTACAAAATGGAAATGTTTGGTTTCATTTGAAATAATGTAGTAGTATTGTTAGTAAAGTCTGTCACACACCCATGTGGCCTATCAGGCCAGCGTCTATCTCTGGTTTCAGTGGCATGAAAAGACTGACAACATTGGTTGTTTCCCCTGGATGGGATGCCAGTCCATCGCAGGTTACTCCCCAGCTAATGCCGGTACCCATTTATACTCCTGGGTGGAGAGAGGCAAGTGGGGGTAAAGTGGCTTGCCAAGGGACACAACATATGACCAGCAGCTGGATTCGAACCCCTGACCCTCTGATCATGAGTCATGTCCACTAACCACTAGACCACACTACACCACATATTGGTGTTGGGTGTCTCTTAAATAAAAAGTATGAAGTTGCTCCAAATCATATCCACCATCTAACTTCGTTATTACCCCTATCATCAAGCCTATAAAACATTCCATTTGGTTCATGTCAGCTCCCTGGGGAGTATACAGCTCAACCATTTTTGTACCAATGGTCAACAAGCAACAACAACCCCAGACTGGCCTTCAACCCTAAATCTGTAAAAACATAACCCACAGATCTTGGTTACCAGACCAGAAAGCAACAAGACTTCATTAATCCAAACAAACTTCAAGTTTGACTTATAAATTTCAGTTCTCATTCTGATGTTTTCTGACTTACTCTGTAGTGTTGACTGTTCCTCTTCTGTGTCATTCACTTCTTCCATCACCGTCTCTGTTTTCTCAAAGACCGACTCCACCTGGAAAACAAACAGCAGTTAATGTTGTAGTAATATGAAAGTATGAGTCCAGGTTTTTCATAGAAGTGCATGAAAATTGACTTTTTTCTGTTGTTGTACGACAAGCGTCCTTGACAGGTGTTACGCAACTCTTTAAGTAGCTGTTCTTTTAAACGCAAAGTTACCTATTCAACTTCACTCTCGGTCGAGCAACCTCACCTCGCCAGCACACATACATGCATGTACTCTGTCAATATGAATCCATGCAACTCCGATAATTTAGACCAGGATATCCTTCTGGCAATCAGATCGCTGTCTACCTCCATCGACAGTAAAGTTGAGTCAGCTATCAAGAGGCAGCGGACTACTAACGACAACCCTCTAGATTTTAAAAGCGAAGGCAATAAGGACCAGTTTTGTCACTCACAACAAATCTCTGGCCTAACAAACTCTGCCTTGGCATCCTGAGACGCTGGAGACCCAAACGCAGCTCAGCGATCCCAATCAGGATAATAAATAACCACTTGCTCACTATTTGAATGCATGTTTTCCATACTTCATGAATAAGACACTAAATGTCATTGGTTAATCTTACCGAATCCAAGTGAAGAAGCCCACTATCATCCAATCGGAAGTGAGCTTTGATGCCCTTCGGTTCTGCATCTGACCGTTTCTTGAGTGCAGCGTCGACACCTTTCAATGTGTACGTTGTCAGGTTTGTTGAACCAAATGACCTGCAATCAATAAAAGAAGCTACTTTTTATTTTTAGGCATAGCTCAATCGGACACAGTTGTATGTAATTATGTTCATTAATATTCAGCATTCCTTAATATACATATTCATGAACCAAACATACTTCTTTCATTGGTCAATTTTCCAAAGCAAATTTTCCCATTTCCATTGATACTTAATACGTATGATGTATTGTAAAATCTAGATATACATGTAGTAAATACAACATGGTTTAACTCGGTGAAAAGTTTTGTTCCAAAGTGTAAAAAAAAAAAAAAATTGAAAAAAAGGAACAAATGTAAGTATATAACAGCTGTCGAAATTGATATTGGGCAGCCAGGAGAGGGCAGTATTCTAAAAGGGAGCAAAATGGCGCATATCACATTTTAAAATGAACACTTCAAGTGCAAAATTACTAGTGCATCAGTAAACACTGAAGAAGAAATATTTGCCCTTATTTTGAATTGGCCATAACTCAATAAATATTTACCCGATTGAAAAGATTTTTTCGTCGTTCAAAAGCATGAGAAATATACTCTCCAAACATGTATTGATATTTTCGATGTACTTTTTTAAAAGCTGCGAAAAAGAGGGCACTTTGAGGTTCAATTTTTTTGGGGACACCCTATATTTGCATACCAGGATCGGTAATGAGTGTATTTTCCTGTACAAAGTTAATTATAACAAAATACTATGCACTTATCACTAAAACCCAAGAAATTGGTCATTGGCTAATGTCTAATTCTAGTCAGTAGAGGGCGCCAGATATTATCTCCACTTACTTAAGATCGCCGGGTGGTAGGATATCTTCTAGATCCTTGTAGCCAACCACGAAGGAGAAATCGGTCATGTGACGATTGAAAGTCATGACTTTCTTCTGAGGGAACGGGTTGTTACGACCGAACAGCGTTCTCTTGACGACTCGCGTGACCTCTGTCCCATCATCGTCTGTGATCTGACGCTCAAACTCAACCTGTGCAGGGAAATTGCAAATGTTTAGGAAAAATGCCTCAAATGCTATTACTTTTTACTATACCTCATACATATTCATGATCGAGAGCCCAGTTCTCATTGGTGCATTCACCATCACGTGACAGCCGCTACTTGTGCTGTTTACCAAGTGCGCACACATGTAGGTTTCACAATCACACAGGTTATTACGCATGCATAGTAGACTATTACACTGGTTACCAGTGTACAGTGAAATGCCGCTACAACGAACATTGAGGGATCCACAGAAATTGTTTGTGACACTGATCGCGCACTATTGCGATTTTAAGCCAACACCTAGTCAACCTTTTATAATAGAGTGATGAAACGGGGAGCAATAATAACTTTGTGGTATCTTGTGTAGACCTACCTTGCGTGTGAAATTTATTGAGTAGAGGAATTTTTCTGGCGAAAGTTTGTGTTCTATGCGCGCATGCGTGGGAAGTTGGTTTTGCACGTTTTTTTGCAACGCCTGTTTCGTCAAGCAGTAAAAACCACCATTAAACAGCAATCAAATGGGTAGTTTTGATGTGTCTTGCTTAAGATGGGTTAAGTGAAATCGATCATAGCTAGGATCGATCTTAGACTCGTCTTAAGTCCTATGATGAGTTGTAAAAATAAGATGAGTTTCGTGAAATCGCCCTGTATCACCTACCTGGACGGGGTATAAGTTGGCATCTTTGACGACAAACTTTTTGACTTTAAATCCTTTGCTGAGATGAGCAGCCTGATACACAGCTCCCAACGCGGCCGCTTCATCAGCGTTGATATTCTTAGCAAGCTCACTCCTAAAATATCAAAAAAATGGATTCTTCAAATATCAAGAAAATACTCCTTCAATCTTTACAGGCTCCTTGCGCACATACGCCCTCGACGGTACAGATTGGAGAGTTTGGGGAGACCACTAGGAGAGACAGTCAAATGCATTGCCAACGACGCTTGACGCTCACATGAAGATGCTATGCCTTTGTGCACATTAAGAATAAAATTCATTGTGCGTACTTTGCGCTACATGCGCCTGAACCAATACGCGCTGGGAGTTCTGTCAACAGCACTCTCGACAGTGGTCAAATAGCGCCCTCTCTTGTTCGCGTACAGAGCCCATATAAACAACTCTGATAAGCAGACAATACTTTAAGAAAATTGTGGAAATATTTTACTGTCAAGTACAGTATTGAGGTGATGCCATGAGATATGAAAACAATGTTAGTGTATATATTTCAAAACAATACTTCTCAATACTTCAACACCAAGCAAATATTCAGAAAATACCTTTGCAATATCCAGATTAAAAAACAATCTTATTTTAAACTTCAACTATTCTCATTTATGTCTCAAATATCCTCATTTTAAAAACTCCATTTTAGGCACAAAAAAAAAATATTCGGTCCCTGGTCAGACAAAAGTTCTGGAATTGACACGGGGACGTGCCTTTTTTTTTTTTTTTTCCCCCTTCAAGCTTGGATTGTACAGACAAGGTGGGGTACTATTTTGCTTTTTTGGTGTCCTCATGTACACATTGGTGTCCTCCATAATTTGCCTTGGTGCTCTCGATCATTTGCCTTGGTGCAATTTCCCATTCCTTGGTGCTCTTTGGTAAAAAAAAGTTGAGGAGGTGCGGCAATAGAGGGCGCTGTTGGAGATACCGCGGAACATTTTGAAAAAAAAAAGATTGACACGCATGATTAAAATCGACGCGCGCGCTGACCAGAGACCGACTTATTTTTTTTTTGGCCTTATCATGACATTGTACAAATCAGACATTTTAGTATGACACATTATGAATCACGTTTTGTAAAATGGGATTTCTGTCGGGAAAAGGTACATTGATATATTTTTGCTCTTTGCCGACATATTTATAAACACTGTATTCTCAGTGTACTCACTGATACATCAGACTCGAACCAGCCAACCGATCCCCAAGCTCGGTGGACGAGTGGTAAGACGTCTGCACTAGTAAGCAGGAGGTCGTGGGTTCGAGTCCTACCCGAGTAAACTTGTGAATTTTTTTCCCCGCAACCTGGACTTCTGAGTATGCAGTGTTTATAAATACATCAGCGTAATCTCACATTTTTTACACCCAAAGACTCAATATTTTTGATCTGATAGCTACTCACTTCTTAGTGACTTGAAGGAGTTTTTCCTGGACTTTAGGAACCCTAGTGCCACCTCCTACAAGGATGATGCTGTCAATCTCACCCTGAAGAAAAAAACAAGACATAACAATTGGCAAGGAATATTGGGTTCCCATCCACCCCCTGGATATATTTTTCAAACCTACTTTTTTTGTAATCCTTAAGGTGTCTAGTGAATGAAATTTGATGTTCCCAACATCAAATATTGTCCCATGGGGTTCATTTGGTGGCCATCTTGGCATCATCTTGGATTTTGACGAAAATCAGTTACTGAAATAACTTTTGAAACAGGCATCATAGGAAGACAAATCAACAAATTTTTCGGGTAATTTGGGTGTGAGGAATCGATTGACAGTGTTATTTTTATAATTTGGCGGCCATTTTGGCAGCCATCTTGGATTTTGACGAAGGGAAAGGGAAGAAGTTTTATTAGCTCTGTGCTGTACCCATTGAGGGCGCTATTGGACATCCTCACAAAATCCAAGTGAAGCCACTTATATTGTCTTTCATATCCTGTTGTGCAAAATTTGCACACTATGTATTGAAGATTTTTGGACAAAGTGAAAAATGTACACCAACACTTATTGCAAAAACAAAACAAACCCTAGGTTCTGCGTACCGGTATGATGCGAATCGTAGTGCTCTCGCTATTACATTTAGAGAAATTTTCATTAACTTTCTTAACAAAGGCGTGGAAAGCTGTTCATAGAAAAAATATTAAGAGGAGGAAAGGGAGCTATTGATGGGTTTTTATGTATTTATTTTTTTGGTACGAACCATTGTCATTTCTGATGTTTTTAGAGCCATCTCCACAGGCCCAGCAATACGCTCAAATAAATCAGCACACATTGTCTCCAACTCTTCTCTGGTTACTTTCAAGCGTAGATCAACATCATCTAGAACACCCTCTACCTACATTGCAAACAATAAAAGAAAAACAAATATAGCGGAGAAAAGTAGAATACATGTGAATTTTAGTGAGGTGCATCGACTATGCTGTATTTTCAAGATATTTCAAACAACATGCTTGCGTGTTTAGAACATTTTTCACACTGCGCGCTTAAAGTCGTGTTTTACTATACTCTCGAGGACAATGCTTTGTGTTTCCCTTTGTCCCTGTAATATAACACCCACCCATGAACTAAGCACATAAACTTACTACAGAGGACCGTTTCCTACAAGAGACTCAACTCCCGAGGACTGAAAGGATCTGTTGTTCTCCCTTTGTGTGTCGGTCCTCAGGGTTTATGTGGAACATGTACCCACGCAACTGTAGTTTGCCTACTAAGATGGCCGTCTATGAGAAGGGTCTATACTGACCTGCGCCATGTGATCAACGTTGGCACTCAGCACTTTCTTGACTCGGTTGGCTTCTTTGAACAGTTTAGCCATTGCGCGGGGACTCTCAAACACATCTTTCTTGGTCTTTCCAAGTTTGTTGAATTTTCTGGCAAAATGGTCTCGGAGTCTCAAGTCAATCTCTAGTCCTCCAAGTGTGCGATCAAAGCTAAAAAGTCAACAAAATACAGGGTGAGTAGAAAAACCAAAACCCAAATGTCGGAACTATTGTTTTAGTGAAATTCTGCATGTAGCACTTTCAAAATCTAGGATATGAAAGCCCAATCCAAAATCTTTTGTTTAGTACACCAATCATTCAAATCACTCATGTTCTTTTCAAGTGAAGGAATTTTAAACACAACCACCATTTTAAAGTTCCGTCCTTGGATCACAAATAGGTAAAGTTCCGTCCTTGGATCACAAATAGGTTTTCAGCAAAAGAAAAAAAATTCAAACACATCCCTTTCTGATTTGTTTTCGGCAAAATTTGCACGGTTAAAAAAAAAACAGACGAACAGTGACGAACAATGTAAACACCATCGCAGTCATAGCATAAATTTTGCTTCACTGTCCCCCATGGCACATCTCCTAAAAACATACACCGATCTACACAGAACAAAAATAACACAACGTGGTGGAAGTGACATTTTCAACAGCGGGAAAGAAAAAGGTTTATTTACCCCGTGGAGAACATCACTCATATACCATGCGCATGGCGTACAACGCTGTACATGCGTGTTTGTGGCATGACACGTAAGGCCAAAAAAAAAAATAAGTCGGTCTCTGGTCAGCGCGCGCGTCGATTTTAATCATGCGCGTCGATCTTTTTTTTTCCAAAATGTTCCGCGGTAGCTCCAACAACGCCCTCTATTTCCGCACCTCCTCAATTTTTTTTTACCAAAGAGCACCAAGGAATGGGAAATTGCACCAAGGCAAATGATCGAGAGCACCAAGGCAAATTATGGAGGACACCAATGTACATGAGGACACCCAAAAAAGCAAAATAGTACTTACCTTGTCTGTACAATCCAAGCTTGAAGAAAAAAAAAAAAAAAAAAAAAAAAAAAGCCGCGTGGCCGCGTCAATTCCGGAGCTTTGGTCTGACCAGAGACCGAATAATTTTTTTTTTTGGCCTAATCGATGATGGACCAATAAAAACTCACAATCTATTACTGTGGTATAACAATTGGATTGTTACTGAATAGATTGCAGCAAGTATAGTTACAGCAAAGTTTCATGAGATCAGCTGTTGGAGGTTTGTCACCTTGTGATTTATAAATTTGATGGTAACCCTGACTTACCCAACTCCTTTGACGAACAGATGAGGGTTACTTTCACTAAACCCTTTTTCTTTTGTCTTGACAACCTGATAAGTCACAATGGTTGCCGTGGTACTACCAGCACCCATGTCAAAGAACATCACGTTGTGTTTGGAAGCGTTGAAATCACTGCGTCGGAACACACCGTAGTTGAGAGCAACTGAAATAAAGACAATTTCGTCATGTCCATGCAACAAGGTCGTTTCTCCTAAAATGGCCAGTGACGTCATATACGTGAAACGCCAGTTTTTAATGTCAAATGGTTGTATCTCGCTTAAATAACACACAAGGTCAATAGATGACACGATACACCAGATACGAGTTTGTTGCACGGAGTGTATTCGTGCGAGATACAAATTTGTTAAAGGATCGAGTAACAACCATTGAGTTACGAGACCCAAGCGAAGTCACGCCGAGTCAGGCTAATGAATATGCTAATATTGCGCCTCATCATTGTTGTGGCAAAATCAACCAACCTGAGAACCACATGTTGTTTTGGTCAGCAGAAAATCCTAGCCCAGCAAAATTTGCCTTGGAGACAATTCAAGGTGTAACGCCAGCGTTTGCAACAACAGATTGAGCTAAAATTCGGAACATACTTAGATGATATTAGTGTTCAACTACTCGCAAAATAACAACTTGTGAGAATTCCTAGAAATTGAGATAAGTAAAATGATTTGGGGACCTTTTCGAACGATTTTTCCATGATTTTTAGGTCAGCTTTACCAGTAACCAGTATTGACATTTCAGCATCAACAACGGCAATTTTGTTCACTGACATATAGTTTACAATTTCTTCTTCTGTTATAATTTAACATTTCAATCATACTTAGGAGCATATTTTCTGAAAAACAGAACGTTAAAAAAGCCATGTTTTTTTTAGGTGCATTGATTTCACTGCTCTGTTTTTATCGTCACTGTACGTAATCGGATTAAATTTGCTTAACAATGCTAGATGCAAAGCCTTTGCAACCACAAAGCTGAGGGCCCTGGCACGGTAACATCACTGGTTACCCATAGCTGTGGGCATCAAACAGCACAACAGGGAGCCAGGACAATGAAGTTTTTGTGACTAGGCATTTGCACACTGCTATAGTGCGCAGGCATAAGTTACGTCACAACTCAATTAAAGGGAATATACAACATTTGCAAACATCAAAAAATAAAACTACCAAATCATTTTGAAATACCTTGCTGGACTGTTAGTGAATGACAGTGTAAAGCATCCTGTAAAATCATGGCACCTGGTATACTGTCATTTTCAAGAAAAGTGGTATTTTTGTATCAATTTCCAACGCTGATCGGCCGATCAGCGTTGGAAAAAACTGACTTTTTTTTTAAATACTGGCCCCAATTGACCATCGCACTTGTTTGCAATCGATTACAAACCTATGAACGGGTACGAGCCAGCTAGACTGGTTCCCTGACCTTACAATTCCCCAATGTATGTAAACTGCTCTGTTTCTTCTTATATGGAGTCAGGGAACCAGACTACAGGAAAATGATTGTTTTTCTTGGTTTTTATAGCATTTTCGAACCCAAAACCTCAAAAAAGTCAGTATAACTTTATTTGCTATATATTTCCAACCCCCCAATTCCATCCATTTCTGAAAATAACAGCAAAAGCAAATGATGTATATTCCCTTTAAACTCGTAGATAATGGTCCTCGCGCGAACCTGATTTAACCACAAAGTAAGCAGCATCATAAAACGACTGCTTGTCTTTGAATACTGCACATACCTGCAGCGTTATCATTGATAAGTTGCAGCACTTTAAGATCAGCTAATTCTGCGGCATACATGACCGTTTGTCTCTCCACTTGGTTGAAGAATGGAGGGACCGTGATGACAACATCCTTGACTTTTTGCTCTGAAATTAAGAACGATTCACAAAAAATAGTAAATATCAATAAAGTGTGTGTTGTTCAAGCAAACTTTTGTTTCAAGGTATTTAATTTCAGTCGCCTTGATCAAGATCATACAGCCTAGCCACTTTTTTTTTTACTTGAAAGTTTAAAGTACAAACAATGTGCTAATGGTTTCCGGTTTCAGGTTTCAGGTTTATTTCCATACCATAAGGTAATTAAGTTAAATAATGAACATCAGGTAAACATTTTATCGGAACTTGAAATAATAGTATGGGAAGGCCAGACGAGAAGCCGAAGCTTGTACTAGGTCTGCCCCTTTTGTTTCCTGTGCAGTAGAAGATTTTGAATGATGATATCACCATCAATAAGTCGGTTTGGTATTCCAACTGTACATGTGCACATGAAGATTTTAACGATTGCCTTTTCGGGATGAACAATTTGTCGTATGCATGTTAAATCATAACAGGTACCATCAAAACTAAAAAAACTGTATTGTTCAGCAGTAAGCACAATATTTCAACAAATTTTGACAGCGAAATGTTTTTATGCGTTTCGCATGCCCCAACTTTTGTGCAAACAAGAGTTTCCATCGTCTCTTTGATTTAAAGAAAACTTGCAGAATTCAGACTCGGTTACACGGTCCTCATAGATACATGTGCATTTATTTGTCGTGTTTATCCCAAAGTAAAAAATTGTTGAATCTTGTTATACACATGCGCAGTTGGAATATATTTGGCTTTTTATAACCCACACAAAAATTCACCGCGCCGGGATTATTTTGACATTGACCGGACCCAGGCACGGGATTGTTTTTCATGAACCTCGATGCCAGACGGGTTCAGGCCGGCATCTGCGGATAGCACACCCTGATATTTCTAGTCTCGCTCGCTGCGAGCACATCATCGGTTCCGAATACCGCAAAACCTTTGCGTACATATACATCATCCGATGTGAATTGGTCAGCTCAAACACTTGTCCACTATTAGATTGCAAAAGGAAATAAAGTAACCTTAAACTAACCTGCAAACTCCTCTGCTAAAGCCCTGGACTTGTTCAGGACGATGGACAGTAATTCTTCGGGATAGTATCTGTCCTCACCACTCTTAAAGTAAACAGTTCCTGACAGAAATTGAAACAAAAATTGAAATACTTCAGTTATCAAGAAAGTGAAGAAAAAAACGATCTGATTCCTGAGAAAAGAAAACAATTTTTAATATTTGAATGATTGAACTGATATCAATACAAACTTATTCAGATTTTCAGAGAACTTGTCAACGATGGTTTCATGAATATACAGTTGACTTTTATAACCCCTAAGGGTTCCTCACGAATACCCTGCTAAATCCAACAGAGTCCAACGGTTACTTCCTGCTCAATCCAACAGAATCCAACAGAATCCAACTGTGCCTAATGTTTAGTTCTCTGCTGGATCCAACAGAGTCCAACTTGGCGCTATTTATCAGTACCCAACAGAATCTGTCTCTGAACATGTACATTTGTACAAGGGGTTTACTGCTCAATCCAACAGGCTCCAACGGGTTTATGATATAGCTGGATCCTGTTGGATTCAGCAGGGTTAGGGTAAGCGGACTGTTAGGTTTTTAAATTTTTGTCAACAGTCATTAGAGGTACCAACATTCACAGTGAAAATCAGTAGTGACCAGTCATTGCAAAATGGGATTAACATAACTTGTTTTAAAGAATGGTTATTTATACCGTTTTGGTTATTTATAACGTTTTGTCAAAAATGAGTTTTACAACTTCAGGCCTTTTCAAGAATAGAGAAATTTATAAATCTGGATATTGCAAAACACAAGGTTTCCAATGGTACATAACATTTAGAATTACTGACTTCATAACAGAAATAAAGACCACCAACTGAAAAGAAGTTGCAAAACTCTTTTTGAGAAAATGATATTTAAAATTTAGGGCTGTCCGTTTTCAAACAATTAAGTATTCGATTACTAGATATTGCATTCGACTGAATGTTTGGATATTCAAAACTGCCAGCTGCAACTGCGCGCTGCACCGGTAAAATGTTGCACGAAGAACACACCAGTTAAAATTTGCATGCAGTGATCGATATGAGGCACTGGACTGTTTGAAAAAGGAATCCCACATTTTGACACTGAGAATGCTTTTACTGCATCTAATGAATACTGGTGAGATGTGGTGAGATCTTTCATCATCTTACCCCGTTCTTCGTCTTCGCCCAGCTCAACATAAGGAAATCTGTGGATGTAATTCCTGACAGCTGGGCTATCTAGTCTCTTAGCTAAGATGTGTTGCATGTAGAAATAGGCATTCTGTGGATATTTGGTGCCCTGAAACGAAAACAAAGTCAGAATCTTAGTACAAACTTTGACATTTGAACAATTTTTTTTTCAACAGATATTTACCTGTCAAAATCAAAAGTTTCCATTTTAGTTTTTGACTTCAAAAAGGTGTTGATGAATTATCATAACAAATTAAGAGAAACCTTCTTGTTTTTAATCAATGAGAAATAATCTGGTTTTGTTTTCAAATAAAAATGGAGAAACTTTCATTCTATAAACTCGGTGCAGTAGTGTTATCGTGCGGACCTTTGCAAACAATCTCAACAGCAACTTCTGAGATTTGAATTTTGGTATGTGTGGCATTGGGTTTCTTTAATAAGTACCCGTGTTTTTTTTTCAATCAAGTACCCAGTTCCTGTAGTACCCGTAAATGCACACCCCTAGTATTTCCAATTCAAATTACACACACGTCAGCTGTAACAGGGACACCAAAATGTCACACTTTTGGACCCTGAATTTATAAAGTGACCCTAAATGGTTATCATCTGAAATTATTAATTAATGTGTGAACAGTGAAAATAAAATCTACAATTTCCATGAAGAGAATTTAGGTACAGACTTGAACTTGCCCCAGATCAGCAAAAAACAGAGAGGCTTCTATAAACATGAATGAAATTAATTAAAACAGAGTAAATATAAACAAATAAACAGTTTCGTTTTACTTCTTACCACTGCGAGCGCGTCGTCTCCAAATTGGACCTCTCCATTTCGGATGGATACCATTACAGGAGTTTTCCGACGTGACTCTCTGCAAAACAACAAAACTTACAGTGAAATTTGAAGATTAAATTGTTCATATTTTATCAAATGCAAATCACAACAACCACACCACAGTGCAAAACACAACTTGTGCGGGAAAAAAAGGATTTAAAAATTAATTATCTGATCACCAGTGGAACTATTTAATTACTTTAGTATTTTTTTTTAAATCAAACTTATTGATTTAATTAGATGTAACAATATAAATAACTTTTTCTGCGAACATGTGTGCACATTTAAAAGCTGTAAATCTCTGTGTGTAAACAGCTGTGTTTATTTAGTCAGTTTAGCATCAAAGCTGGTGAGCTGAAAAGTATTTTTAGGAAAAACAAACGTGGAAAACTGTAAAGGCACTTACTTGTTTAGAATAATCTCCATAGGAACACCAGGCTGTATTGAACAAAATATGTCAAATACAATTAATATGACTAATTGTTTTAGTCAACAAAGGAATATTTCAACAATGTACATAACTACTTGTAATTTAAAGGTATTTTCCCTGTGTTTAACAAATTCGATTTTTGTTTTTTTATCAATTCAATAACTTAATACGGGTCAAATCCGGCCAATTTCTTTGGTTGATATCTCATTTAAAGGTGAATAACTTTTGTACTGTTACCAAAAAAAAGCAATTTAGAAATGAAATTATTCTTTTAATATGAAACACGATAATGCTTTTAAAATTCAGGTCTTCAATTTTTAGAAAAATTGACACAAATTCTGGAAATTTCTTCAACAGCTTACATCTGTTTAATTATCAGAATAGTTCATGAAGATAAAATGTTGTTTTTCAAGAGTACAGATAGGTATGTACAATGACAATAACGTAATTTACATCAATTTACAAAATAGTTTATCACTGTTTACTGGAACTAAGGACAAAGTCAGGTCTGTCAGGAAGCTGAGGAAGATAAAATGTTTGCCATCTGACAAAATTATCACCGAGTTGACAAGACCCATTTATCTATATGCATTATGCGCAACCCACCTTGACTAAGGCAATTTTCAGCCACTCAGAGCTCAGATCTACTGACATCACAGCTAAAGAGGCGGAGCCTGGAATGTGATTGGCTGTCACCAAGATGGCAACAGCCAATGACAGAAGACTTGCTCTAGCATTCATTATGGAAGCTTGTGGCTTCTCAACTACAAGCAAAAAGAAACACAAATTATTTGGGGGGGGGAGGGGGTACTTAAGTTATATTAATGCTTTAAAGTTTAAATCACATGGGCCTAGAACTTTTTATAGAACTGAATATTCATGGATTTCCAAAGGCTGTCTTCAAATTCGAATGATTACGTTTGATGGATAAGTTCATCAGGGAGCTTGGTCCAGTCTACAATCGTCTTTGGGAAAATTTCATCATTTCATGTCTTTTCAACATTTTTGCAATGACTGACCTTTAATGTGATGATGAAGAAAAAGTGGCACTGGCATTAGGGTACAACATTCCTTCCAAATAAACAGTGCCCTCTTAGGCCCCCCAAAAAAGTCTTCGGTTTCATGGAGCTTGCCCCAAAAGTGGTGCGGTGACACAGCTTTTAAAAAACTTTTTTCCTTCAAATGTCTGGTGATGACTGCAAATGGTGCACAACTAAATTTAATGCAAAATATATGGGAGCCCAGAGAGGCCACATAATTGCTTAGGCCGAATAAAAAACCCAACATGTTTCTCGTCCGGGTTTTTGAAAAAAAGGAGGAAGAGGGGCTTTTTATTTTTTATTTTTTTCAAGATGGCTGCCATCTTGACAAAAATTTGCAACCGTTGGTGTTTCCACTGTTCAAAGACACTTTTAAAATGAAAGACAAGTTGGACAAGAGAACTGAACATATTTACAGTGTCATTTAGAGTTGTATAAATTGGTTTACAATGAACAGTTTTAGATGCATTTCCTTTAACCACGGACTTTTTAAAATTGTGCAGCAGAAGGATTTCTGTCGCACCAGTGAGTTTAGCGGTTTTGAGAATATCTTACATTGAAAAAAAAAATGTTTTAATTTTGCCAACGCGCGCGCATGGCTACGGCGACGCGCGCGGGCATATTACCAGAAACCGGAGCTTTTTTTTGGCCGTGCATTTTACCTTCTTTTTTTTTAGAATATAGGCCTACTTAGTGTGCGACATTGACAAGTAAATGATAAAATTGTCATCAATGACATTGAGAATGATCGAATGACATTGAGCAAATGATTTGTTAGAAAAAAATTATTTCTAAAAAATTTAAAAACATGAAACTGGTATTAACATCTGCTTTTTGACGTCGCAGTGGCTATTGTTACGGCAGCCGTAACGCATTTCCCATTTTCTATCGTTACGGTAGACTGCAACCTGGCAACTTTTATAAAAAAACATGACAAGAAAATATAAAATTAGAAGGAAAAAAGTGAATTTGAACTTTATGAAATTCGGACTTTATTTCCCTTTTAAAAAAAATCCTCCAAAGCCTCAGGTTAGAAAAGGAAAAAAATTCGAGTGCAAAACTGAGATTTGAACCCGCAACCTCACGGTGCAAAATCCTACCCTCTATCGGCTGAGCTGACGCACTGCTCGACAAAACGTGTGGAAACAAATAATTATATACCTGCGTGCGTATCAAAAAAATATCGTAGAGGGCGCTAAACAACGAGTGCCGTAACGATAGCCACTTCGTTTTGACGTACATCTACACACGTCAATAAGACGTATAAATATTATAAGTCTGCATCAAACATTATTTTGTCATTGTCAAATCTGAAACAATGCCTGGCTACATGGCTACGCTGCGCTAGTGCGTACGTGAAAGGGAACAAAAACTCAGGTTATTATTATTTAACTAGTCGTACGCGTTATTAAGTTCCGCATATTCGGTTCAAATGAACCCACCTAACACAATCTCTTCTGCCGGAATACTTACAGGGTGTTCTCCTCCAGGGAAACAACAGTTAGTATGACGACAATCTGACCAGTAGTTGGGAAAAGAAGTTCGAACAAATGCAGAAAATCTTGGTTCTGTTTTCGGGAAAAGCCGGTTACAAATAGACCTACTGTACGTGTACATGTGCGCGATAGAGAAACGTGTACATAGGTGACCCGGAAGTAATCGTCGTTGACCTGAATGTGGCGACACGTCATTGGTCAAAGCGCGCGCCGCTCATGTTTATTCAATACGAAATGCATTGACGCGTGTTCGTTTGTGCATACTACTACGTGTTGTTTCGTTATTTGGCGTTTATAGTATCCGATGACAAATCTGATATTTATTTCATCATTCTTTGCATGCAACGGAGAAATTCCTTGATAAAAATGACGTTTAAAGAAGAAAAACTGTTTATCGAATTGTTGTTCAGAACGGGATATTCGAGAAGGTAGAATCGTAGAATGGAAGGGGTTGAAGAAATGTCCCCTCCACACCAAAACCGTAAACGAACTACATTGTACTATGAAGTTGAAGTTTACAAATTTAAATGCATATGGAAAAAATGTAGCCAAGTGAGTAAACGATGGAATATTTAAAGAAAATACCGAGGGCTTATCGTTTCGACGAGTGTCTTTTTGCCAATGGCATTTTGTTTTGGTTTTATTTGTTGTTTCACTGTGATTTTTTGTTGCATGCATCAAGTTTCGCTCGTACCGGCGCCGCCCACCGCGCGCCCTGCAAACACATCAAAGTGTTTGTCGCCCTCAATATTGAGGGCGCCAAACACGTTTTATGGGCCAGAAGGTCATACGCATAGACATAAATAATGGTCATACGTCGTGTACGTGAATCACGTTTTCCATGCGAACCAATGTGTACAAAATATCCCATATCTGCGTTTCCCTCAATAGCACTAGCGTATACGAACCAAGCTCTGTGAAAAACATTCCATATCTGCGTTTCCTTCAATAGCATTAGCGTATGCGAACCAAGCTCTGTGAAAGACATGCCATATCAGCGTTTCCCTCAATAGCACTAGCGTATACGAACTAAGCTCTGTGAAAAACATGCCATATCTGCGTTTCCCTCAATAGCACTAGCGTATACGAACCAAGCTCTGTAAAAAACATGCCATATCTGCGTTTCCCTCAATAGCATTAGCGTATACGAGCCAAGCGCTGTGAAAAACATGCCGTATCGGCGTTTCCCTCAATAGCATTAGCGTATACGAGCCAAGCGCTGTGAAAAACATGCCATATCGGCGTTTCCCTAAATAGCACAAGCGTATACGGACCAAGCGCTGTAAAAAAAAACATGCCGTATCGGCGTTTCCCTCAATAGCACTAGCGTATACGAGCCAAGCTCTGTGAAAAACATGCCATATCTGCGTTTCCCTCAATTGCACTAGCGTATACGAGCCAAGCTCTGTAAAAAACATGCCATATCTGCGTTTCCCTCAATAGCACTAGCGTATACGGACCAAGCTCTGTAAAAAACATGTCATATCGGCGTTTCCCTCAATAGCACTAGCGTATACGAGCCAAGCTCTGTAAAAAACATCCCATATCTGCGTTTCCCTCAATAGCACTAGCGTATACGGACCAAGCTCTGTAGAAAACATCCCATATCTGCGTTTCCCTCAATAGCACTAGCGTATACGAGCCAAGCTCTGTGAAAAATATGCCATACCGCCGTTTCCCTCAATAGCACTAGCGTATACGGACCAAGCTCTGTAAAAAACATCCCATATCTGCGTTTCCCTCAATAGCACTAGCGTATACGAGCCAAGCTCTGTGAAAAACATGCCATATCAGCGTTTCCCTCAATAGCATTAGCGTATACGAGCCAAGCTCTGTGAAAAATATGCCATACCGCCGTTTCCCTCAATAGCACTAGCGTATACGGACCAAGCTCTGTAAAAAAACATGCCATATCAGCGTTTCCCTCAATAGCATTAGCGTATACGAACCAAGCTCGGTGAAAGACATGTCATATTGGCGTTTCCCTCAATAGCACTAGCGTATACGAGCCAAGCGCTGTAAAAAACATGCCATATATGCGTTTCCTTCAATAGCACTAGCGTATACGAGCCAAGCGCTGTAAAAAACATGCCATATCTGCGTTTCCCTCAATAGCACTAGCGTATACGGACCAAGCTCTGTAAAAAACATGTCATATCGGCGTTTCCCTCAATAGCACTAGCGTATACGAGCCAAGCTCTGTAAAAAACATCCCATATCTGCGTTTCCCTCAATAGCACTAGCGTATACGGACCAAGCTCTGTAGAAAACATCCCATATCTGCGTTTCCCTCAATAGCACTAGCGTATACGAGCCAAGCTCTGTGAAAAATATGCCATACCGCCGTTTCCCTCAATAGCACTAGCGTATACGGACCAAGCTCTGTAAAAAACATCCCATATCTGCGTTTCCCTCAATAGCACTAGCGTATACGAGCCAAGCTCTGTGAAAAACATGCCATATCAGCGTTTCCCTCAATAGCATTAGCGTATACGAGCCAAGCTCTGTGAAAAATATGCCATACCGCCGTTTCCCTCAATAGCACTAGCGTATACGGACCAAGCTCTGTAAAAAAACATGCCATATCAGCGTTTCCCTCAATAGCATTAGCGTATACGAACCAAGCTCGGTGAAAGACATGTCATATTGGCGTTTCCCTCAATAGCACTAGCGTATACGAGCCAAGCGCTGTAAAAAACATGCCATATATGCGTTTCCTTCAATAGCACTAGCGTATACGAGCCAAGCGCTGTGAAAAACATGCCATATCGGCGTTTCCCTCAATAGCACTAGCGTATACGAAGCAAGCTGTGTAGAAAACATCCCATATCTGCGTTTCCCTCAGTGGATGGCTCCGATAAACCAGCGAGCGAGCAAACACTAAATGGCGCCCTCTTTCGGTCAGTAGTGCAGTGCATGCCAATCACAGTGCGAGTCTATTAAATGTGTATGGCGCCCTCACGTACATGAGAATCAAGCAACAAAACATGTTTGGCGCCCTCAATATTGGGGGCGCCAAACACGTTTCATTGCTGGCCAGTTGACTTGTATTTTGTAAACAAACCCGTGTAATTTGTCCTTCGTAGTCCACTCATTTTTGTCATCTCTGGTTAATAAAAACCTCTGCTGAAAAAAGACGATTTGATTTAATGAGATGGCATGGAACCTGCCAGCATGTGGGAAGATCGTCAGGCTCAGTGAGCTGATGGAGGGATCGTCTGAAGTCACTGGACATGTTCGGATTTTGGCAAGGTAGGGGCCTACATTGTGTGCGTGTGAATGTCATGTACCACTGCACACCACAGTTGCAACTTAACTAAGCAGTCATCTTCACTTCTCTAGTGTAATGAAATGTAAATATGGCATATTTGAAAAAAAATGTTGCAATCTGACACCACTTTTCTCTTCATTTATCATCTCAATGAAGGTCATTCATTGCAAAAATGATGATAAGACATGAACCTGGAACTGAGAAACATTTCCAATTTTTTTGTAAGGAAGGAAATTTTCTTGACCGCTGAAGTGGCGTCAAATTGCAACATTTTCCCCTACATTTCTTCGCACTTCGTAGATTGTACGTTATTCTTCCTTATCTATTTTTATCAACAGATTACAGAGCTACGACTGTATCAAGCAGCAAGCTGTCGTCTGCAACGTCGAACGAAACTGCAACCATCAACTGCTTATTGACACTAGACTAGTTGAGCCTTTTCACGCGAGGGCGGGCTCCGTGTTTCAGTTCCTTGGCGAGATAGATTATGGAGAGAACGCTCAAATTATTCTACGAGCGCGAGTCGTGCGATGTGTGGATGGCGTGGACGTTGCAATGTATAACAAGGCGTTGGACGCACAGCGCAGGTTTTTCGCAAAGAGAAATATGCAGACGTGATGAACAGCAAAATGTTTGACGCATTCAGAGCGCGAGTTGTGCAATGTGGGTATGGCGTGGATGTGGTTACGAGGTAACCCTAACCTTTCCAAATCCTCTTTGCAGGAGTGAGTATTTTGCAGGATTGAGGATATGGCAAAGTGTGGCTGATTTTGGAGGATGCACTGTGTCAAGGTCTTGGGCCGAACCTTGTGTTGTTTTATATGCTCAGCCGTGCATAAATTTAGGCCTAGATTATACTTGAAATCCTCCGCACTGCTCCAGGATGTCACTGGCTCTTCGCCACATATTGACAGTTTTTGCTGGAGGATTTTGCAGGATTGAGGCAGTGGTCACCCCTCCAAGGACCACATTCAAGAAATAATGGAGGATTGAGGCTGTATGATATTTTTACATTGAGGCAGGATTGAGATTGCATCCTAGCAAAAATGCCTAGGGAGTAACATGTAGGGTTAAGGATAAGGGAACGTTGCTGGACATTTGTCAAGCAGCTAGAAAAAAAAGTTTGGCCTCATGATGCAGGAGAAATGGAATCACAACTTAATGATTTTATTTCTTGCTATCATAAGTTTGTTAAAAAAATTATTTTGTTTTTAAACGATAGAGGATACATTATATTCATCGTATTTTATACCATTTGTTTGAAAATAAGGTGTACATGTATGTAAAAGCTGTTTTTACACCATTACAGCAAGAAATGACAACATTGTACTTTTAAGTTATAGGAATTATACTGTTGAATATTTTATCAATTGATACATTTTTTTGAAAGGTGAACAGAGGTTGCATTGCGACTGTTTGGCCTACAAAATACTTTTAAAGAAAAAGGTATTTTTGGAAATTTGTAAATCCCACCATATTTTTATGATATGATGTCGGATGTTTTGCAAAGAATGTGATCAACGATTGTCATTTTTCTTATCACGAAATGATCAACAATAATGAAATTGAATATTGTACAACCATGACATTATTTGGCTATTAAGGAAAAATAAAATTCTGTTTTCAGAATGACCACAATAATATCTACTTGTATTAAAGGGAATATACAACATTTGCAAACATCAAAAAAAAAAAAAAATACCAAATTATTATGAAATACTGGACTGTTAGTGATTGACAGTCTAAAGCATCCTGTAAAATCATGGTACCTGGTGTGCTGACTTTTTCAAGGAAAGTGGTATTTTTGTATCGATTTCCAACAATGGTTGGCCGACCAGCATTGGAAAGAAACTGGCTTTTTTCAAATACTGCCCCCAAATTACCATATTTAGTTTAGTCTGAATTTTGTTTGCAATTGATTACACATCTATGAAAGGGTACAAGTCTTCTAGACCTGGTCCCTGACCTTACAATTTCCCAACGTCTGAAATTGCTCCATTTCAAAATAGGGTCTGGGAACCAGACTACGTAAACATGATATTTTGCTTGGTTTTTTTAGCATCTATGGACACAAAACTTCAAACAAGTCAGTGTAATGATATTTTTTATCAAATACCGATCAGTCAAATCCATCAATTTCTGTAAATTACGGAAATAGCAAATGTTGTATATTCTCTTTAAATTATGACACATCACAATTCCCATGCATTATTTCTGAGCTACAAATTTAACAGAAAGTAGCTGATTTAGAGTCTACCAAACGGCTACACATTACATTTGCTATATACAAGCGATTGGAAGATTATTTTCTTTAAGAATAAATCCTGTTAACATTACAAGAACTTTTCAAAATATTTAATCAACAAAATATATTTACAAGTTTAGTTTCATTTGAAGTTGAAAAATTATGAGAGAAATCCTTCACACGGAATGAATAACTTCGTTTTGTGTGTGTGAAGATTTGAGTCTGGTACCAATAGCAACCTCACATAGAACACAAGTGTTGTGGTTGAGAATGAGTCTAGGAGCAGTCTTGGGGTACTTCACATGTAAATTCAGATGCATTTGAAAATCAACCAATCAAAGAAGCCCATTTGGCTCATGAATATGTATGAGGTGTTATAAAAGCCATGACTGTCATTGACAGGATTGGTCGAGTTGAGCAGGTCATATTTACAAACATAAAGTTGCTTCACTCAGTATCTGTCACAAACTTGCCGAAACAAAAAAACCTAAAATTTTTCATAAACTGCTTATTTGAAGCCAAGCCCAACAACTTGCGCGTTAAAATCCATTAAAAACTATCATGTAAACCAATTACTAATCCGAGTACAAAAAGTTAAACATAAAATAGCACTCCGGAAGTTCATTAAATAATCCTTAAAGTTTGTTTACAATTTCAAACGTTTAAATAGATATCGCATTCAAGATTATATTTTACTATAGTATTAATTTCTACTTTAATTAAAACAATACACAAAGATGTCTTGTGCTCCATCCAGTTTTGACAAAACCTCATCAAATCTTTGAAATATCACAAAATATATACTTAAAAACTAGCAAGCAAGGCCGAAGACTGCATTGTTTTTAATGGGGGGGGTTCAGAAACTTTTTGGAAAATAAAAGTTATTTAGTACATCAATTAATGATGTGATATATTTAGGGATATTTTAGAATACCCGACCTTTTTTTGCTTACTTCAAAACTTGTACATTACAATCAATATTTGAAATAATACAGGCACAGTTTGGGAATGTTTTAGGGGAGGAGGATTTCCCCCCCCCCCCCCAAAAAAAGACGGTGGCAAAGGATGTTGATTAATAATGAATGTGTAACCGTGGTAATGCTTTCAAAAGATATTTACAAATACCTTGTAATATGATTACTATTTACTATATCTTGGACTGAAAATGTCCATATTATTAAAAAATGTTAATTCCCTTCCTCTGAAATGATGTACAATTTGTCAGAATATTTTACCCTTTAAAAAATAAAAGTTAAATTATTTTGATATTTTATCAGTTAATTGTACCATGGCACTAAACACTAACCTAGATAGAACAAAAGTAGCCCAAAACTACATTGTCATTTTAAAATGTGCTGCGCACACAATGTAATTGTTCTCTCTCTGTTTTGTAATATGCCATACAATAAAGCCAAAAAATCTATTTTATAATCACACTATCAAGAAGGTCTTATTTTTCGAATTATTTGCCAGATCATACTAAAAAAACGCATGTACAAAATATAATGGTAGAAGATCATCTTCAGTCAAATTGTCAACTCAACGAACTTATGTCAAACTTAAAACCTATAAAATCCATAATTTTTTTTAATCCATCTCCCATGTAAATGATTTCTCTAATTAAAAATATCTGTAAGTGCTTTTAAAATGTTACATACCAAGCTATTATTACAAATCTGGATAAATTTCCTCTGCATCTATAGAGGGCGCTATTTCCTCCCGTCGTCCACTGTACAAACATACCTGATATTTTCCCAATGCTTGGTAGTTCTCGATCAGCACATCCTGCATTGTGATTGTCATGGTAACCATGTTCCAGAAATTCATCTTTTGCGGTTGCCTTGTCCATGGAGACGTCTTTTAATCTGGAATGAGCAAGCGAGAAAAAATGTTAAAAATTCCCAAAAAGCAACAACCGGTTACCAGCCAAATTATCAATGTGTCGATACGGGTGACAGGTTCCCACCAATTTGTGCTGTGCAGACATTGCTTATAGAAATATCCGGTTACCAGCCAACATATCAAAGTGTTGATAGTGCGAGTGACTGGTTGCCACTAACTTGTGCTGTGCAGACATTGCTTATAGAAATATCCGGTTACCAGCCAACATATCAATGTGCCAGTGACTGCTTCCTTCTTGTACTGAGCATATGCTTATACATTCTGGATTGACTGCTAGCTACCTGTCCCCATATTTCAGGTCCGAAGGACAGGGAACCAGACTAAGACTGCGCAGCAATATCAGGTTACCAGCCAAAATATCCATGTGTTGATACTGCAAGAGACTGGTTTCCCGCAGAGCAAATTGCGACCAGGTCTTCTTTCTTTCTCCACATCCCTTCTTCAACCCTTTCTTTCAACTTACGCCCCCCCCACCCCCCTCCCCACCCACAGCCCCGCCCCTTTAATCCTACCTCCAGATGTTCCCGATGCACAAGATCTAACGGTTTCTCTCGTGCGGCATTCTCCAAACCAACATTAGCCCCTCGCGTCATCAAGAGATTGACAATGTTTATGATCTCATGCTCCGGTCGATTGCGGCCGACGATCAAATGCAGCGCGGTGTTGCCATCGTACATCTGCTTGTTGACGAGACTTCCTGGATCATCGCAGTAATCCAATAAGATGTAGATGAGGTCGATCTTATGCAGCTCCACAGCATAATGGAGGGCGGTCTTTCCACTTTTGGAATCCTGTGAAAGCAGGAGATAGCTCATCAATGATGTATGCCCCAGAATGTTTACAAATTTCTCAATAAATGCTGCAATCCAGTACATCAGGTGCAATGGACTTGATTGTAACACTGCTCTAAACTACATTATGTTGCTAATTAGACAAAAGCTACACAACTTTTGCAGCATTAACCTTAGCCTTTCGCCAAGGCCACCGTGGCTTATAGCGGCGAAGCTGCGAAATAACAAAGCGACTGGAACAAAGACCAAGCCAGCGTTCGCGAGTGGCGAAGTCACTTCGCGGCTTGCCCGCCCTGGGGATAATGCCAGTTAAATTAAGCCACGATGGCCTTGGCAAAAGGCTACATAAACCTTAAATCACAAAAATGTACAGAAATCTTTAAATTGTTTCAAAATCTACCAAAATCTTCCAAAATCCTTTGAAATTCAACTTATTTTGTTCAATTTTGTTAGATCCAAGACTTTACAACACTCACGATATTTATGTTTGAATTTTTACTTTCAAAGAATTTGGCAGCTTTTGCATTGTTGGGTGTGAGTAAAAATCTCAATGTTTGTTTTCATGAAAATAACAAGAAATTTGAGCCTTTTTGACTTTACACATTGTAAGGTGATATATTCCTGATACATGTGATTTCTGCAATTTCCAGAAACGAACAGGAAAAGTTCAGAACAGCTTCAGCATGTTCAGCATTGAAGTTTCTGCCTAAAAGATGACATCACTGCTTTACTCATGAATATGGAAATCGGGATTTGCATAAACCATGAAACACCTTTCTATTCGGAAACGCAGAGGAAAACGCACAGTTATGAATTTCTACACGCCCGGGGACAATGCTTTGTGTTTTCCTTTGCCCCTGCAATATAACACTCTCCCATAGACTAACCTCTATTGTAAACTTTAAGGCGTAATATTTCTTGAAACATGCGAATTCTACAATTTCCAGAAACGAACAGGAAAAGTTCAGAACAGTTTCTGCATTTCTGCCTAAAAGATGACATCACTGCTTTACTCATATGGAAATAAGGTTTTGCATAAATCAGGGGTGTGAGTGATTGCTGATAAAAAAAAGCTGAAAGCAGCTGAAAAAGGTGTAAATAAAGCTGAACTTTGGAAATCTCCTATACTTTTGTGCACAGCAAGTCAGGGCAAATGCTGAAAAAAAACTGAGATCCAAAACAAAAAAAGCTGTAATCAGCTTTAAAGCTGAAATTTCACACCCATGATAAATCATTAAACACCTTTCTATTCGGAAGCACAGAGGAAACCACTTTTGCTTGATCAAATTACATGTAGGTCACATGTGGAAAATGTACACAATCCAACGGAAGACATGCTTATGAACAAATTAGAAGCAAAATGTAAAAGTATCTTTGCAGAATTCTTTTGCAGACCTACCGATTGCAGTGCAGAGGCGAAGCTTTGCAACAGGTTTCTGACAGTGTCGTTACAATTGATGATTTTGATGATATCTCCTTCAGAAATCATGGTGCCATGGTGTTCCACAGCCAGCATTAAAGCTGTCTTGCCTGTCAAAACAACATATTTTAAAATTGAAAAAAGAAGAAACAAGTGCGAGGGGAAAATAAGCTCTAAGTTCGTACATGCCTGAGCCGTCATCCCACGCAAAAATCACAAGCTGAAAATTGACCAAAATAAGCCCCTAAGCTTACATAAAAAAGTGTTCTACATATCACATGACTATAACATTACTACACATTATGTTGCCTCCATTCACAAAGTTTTCATAAACAACTTCACGAATTGTTACACACAATTTTTGTTGAGAATTTCATTTCTATTATTCTATTGGAAAACTGTCAACATAAGGCTGGATAGCTTAGTTGGTAGAGCGCTGGAATGGTAATCCAGAGGTCGCAAGTTCAAGCCCTGCACCAGTCAATTTATTTGTTGAAATTTAGAAAATATCATAATGCACCCAGTCAGTTTCCATTTGTGGTTTATCCAAAATTAACAATGGTTTAAAAATCCAAATTTGTTATGTACAGTTACCAGCAACTGCAGGAATACGTACACTTTCAACAAACCTGAAGCCTTCGTTTACAACAAAGCATGATCAGACTTTGATTTGTTAAATACTGATCCTTACCTGCGTAGTTTGTGAGATCAAAGAGTTCTCGGGCAACTTCCTCAGAGTAACCGCAGCAGTTGATGCCTTCACAAATTGCCTAAAATATAAAAAGAAAAGTTAAGGATTGTGTCTTTAACTACTGGACTTTGATGTTTGCTGCTGACGAACTTTTAGAACTTTGAGTCTCAGTGTTCTACAGGGTGAGTAAAAAAATGAAACCAAAATGTCAGAACCATCATTTTAATGCAGTTCTGCATGTAGCACTTTCAAAATCTAGGATATGAAAGCCAAATTCATAAGCTTCCTTTTAGTACAAGAATCATTCAAATCACTCATGTACATTTCAAGTTATGGAATTTTAAACACAATCACCATTTTAAAGTTCTGTCCATGGATCACAAAAAGGAAGTGTTCTTTTAGCACACCGAAAACAAATCACATAGGGATGTGTGTAAATTGTTTTCGTTTTGCTGAAAGAACGCACACTTTTTTGTGATCCGTGGACAGATTTTTAAAATGGTGGTTGTGTTTAAAATTCCCTAACTTGAAATGTACATGAGTGATTTGAATGATTCTTGTACTAAACGGAAGCTTATGAATTGGGCTTTCATATCCTAGATTTTGAAAGTGCTAAATGCAGAACTTCACTAAATTGAAATGAAACAATAGTCCCGACATTTGGGTTTTCATTTTTTGTTTACTCACCCTTTATGCACAAGCCATAGGCTAGTTTGTTTCTGCATTCAATAGGGGATGTTGCACAATAGAGGACAATAGGGTCCCCAATTTACGATGTGTACAAAACATATGGGAGGTCTTCCTAAAAAGTTAAGAGTATAAACAAAAGAGGGACAATAGGGGGTCCCCGATTGCAGGCAAATACACACTTGCGTATCTTCGCGTAAGCATCAGGTGTTGTCGGCAATTTGTTTGAATGTCCCTCCCAATGCTCTTCCCAACTCTCCCTTTGTAACCGTTGAAGTAGTTGTGAAATGTTAATGTCATTGATCTCCAAGGCTTACCTTGATGGCATCATTGTTGCCGTTTTTTGCCGCAGCATGCAGCGGTGTGTCACCCTGCTTGTTACCGATGAACAGATCTGCACCGTAGTTGATCAAGATCTGCGTTAGGTCTGGAAGCTTTGAGACCACGGACAGATACAGCGGCGTCTAGAACAAATTATGGATTTTGTGAGCACAAATCAAAATATAGAAAACAAAACACTGGGAAAACGCAGAGGTTATGCAATAGTCAAATAGCACTGGTTTCCAATATTTCATCATTTTTCTTAACGTTTATTCACAAACATCCATATTTACCTGTTGAAGTTTATTCACAACATTCAGGCATTGTTTGTGTTTGCAGATGCGCTCAATGATCGCCAAAGACAGAGAAATCTTCGCCTGGCAAATGGCAAGATGAAGAACACTGTTGGCAAAGAATGGGGAAAAAAGTGGATTTAACTTTCAAACCAACAGATTCATGACGTGGGCATGAGTGTCCCTAAATGAACAGCGGTCAAACAGCAGCAAAATCTTGGTGCCATATTCAGTCTTTTTTTTTTAATGCTCCACAGCGCCCTCTGTAGTTTGTACGCGGACCCTTTGAGGCTGTAATGTATTTATAGAAACTTGTGCAAATGTATGCAACTTGTGGAGTGCCATGGCCTCGTGGTCTGGGGCACTGAATTTGTGGTCTGGGGGTAATTCTTCAGGTTGTGGGTTCCTGTCCAGCCTGGGGTTATGGTGCGTGTGTCCTTGGGCAAGGCACTTTGTCACTCATTGCTTCTCTCAACCATGTCAACCCAGGAGTAAATGGGTACCTGTGACGGCAGAGATGGTTATTGTGGTTGATTTTAGCTTCCTTGCGCCAAAATGGCAGCATCCAGCTGTATACTGCCCCGGAAGCTGAGATGATTATGGAATGTTTAATTGGCCCAACGGTCGGGGTAATAATAATGTAAAGCGCTTTGATTTAGTTAAAGGTGCTATCTAAGAACCAATTAGTATTACTATTAAGAGACTTACGTGTCCAAGTCTTCGTCTGGGCACAAGAGTTCTTCCACACTCCATCCAGCAAGATGCTTGCGGAAGGCTTCCAGTTCACCCTCAGGAGGTGTTGGTGGCTGTTGGTACCCAGGAGGTGTTGGTGGCTGTTGGTATCCACGAGGAGCGTGTGGCTGGGCGTAGATGGGTGCCTGAGGGGCTGGCACTCTATCATACTGGGTTTGGAAGGGTTGAGTAGGTGCATGAGATGCTGCTGCTGGGGTGTAGGGGGGCGTTAGGGCGGCCGAGTAGGGCTGGACTTGGGGTGGTGAAGGCCAGTTGGCGAGGTATGGTGGACTGGTGTGAGGTTTCTCCCGCAGGAAATTCTTGATGTCTGAGATTCTTTCTTGAGCTTCGCGGGACTCAGTGCTGGAATCATTCCGCTGCCGCTTGCATGGCGAGTGTGGAGACATAGGAGAGATAGTGACTGTTCCTAATGACATGTGGCCTGTTACTTTGATGATAGTAGAGCCGCTCGGTGAGAGCGGTTCACCGTGAGAACTCACATTGGAGTCCGGTGACCAAGGCCCGTTGAGATCAGGTACTAGCTGGGCTGGGGATGATTGTTGGTGATCCGATGCGTAAGGAGAAGGTACAGGACTGATTGAGGAGATACTGGGGGCATGGCTTTCATCCCACGAAGACTGGGGAGAGGCAACACCGATCATATCCATCAGGGTACCAGTCATTGGTTCCTCACTTTCCACTGGTGACCGGACTGACTCTGCATCACTCTCAATGATATCCAAGATGTCGTCGACACTGGATTCAGGTGTAGGGGGCCAGTCAACCTCAGATGGTGTCCCTGTGCTTTCGCCGGGGATGTTCATCCGTTGTGGCGGGATGAACGGTGCTGTAGGCCCACCACTATGTAGAAAATTCTGCTGGTACCCAGGCTGGGGTTGCTGTGCTGCGTTACCAATGTAGATGTTTTGAGCGTGCTGTGTCTGCATCGACTGACCGCCATACCTATACATTTGCTGACCTGAGGGACCCACGTAGACCATCCGCATGTTATTACTTTGCCCCGGGGGGCAAACAAAGCTCTGGCTTGACTGGTCGCTTGGTCCCATCTGTGGCTGCAAGAAACACTGGACAGGAGGGAGTGACTGTTGCTGTTGAGATCCCATCGGCCAGTTGATGGAAGCGGATGTTTGCTGACTAGGCATCCCTTGCTGTGTGAAGAAGTTATCAGTGGGCATGTTAACATCAGGTCTGTAGACCCCTTGTTTCTGGATTCCCCTGGATCGAAGTCGAGGACGCTCCCTCTCAGATGATCTGATTCGACCTCCTTCCTCCTTGATCACAGCCTTCTTCTCCCCCTTCTCCTGAAGAGACAGACTTTGCTGCAAGTCATCGGCTAGGGATGAGACTTCTTTCTCCTTGGATTCAATCTCATCATCCTTCTTTTCTTTGTCACCGCTGTCTTCAAGATGAAGAGTGGTTTGCAGGTCTTGCGTCAGAGCCTCGATGTCTGAGGCAGTTTTCTCCATCTTGGGTTTTTCGTTTTCATCTTCAGTGACTTTCTCCGCTTCAATCTTTCTCGTCTTTTCCTTCTCACCAGAGTCAGTCTTCTCTGTGACGCTGCTCTCAGGATTTTCTGTTGACTCCTTGGTCGTCTTCTCCTCATCTCTGATCAGCTCTACCTTCTCATCTTTGTTTCCTGGACTACTTTCCTCGGCCTTATCTGTTTTTGTCTCTTCTTTTGGTTCATCATGACCACGAGCCTCCAGACTTTGTTTCTCATCTCGCTCAGGAGCAATCTCCAATCCCCCATCATCCGATGGAACATTTGTGATGTCATCTCCTTGCTGTTTCTCACCATCTGTCTTCTTTTCTTCAGTGAAGACTTCATCTTCCACAGGAGGCTCCATGTCGTCGCTGATAGCAGCCGGAGCACTCACTGCGTGACTCAGCTTATGCATCTCTTTCTCGTAGGAGTTTTTCACGCTTCTCTGTTGGACCAGACGACCGTGACCTTTGCCCTTCTGATCCTTGTTGTAACGCATCTCTAGTAAACTAAAGCTTCGTGGTTTTGGCTGCTTCGATTTGGAAGCCGTCTTCTCTTGCTTTTGTCTCTCAGTCTCACCTTTGCCGGCTTGGGTATCTTTTTCTGGCTCTGACATTTTCTGAGAGCTTTCCAATTTTTCTGCCCGACTTTCTACAGGTGCCATGATGGGACCTATTGGCATTGATTTAGTGTACATCATTCCATTACTCTTGGAGGGTGGGCTGATGCAATATCCGGGAGGGACCGATTCTTGTATATTAGGACTGCATTTGTCATATGGGCTGCAAGGCATTGTTGCTGGATTGGTTGTACCTGCAAGAAAGAGAAACAAACCAAAAACAAAACCTTCCATTTAACAAGATCAATTTACATACATGTAGTTTTGATTTCATATTGCCTCATGTACCGGTACGTATGCTCCTTGCTCAAGGTCATACGTGTACACGTATACAACAAAAGGTAAAGAACATAAAAACACAACTTAAATTTAAAAATAAATGGATATGGAAATATGACAATGAGTGAAAAAACTGTAATGTTATAGCTAACATACATACTTGAACCACACACAATGGTTGTTGACAAGGGGAACAATGATTTAACCATCTCAAATCAAAACAGACAATCACCAAACTAACAACATTCCCAGATTTGTTTTAAAAGTTACATGCAGAAAAACATGTTCTATTAACACCTGCACTACATTGTATTACATTGTATTACATTGTATTACATTGTACTACATTGTATTACATTGTATTAAATTTTATTACACTGTATTACATTGTATTACACTGTGTTTACTCACTGAAGAAGCAATAAAACCATAGAGTGCTCGGGCGGTTTTGGGCGCTTCAGGGAGAAAAAGGCAGGGCAGTTTGGAGCCTTTAAAACGTTAACGAAGAACAGCACTTGCCTATTTTACTAGTCAACTTCACACAATCTGATTAAAACTTCCAACTCGTCAGGCAATTTGTTCCAAACTGGAGTCAGCGGTTTTTTCCATATGCTATGGTACAGTATGCAAATACAATAAGGAAAGGTATGGGACTTCCCCTTTTGAAAACCTGATGTCGTTGAGTCGTTTCTAATAATACAATGTACAATCACTTCCCTGAAAGGAAATTATGGGGCAGTCCCAGGTGCAGCACCGGCACATGTGTAGGCCTATTGTCCTGACAGTTGGTAGGTCAATAAAAGAGACCCACACAAAGCCTGCGTTTGGCACCCAGACAAAACATTTCATTTGATGCCATATATGGTCGTTGCAGCTGTACTTTTTGCACTCTTTGATTCAGTTGCCCGATTTCACATCCTCTATGTTTCAAAGTGAAATCCGGTTGTCACTTTTTGTTAGAAATTGGATCATATTTTATTTTTTTTCCCTCAAAATTGTCCGGCTCTTCCTGGCTATCTGCCAACACTAAAATACATGAATGTCACTTTCATGCTTTCACTTCAGGTTCAAGTGGAAAATTATTGTTAATTCACCTGATAAAATGGAAACTTCCCTTATCAGCTGCGGGATAGCAGCTCAACAAATTATTCTCTCCGTTAGTAAGTTAATAGTTGGTAAGTTAGTTAGTAACAAACGTTGATGTTGTCTCCTACAAAATTTTGTCAAAAGTACCTGTATCAGTAGCCCAGCCCCAACATGTCACATGACCAAAGTGGTCATCATGCATGTCATGGGGTCAAAAACCTGATTTTTTTAAAACTCAAAATGCTACTTCTTTCAGAAATTACATGGTACAATCCCGTGACTCATGAATGCATGAACACGGATTTGTTGGCCCGCAGTTTTCGAGATCCGAACGAGCTTGTTTCATATCAAACCTCATACAGCATGTAAGAATTATAGAACAAAAAAGCAAGAACAAACCAAGCGATTCGGCAAAGTATTTCATTTTTTCCTGTCCCTATTATCTTTAGTAGGCTACTTTGTGATTTGCCAGTCAAGTGTCACAAAAAAATAATTTCAATTTATTTTTCATTTGTTGGGTAGAACCTACATTTTTGTAGTTTGCTAATTCATAATCACTCTTGGCAGATGACTGCATTTTAAAATGGAGTGCTTCCAGCATTATAGAATCATAGATATCAGACGTAACAGAAACAGAAAAATGGGGACCCCAAAAAGTCCCAAATTAAAGAATGACCCACACATGACCAAAGACCTTGTGGTGGTTTTGTTAACATGTTATTGACGTTCTGTAACAAAAATGCAACAGTACATTACAGAACAGTCTGTTATACTAGTATGATGCAATGTGAAACAGTTCACATTGTTGCAATGGGTGGTAAGTAATGGGACATTTTTTTGAAATGTACAAAACTAATTGGGCTGTAGTTATCAAACATCGCATCTCAGCCATTTAGTGTCACAGGAAGTAATAAAATATCCTCTTGAAATTTCTGGTTGAGATATGAATTGGTTTAACATGTTCTACTTCTGAGGTGCAGTCATGTTGGTTAAAAATTGGGCAATTTGCAAGTTAGATCTATAGGCCTACCAACCAGTGCGCATACATGTACACAATATAGGTGCCTTCAACTGTCCCTTATGACTTTGCCACAAAGCGCCCTCTATAGTTCTTACGCAAAGCCAATAACAGATTCAGATTTATCTGTTTTCGAATGAATAGGTACTCTCCCTTTAATGTCCTCAAACAGACAAGATTCATTTTCCAAAGAGCGAGTTCCCGTAAGAGGAAGTGCTCGCGTTAATTTTGCAACAGCCCAAGAAATGAAAGGCCAAGACAAAATGAAACGTTGATCTGTCTGAAAGGAATCTCCACCCGGAAAAAAAAATACATCCTGGATCAATCTGCCTCTATAAAATGCCAGAAACTGAGCCAGTGCTTAAGAATCGTGACTTTATCAGCCTTGTGGTTGCGAAGGAGTTAAGCAAATTTAAGTGAGCAATGTTTTACAAATATATGTTTGACATTTTGAGCAATATTTTGTTTCAGTTTTTGACGTTTCATATACCGGTACATGTACTCGATCTTTTGCAATATGCATTTTATGTTTCACTTTACATTTGATGTTTCGTTAAGAGTGGCAGTCTGGTTACTAGACCGCGAAAGTCTGACTATTTTGCCCAAAGTCAGTGTATCAGACGTCAGGGGATCGCGTATTGCTTTATGGGCCGAATTCATGCGCTAATGTCTTTAACACACACGGAAGCTCAAGTGCCCACCTGTCACATTTAATGATCCAGCTACATGACGACTCTGATAATGTGGATAACTTGTTGCAAGCTAATCCCGGTAGTTCCGGGTTCGTGCAAGTGGCAGTTTGTCTCTCAAGCCCTCGTGTGCTGGTTAAGCCAATGAATTTTGTATTAAACTCTGCTTATCTTCTTTACAATTAACACTCCCATGGCTGTTTATTCTAGAATTACAATAAAAAGTGCACCTGGTAAATGCGCTGATTAGCACAGCTGGGGGTACTGCCTGAGCTGGGGTACTGCCCAAACAATGATGACTGCTTTGCGCATGCTCCAAGAATCACCAACAATTCCGTTTGTTACCGTTCAGGTCTGGCTCTTATCACTTTTAACTCGATCCCCTGACGTCTCAAACACTGACTTAAGGCAAAATAGTCAGACTTCCGAGGTCTAGTGACCAGACTTCGACTGAAACATCAAATGTATAGTGAAATATCAAATGCATTCTACAACAAAAGATCGAATACCCGGTACATATACTGATAAAACATCAACTACATGTAGAAACAATGAAACATTGAATATATTGCATCAAAAAAACAACCTATAAACCCCGCTCACATATTTGAAAATTTCGCAAATATATTGTAAAACATCACACATAATTTCATTGAAAACATCGCACATTTAACGTTAAACATCGGACACATATTGAAAACACCGCATATTGTAAAACATCGCACATATAAAAAATCGCACATAAACACGATAAATGTCAAACATCGCACTGACACATTGAGCATCGCGTATAAAGGCCCCTATTGCAAAGCTGCTCACACATATACACATATTGAACATCGCACAAAACTTCGCACACATAGGCCTATCGGTATATTGAACATCGCACATATTGTAAAAGATAACACACATTTTGAACATAGAACATATTGTAAAACATTGAATTTTGCAACATTTGACACACCATAAACAATGCCACAGTTGTATCCTGCTGCATTCAGGGACCACAGACTCTGAGTCAGTTTGGCCTTGAGACTTTTGATTTGATTGATCTTGCTACACTGGGCAGGCTTGTCATGCTTAGACAAGTGTTGCATGTTGCTGGTTTGGCCCTGGCCTTCTGGCTCCATGGTTTGGCAGGGTTTCTAGCCAAATTACCCTAAAGGCGTTAGGTTTACACTGCTTTTTTAGCTCCATGGTCTGTTCCTTGCTCTATGGTTTTACTGGAAGTTGAACGTTGCACACAAATGTCAGTTGTCAACCAAAATAGTTCTCAGACTTTAGTTCCCCCAAAAAAATCCCTCAGAGCCAGGAATTATTGCTCCGTCGATAAAAAGTAGGTTTTGATTTAAAAAAAGACAAGAGAATACATACTTTGATGAGTTAAAAAAAACAATAAGACAACAGAAAAAAACCCCAAGAATTCTAGTAGTAATTCTTTTTGCACCTACTTGTCTCATATGGTAACATAAAAATCTCAAAAATCAAATGTCGCGCTTTATCAACGACTGTTTTGTGTAATGATACGTGCTCCTTGGGTGTGTTCAAAGCCTATACTGTCGTACGGCGCGGATCGGAGCACGTATCATTACACGAAACAGTCGTTGATAAAGCGCGACTTGTTTTTCTTCGATCGAGCAATGACGGTGACGTCACGTCAGACGCCCTCAATCGGTAAGTCGGGGCAAGGACTGAGCTTCACGGCAAACAGATTGAGCTGTAAGTTTTCAGACTATTTTGCTGTTTTTCCCCCAAAATTTTCGTTGTTTGGGAACAATATAAGGGGTCTGATGGAATGTCATGAATGTGTAGATCAATCCAGGGTAACTGTCTCTCTCATTTGTATTCTCTTTACTGGTTTTTGGGGGTCTTTTTGTCCTCGCGTGGGTATGTACACTATACTACTGTGACGCCGTCACCAAAGTATGGCAAATCGGTGGAGCGTTTGTATGGAGGGGTACCCGTAATTCAACGCTCCACTCAGTAGAGCTAGCGTTTAATCTGCTTTTCTGGTAGCAGAAAAGCAGGAAAGTAGAAAAACTGAATGCATTTTAGCAAAACGTTCCATCAGCTTTTCTGCTATTCAGTGTTAGCAGCAGAAAAGCAGATACCCACTTTTGAACCTCCATACATGTAGCCCTACATGATCATACTTCACAATTCCTATTAAAGCTATACAGTCCATCATTTGTAATTAGTGCATTTTGTTTGTTTGAAGCAACAAAAGTGTTAAAAATCTAATGAAGGATACTGAACAACTTACTTGATGAAGTTTCAGCTCAGCTTAAGCTTTATATCCTGAGAAAAACAGCATTCCAGGATCTCAATTTAAAATCAAAAGTTGCTAAATCATGTTTCGAATTGTTTTGAATTGCAGCTTTACGCGATGTTGCGCACTGATCCAACGAATTATAGCAACCGCGTGCGCCTGTGCGTCGTTCCAATGCTTGTGCGCGCTGCGCCGAATAACAAAACGAACAACTAATTTAAATTTTTCTACGGTGCTTCTTAAGAAGCACCGTTGGAAATGCCTTCTTTCGTTGATTTCTTCAAAATGAGAGCTTGCCAGAAAGGATAATTTCACAGGGAGTTTAGTCTCCTTACTATCTTTCAACCAGTATGTTTTTCAACAATAATTACGCCGGTTACTTTTTTGGATAGCTGCAAATGATGGACTCGGCTTTAAACGTTGTTGTTAAGTCATGAAAGTGTGAAGAATGTGAAGTACACAATGTCTAATGGAATGAGTAAATGACATTTCACATGACAAAAATGTTGACAAAAATGACACATTTAAGGAACAATTCTCATTTACTGATTTACACCTACCAACAACAGACACTGAACTAGTACTGGACACATTACTACATAAAAGGAACTAGTTCGAATATAAAATGTCAATCTTCATTTTGGCTAACACAAGAAGAATTGCATGACAGGCATAACTAAATTGCGGTTTTGCTCTGCCACAACCATGCATAGTGCAAGCCTATATTACTAATACACACGTTCACTTTTACTCACCAACTTGTTTTGCGAACTTCGACAAGTCAACTCCGTTTGTAGCTCTCTGATCCAATATTTTCCGCTCCTCAACCTTTGCATCAATCGAAGGCATCCTGGAGTCCTCAAAACGGAAGTTCCCTGAAAAAAAGCCAAGAAGTCGCCGCCAAAAAGCACCAAAAACATGAGATTTCGTTACGGAAGTTCAGAGCTTCGATACTGAAAATTGCTAAGGTCACACATGCACTACACGCATATGGCGCATGATGACGCAGTACACGTTGAACAAGGCTTCTGATTGGCTAGCAAAGGGGTAGGACTATTGTTATGAATATTCATTTTGAACCTGGGAAATTTTAGGGGTTTTCCCTTCGCTTTTTTCGTGACATCATTGTTGACTTGTGTATTGTGTTGATAACTCAGATGAATAATTGGAAAGAATGGGACAGTTTGATCATGGTTTGATCAGTGATGATCGTTGACTAAGAAATATCAGTGTTTTGTGCGAATTTAAGTAGCTCCGAAATTTCTGTGCCATGACGCACTGCTACAATTTTAAGGCCATTACAATTAACGTGTATATTATTTGCGATTCGTTTGTACAAAGATTTTGTCAATTGAAATACAGTGGCCAATGGCCATTTGGGGGTGGGGGTGGCTGCAGTGGAGAAAGTGTGTTGTTCATATTTGTGGCAAGCAATGTAGCTTTCATGATATTCCAATATGAAAACCTTTCGTCCAGGCGTAACATTTTCTAGTAATTTGATTTTATGAGCTAACATTCGATTACACTTTTCTGTTAAAACAAACGGAACTGGATTCACGTCGCGTATGCAGAATATGTCTGAAATAAAAACCAAATAGCTTCCTTATTTGAATGATAAAGTAATGCCCATGAACAGACCGCCCGCATATTTCCAGAAACAAATTTCCATTTCATTTTAACGTCATTAGGACATGGGTAAATACTGGCCTGGTTTTGGAAGGATCATGAGTCAGTTTAATTTAATCCGAAACAGGATGTGATTTTATGGTCACGATCGAGCGCTCAAAAATATGTTAATGAATATTCAGCATAAGAAGCACTGCCAGCGGATAAACTTATCATTATAAGCCCCGCCCACAGCGGCTGTGATTGGTCACAGTGTCGTGGGGCGGGGCTAGACGCTAAAAAACACACACAAATAACCCGCTCAAAAAACACACAAATAACCAAGGCGGATCCAGAACACAATTATTTTCGGGTGGGCCCAAAATAATTTTGGTCCACCAAAAAGTAGGTCAAAAGAATTACGGCGAGGGGTTTGGGGCCCACCCGGGTTTTTTTTTTTGGGGGGGGGGGATTCTAGATGCTTTGTTGTGCGATCTGAGGAAGTTTCTGACCACTTTAACCAAATTTGTTTGAAGAAAAGATGGTGGTGTACGCGCGCAGTGCCTGCCTTTATTGCGACATCGCTTAAAAAAAAATTTGGTTCGTTTTTTGGGGAGAGGGGCCATGGCCCCTGTTGCCCCCCCCCCCCCCCCCCCCCCCCAGGAGGTGGACATAACTAGGATTGAAATGGCTGGAGACATTCGGGGTCCACATTGTTTTTTTCGGGGGGGGGGGGCTCAATGGGTTTTCTCAAATTTTGCAAAATCTCTTCATCCCAAAAAAACCTTCTTTTTTTTTAATACTGCTCCCCGGCCAATTTATCATATTTAGTTAGTCCACATTTTGTTGGCAATCGATTACACTCGTAGCATCAACGGGTACAAGCCAGCTAGAGTGGTTCCCTGACCTTACAATTCCCCAACGTCTAGTCTATAAATTGCTCTGTTTCCTCTCAGGTGGGGTTAGGGAACCAGACTACAAGTACATTAATGATTTTTTTGGCTTTTCCAGAATCTACGAACACAAAAACTTCAAACAAAAGTAAAACACTAAACACTCTAAAACACTAACTCCCTAAAATCCATCCATTTCTGAGAATAACAGCAAAAACAAATGTTGTATCCCTTTAAAAGAAACAAAAATATACAAATCCAAGAACTTTAAAATTTACTGTACATTTTTTTTTAATCAACCATCACAGTCCCTACCTGTGTCAAATATTTATATCGTTTTGCAAAAGTTAACGATAATTTAAAATGTACATTTTTATTTCATATTCATCTCACCAGTGAAATTAATCAGAAATTGGTTTTAAAAACGCAAAATGTCTCAGGGTTTTGAGACCAGCTACATGTACATAGAAAGACACATCTAACTCACGTTTAACATTTTTGTTTGCAAGTTCTTTAATTTTACGTCTTGGATAAACACCGCTTATGCTGAGTATGCTTGTCAGCGATCTACATCAGCACTATGGCGTTCAAGGTTCACATTCTTTTACTGTCAACCTCCAAAGTCATTGGGGGTCACAGCAATGAAACAAAAGTCATTCTAACTTTTCAAAACTTTTTCTTCCAGCAATAAATTCAAGGACTCAAACAAATTCTTTAACAAGGGGAGTCCACACAAAAAAAAAAAACCCAAATGTTGGGACCAACGTTTTCATGAAAAAGACACCAAAACAAAAAACAAAAACCCACCAGAATCAGCCTGGACATGCTGGATGGGATTAAAATCATAGGATACGGTGGGAAAGCTATGCCATCCTACCAAACCAAAAACAAGAGGATATATCTAGAATATTTACAAACCATTTTAAAGGGAATATACAACACTTGCTTTTGCTGTAATTTTCAGTAATGGATGTATTTAGGGGGTTAGTAATTTATAGCAAATATTGTTACAGTGACTTGTTTGAAGTTTTGTGTTCGCAGATGCGACTAACCAAGAAAACCAATCATTATCTTGAAGTCTGGTTCCCTGACGCCATTTAAGATGAAACGGAGCAATTTATAGACATCAGGGAATCGTAAGGTCAGAGAATCAGTCTAGCAGGCTTGTAGCCCTACACAGGTGTGTAATTAATTGTAAAGAAAATGCGGAATAACTAAATATGAAAAATTAGGAGCAGTTTTTGCAAAAAGCCAGTTTTCTCCAATGATGGTCGGCTGACCAGCGATTAAAAAATACAATTTTTTGTGCAAATGTCAGCACATCAGGAGCTACGATTTTACAGGATGCTTTTAGACTGTCATTCCCAGTAAGGTATTTCGTAATAATTTGATCATTTCGTTTTTGATGTTTACAAATGTTGTATCTTCCCTTTAATACTTGACACGCAAAATTGAAGAATCTGCAAAGTGGTTTACGACTGGTCCTACGAGTATTCACCATGAAGTATCAAAATTTCCCAAATTTGACGAAAAATTCTCAAGTCCAATTATTCATGTCTAAACAAAATTCATCATAACATCAGACAATATTTGAGATGCATTATGGCAAGGGTACTTCTCAAAATATACTCTAAAAAGCAAACGTGTTATATACAAAGTCTGAATATTGAACCAAAATTGTTGAAATGAAATCGCAAGGGAAATGTTTTTCATTTGAATTGTGGAGAGAAAAATGCAACAAAAATTAAATCATTTGGAATCCTACACCCACAAAATTTAGTTTTAAACAAATCATTTCTAAATACGTAATTTCAAAATAAAAAAGGAAGCGACAAAAAAAACACAAAAACTGCATGTACATAGTTTAAATTGGAAAATTGTTTTGTTTTTGCTTCTATACATTATTATTCAACATGTCTACAACAAGCTCAGGCCCCCCCCCCCCAACAAATAAACAAAAATAATACGGGGCGAGTAAAAAAACCAAAAAAACCAACGGAACCCAAATGTCGCAACAATTGTTTCAGTGAACTTCTGCATGTAGCACTCTCAAAATATAGGATATGAAAGCCCAATTCATAAGCTTTGTTTTAGTATAAGAATCATTCAAATCACTCATGTACTTCTTAAGTTACGGAATTATAAACACAATCACCATTTTAAAGTTCTGTCCACGGATCTTCAGCAAAACAAAAATAATTCACACACATCCCTATGTGATTTGTTTTCATTTTGCTGAAAGAACACTTAGTACATTTTTGAGACCCGAGGACAGAACTTTAAAATGGTGGTTGTGTTTATAATTCTATAACTTGAAAAGTACATGAGTGATGTGAATGATTCTTGTACTAAAAGAAAGCTTATGAATTGGGCTTTCATATCCTAGATTTTGAAAGTGCTACATGAAGAACTTCACTAAAACAATGGTCCCGACATTTGGTTGTTTTTTTTTACCCACCCTGTATTTTAAAATGCATTTTATACCGGCATTACAAAGCAACTATAAGTCTGTCTAAAAACTTGGAATGCTTGTTGTAATTTTATCATTCACAAACTAGGCAAAACGAAAAAGTGCTCTCTCTGAAAATAACAAAAATCACAAAATAACTCGAGATAATAGATTTACCAGAAGCAGTGAGTGCAAATTGAATGCATACACCCAGTGAGATTGTTGCATCAAAAGTGATGCTTCAAACAAGCTTAATTTTGGCATCAAAGTTGACGAGAAAAATGTTCAACACCTAAAATGCATTGTGAAAAAATGATGAAAATCAAACATATTCCAACAGGAGTCAACTGCATTGAATTTGTAACTCAGAAAAAATCTGTAGTTCTGGTGTAACAATGGTCCTGATCTGTTATACTTAACTTTGTGACTAAAAAAGTCTTAAAGTCAAGAAATTCGCACTACTTTTTGTTTGGAAGAAGCAGCAAAAAAGTCTTGCTGTAAAAAGTCTTGCTGTAAGTAATGTGATAAATGGTTGACTTGAATTGGAACAGGACTATGAACAATTTTTTGATAAATACAAAATAAAAAAACTGTGTGGACTTTTGAAGCGAGCAACAAATTCCTAACATGTCTTCCGTACAACCCAAAAGCCTACAAATTGGGAATAACCTGCATTCTTGGAAGTTCTCCAGGTTAAACTAAAGTTCCGATCGGATTTTGTTCCACCGTTTTACGAGTTATCCATGGTTGCAGGGAGAATCGCAATCCCGTGCTGCCGCAGCTGTGCTTTCAGAAGAGTGTTCTCATTCTTGAGTTCTTCTACCTGTTGCCGTAGTAACTCGTTGTCGACGGAGATGCGTTCATGCTCTTTGACGGTTTCGGCCATGCGTCCGTTGGAATTTCTCAGATCGACGATGTAGTCGCAGGTTTTGGATAAAATACCTCCTTTACTCTGCTGTTGAAGTTCAACACACAAAAAAGAGATTATTCAACGGGTTGGTTTTTATTAAAGTTTAGAGTAGATCATTTGCAGCTATCCAAAAAGTACCTGACGAAATCATTGTTGAAAGCTTACTTGGTTTAAAGAGAGTAATGTAACTAAACTCCCTGTGAAGTTATTCTTTCTGGCATGCTGTCATTTTGAAGAATACAATTAAAGACGGTCATTTCCAACGATGTGTCTAAAGACGTATTTTGGAAATTTCCGTTTGTAGTTCGTTTTTAATTCGGCGTAGCCATGAATGGGTGCACGCAAGCGTTAACACACGCGTGCGCGGTTACTATCATTCATCGGTTCAGTGCGTGACATCGCAAGGCTGCAATTGGCTGAATGAGAACGTGTCCCGGACGCTGATTTCGTGCGCAATTCAAAACATGACTTGGCAGTTTCGAATTGAAATCGAGAACCTAGAATATTGTTTTCTTAAAATATACAGCATTCACTTAGCTAAAACTTCATCAGGTTAGTTGTTAAGCACCCTTTTTTAGATTTTGAGCACTTTTGTTGATTCAAACGAAAAAAAATGCACAAACGACAAATTATGTTCTCTACCTTTAAGCAAAACAGGAATTTTACAATGAAAGGTTAAATAAAAGGTTGTTCAAACTCAGCGCGAAAAGGAACGCGACCGGGAATTTGTGTACGGCACAGTTAGTTTTTATGCTGCGAATTGGCAAGAGTTGAACGCATTCCAACCCTGGCTAACTTCAAAGCGAATGTTTGGTGAAGTCAAATTGGCTTGAAGGGATCATCTTTATAGTCTCACCTGTGATTTGACTTGGTCAGTTGCGCAATCAGGGACCAGCTTAGAAAGTTTAACAATCCAGTTATTGATCTTATCTCTTCTTCTGCGTTCCACTTCATTATGCGTGGCTCTTCTCCTATCGTCCCTGGCTGTGCGTGCTCCATCAATTTTACTGCGCAAGAGAAAAAACAACTTTTGTCAGAGTTTTTTTTAAATGTGTACATATGACTGCCTGCTGTCAGTTTTAAATTAGAAGATATCACAAGCTACAGGATTCCTACAGAAATTTTAAAATGAGAATTCCTTAGGAGCCTAGTTGAAGTTATTGTAATCGTAAAGTTGTGGCCCTTTATTGATGCCACTGTATCCTGACGATGACAGCTATTTTTTTGTCAACGGCGGTTCATTGTTCTCATCTTTTTAGCAGGCTAAAGCATTTGACAGTTATAAAATATTAAGTGCAAGGCATTGGAGCGGCCTGTAAAATCAACCACTGCACACACATTTTATGGGGTGTACTTTGCATGTAACATTTCACTGGCATGGCACGCAGTTGCAGCCGGCACGTGTAAACTTGATCAGATTCGAACCAGCCAACCTCGGCCAGTCATTGAGTGGTAAGATGTCTACACTACAAAGCAGGAGGTTGTTGGTTTGAGTCCCACCCGAGTGATTTTTTCGCACTTTCACTTCGGGGGGTAGCACACTGGGTATACAGTGTATATACGTCGGTGAAGTGCAAAACTAATATTAAATTGATCAACAACTTTCAAATATTCAAATATTCAGTCAAACACAGTTTTGAATAATCGAATACTCAAGTATTCGAAACTGGACAGCTAACTAACATCACGTCTCACTGATCACCTACTAGTCATCTAATGGTATTTGATTGAACTCTATCGTTCCTGCACAGAGATAATATGAAAGACCAATCCCAAATTCCACTTTTAACGTTGTTGACTTACGGAGTGAATGTGTGAGTTCTTGGAGCAATGGTTCTCTGGGTAGCTCCTTGCAAGACATCTTGCGGTGACATCATCACGTAAAACTGACCTGCACATGAACACAAAATTCAATAAACCTGAATTTGTAACAAAAATTTACCAAAATGAATGGTTGTTTTTAACATGTTTACTCACACATGCAAGAAATGTGTAACCAGAGTGCATTGTTAAGGTTTAATTGGAAATTTAATATTTTAAACTCGTCAGCTTTTTAACCAGTTCGCACTGGGATTATTTTGACGTTGACCGGACCCAGGTGCGGGATTGTTTTTCACGAACCTCGATGCCAAACTGGTTCAGGCCGGCATCTTAGGATAGCACCCCCTGATATTTCTGGCCTCGCTTGCTGCGATGCAGTGGAACGTCACTATACCGAACACCGCTGCATCGAACATTCGGCTATACCAAACATCATCCTTAGCTCCCAATTTTTGTGTAAAAAACGTATCGAACATTATTGTTGGAAAATGTCAACAGAAGAATGACAAATGGCTATTTTTTTCCTCAAGGAATAGAAGGGAAATACAACCCGTGTAAGCTCAAAAACAGTGTTATTAAACGATTCAAAAGTCACACGTATTCAAAATCGTCTCTTAGTAACTACCAGGGTTACAACGGTCAAAAGAGGGTGCCACTAATGTACGGAAAATCACAAGCTGTTAAGTATCGGCTTAAAATCTCTATACCAAACGATTGCTATTTCGAGGAATTTATGTGGATCGCGCAATGTTCGTTATATAGCGGCGTTCCACTGTACTGCAAAACCTTTGCGTGTATACATGTCATCCGAAGTGAACTTTTTAAGAATGTTTTGAGTCATGTTTCTAATATTTGGTACTCTCTTTAAAGGTAAACACCATTTGCATTTTCAGTTTTCTCAAAGTGTATACAGTCGACTCTTGTTAGTATAAACTCTGTTAATACAAATTCTGGTTATAACAAACATAAAGCCTTGGTCCCGACTGTGCATTTATGTGCACAAAGAGTGGGGCTGATATTCCTCTTAATACAAAATTTTGATATAACAAACAATTTGGCTAGGTCCGAACGAGTTTGTATTAACGAGACTAGACTGTATTGGCTTAGCTGAATTTTCGACAGGTTAGTTTTAAATAATGTGCTTCAGAATGATTGCATTGTTCCTTGACTCTACACAAACGCATTATTTATCCCGCGCCTAGTTCTGTTCTTGTCAAAATAATCCCGGCATGAACTGGTTAAATTACAAATTAACCCTAACCTTTCAATACATTTTGACAAAAAATCTGCTGAACGCACCAACATGCAACACTTGTTAAAACGAGTAGCCTGCTCAGTGTAGAAAGATACTTCAGGTCAAAAATCACAAGACCAAATGGCCTCAGAGTCTGTGGTCCCCCAATGCAGCAGGATACCACTCTGGCATTGTTCAATGGGACTAGCTCTCACTGTTACAGAATTGGCCGTTTATGCACTGGCTCAATGCAGCAAGGTTCTGGACTTTTACACCTGATGCACTGTGTTGCGTCTGGCAGGGTAAGAATTAAAATAAAGCAAATGTAACCTCCTGCAGCGGTTGCATTCGCCAGTGATGACTCGGATTGCTGGGTGATGACACTAGGATCTGTCACGACGGCTGAGGTGGGGAAGTATGTAAATCTCGTCTCACCGGCAGGGGCGTCTGAAGTCGGACTCTCCCCATTACTAAATGGACTTTGGATGACCTAAGTCAAAAAGAAAAATTACGAACACAAATATGTAAAAACAAGACAAGCCTAACCTAGTAAACACAAAGTTCTATTCAATGGATTCAGAATGGCTATTTACGCATGTCTTTTCATGCATATGGTTTACACAATGAGCTCGATTTAGAGTATCCATTGGCATTACAGAGTAATCCTATACAACAGCACTGCCCAGCTCACAAGTTACAGCCAAAAAGTCTGAGCAGTTAGTGAGAAAGATTCAAACACTAGGCTTGGCCTCTGAGACCATAACAATTTAACGCTGTGCAAAAAACCATGACACACTTTTTGTAAATACCTTAAACAGGTGAATGATAATTGAATTTCACTACCCTATACCGGTAGCTACCCCACTATCTACTATCAACCCAAATCAGTGAAAACTATTGAGGAAATTGACCTGATGTATCAGCATTTTAGTTGACTGGCCTTAGGGTGGAGTGGGTGTTTATATGATTGATAATTCATGAATCATCATGTGACTATGATCTGACAGGAATCTGTCAATCAAATCCCGAGATTAATACTTCCTCTATTAGCGCAGTCACTAATCCACTGGGATCATATTCATATTTATATCATAGAATCATATTGATCCACATAATCTATAGTTGGGTCGGACTAACTAAAGAGTGGTGTATTCTGACTAGTCTGGGATCTTGAAATGAGTACTGAGATAGGCTTCGAAATGTCTACAACTTCATTGGGTGTTGGTGGGGATGTTGGTTGGGGTGGATGGGAATGGTGTGGGTAATAGTCTGGGGGCTAGACGTTGTTAAGGTTTGATACGTGATAACCCTCCGCTGCGATAACCCGCTGCCGCGAGAGGGCGCTATCACGACCAACCAATATCACAATAGCACAAAAGTCTTGCTGCTTCTTTTACACTACTGGTGGTTCAGAACTACGAATAAAATGTTTTGAACGCTGCATGTTAGGCCAAACAGGTGCGTGCATTACACAACCGATACAAATTTCCCCAGATGTTGTTCTCACGGGTTCGTGGGTGATATTGGTTGGTCGTGATAGCGCCCTCTCGCGGCGGCAGGTTATATCGTGGTGGCGGGTTATCGCGTATCAAACCGTAACAACGTCTAGACCCTAAACTACGTGGGGAATGGGGGTTGGGAATGGGGGTGGGGTGGGGAGTGGGGTGGGGAATGGGGGTGTGGCTGTCATAAACAGGATCATGAGCTAGGCATTCATGGGGTTTGGGTCGTACCTGAGTGACAGCTTGTCCACCTTGCGGGAACGATGTCGTAGTGACCACATTTACTGCCGATGAACTGTTAGTAGCGTCAGGGTCCACCTGAACCACTCGATACGTTACTTGGCTCTGACCGTTACTGTCAGTCCGAAATTGGTACTTCAGGAGGAATTAGCAGGATTATAAGTTAGAAAGGAATAGGCCATATTATTATCCATACGCCCTCAAGCTTGTCTGAAGGTTGATTTAAGTACATGTTTGCAACACTCAGGCATATCAGGAGTGACTAGGCTGAAAGATTAAGCATAGTAGTCAGTTGGAATGACTCCAAGAATTCATTAAAGGAAGTTATTAGATAATTTTTTAAAGAGACAATTTCTATAAAAAATATTTTGTAATATCCAATTATAAAAAAAAGGTAGTAGGTACTTACATGAATGTTTTCAGCTCCAAAGGCAGCCGAGTTGGCAATGACTGAGGGGTCTTCAGACCCAGAGCCAATCTCCCCTGTAAAGAATTACAAACATGAAACAGTCATCTATCAAGTAAACAAGCATACATGAAACAGTTGTCTGTATTTTAAAATTTATGGTCATTTTGGTCTGACCAAACCACAATTTTCAAAGAATCTCCAAATAGTGTTAGGTCTGAACAATCAGGAAGAATGCTGTTTCTTTCAGCAAAACTTTTTCCAAAAAAAAAAGTCTTGCTCCATCAGAACAAGCTGGTTGACATTTCAGCAAATTTGAAAATAAAACACACATACATGTAAAGTCTCTCCTCACTGCAACTTTTACCTCAGCAAAAAAATATTGATTTACTTTACATCAGCATAACACTCTTGCAATTAAATGTATACTATAATAAAAATAAATAATAATAAAATGCTAAAGCGCTTTTAACGCAGATCAAAGCACTGTACAAAATTACAAATAAACAAGAAAAAACAAGAAAAAGTTAATGCAAGAATAACTCAAGAAAACCATAATTTGCAAAGTTTTACAAGTAACTCTTTGATTAAAGGGAATATACAACATTTGCAAGCATAAAAAACTACCAAACTATCACAAAATACCTAACTGGACTGTTAGCGAATGACAGTCTAAAGCATCCTGTAAAATCATGGCACCTGGCGTGCTGACATTTTCAAGAAAAGTGGTATTTTTGCATCAATTTCCAACGTTGGTCGGCCGACCAGTGTTGGAAAAAAATGTGGTTTTTTTTCAAATACTGCTCCGATTTATCATATTTAGTTAGTCTCCATTTTCTTTGCAATCGATTACACACCTGTGAATGGGTACAAGCCAGCTAGACTGATTCCCTCACTTAACAACTTTCCGACATCTATAAATTGCTCAATTTCTTCGTTAGTGGGGTCAGGGAACCAGACTACAAGAACATGATTGTTTTTCTTGGTTTTTCCAGCATCTACGAACCCAAAACGTCAAACCAGTCTGTGTAACAATATTTGCTACAAAATACTTTCCCCCCAATCCATCCATTTCTGAAAATTACAGCAAAAAACAAAAGTTGTACATTCCCTTTAATGAAAGCAGGCAAAAAATTAAATCAAACAAACTTACCATCGTCTTTCCCTTGAAGATCTTGATCACTCTTTTCTTGTCCGCTAAAAAAAATGAGAAAAAAAAAAATCCTAAAATATTTCTATTTACCATTGTTTACTCCTTTAATGTTGCACTAAAACAATAACAAGTTCAGCCTCCTGCATCTAACAGAATCCAACAGAATCCAACAGTTCACATCTATTTCTTTAACAAGAAAATGGCTACTATCACTGCTGTTGGATATTGTTGAATACGCTACCTGAATGGAATGAAGTATCGAAATGTTTCACAAAATACCCGCCCTTTCTCAAGCAAACTCAAACTCCAAAGCATGCTGCAATTGAAGTACCTTCAATGAACATCATTTGTTTTTTTGTAAACAGTGTGGTATACTTTAACAATTAGGCCTACCACAATGTTGCCAAAACCACGTTGTCCCATTACGATGCAAGAATATAGCCCTACAAATAAATTTACCTGTTAATCTCATTGTTCACTGCCATCATAGCAAACAGATTCTTTTTTCTCATAGAAGAAAAAGTTGTAGACCACAGTAAGACCACTACAAGACTGGTGTAAAAGTAACACCCAAAAACTGAAGCCTCAGAGATATCTCAAGATAACATTATTCACTTGTAAAAGAAACTGTTTTAAGATCTCATCTAATAAGTTCACAAATCGTTTCAGAGACTTTGTTGGACTTTCGACACGAATATTTAAAACATGCATGCTTCGTTAGCCCAACGTGACTAAAAATCTATTTATAAATGCCCACTCATATTTGTTTCTATTTTAAAAAACAGACAGAACAAGTCACACAGCACAAAGACACTGACCTATTTAATGCTGAAAAAACTTCAGCAAGTGAAAATCTTTTACAAAAAGGCCATTGGCTAAAAGAAGCATCTTCACCAACACCCCTCCAGCATAATTGATGTGTCAGTTTTCAGGCACCTGATTGGTTGATTCTTAGCATTTGTAACTTTGGGATGAATCATTGTGGTGGAGGAGGGGTGGATAGGTGAGTAATCTAATAAGGCAGTGTGATGGGGGCAGGAAGTGATACATGTTGTGTTGCCGACAGTAACGTGCACCTGACGTTACGTTGCACACATGTGACTCTGATCAGACTGGGACTATAATCCCAAAGAGCACAAACTATAAATAACCCCGTCCAAAGAAACCTTTGCAGCGACTCTTTGTTTATCACTTAACCAAGAGTTCAAAATTCCTTGAACAATTTGACATCCATTCAATACAGAAAGAAAAAAGACATACAATATTACAATCTATTCTCACTATAATCATATTTAAGGCATGCAATCCTTGGAGGGATGACCACTGCCTCAATCCTGCAAAATCCTCCAGCAATAACTGTTTGCATGTTGAGGCAGAGCCAGTGACATTCTGGAGCAGTGCGGAGGATTTCAAGTATAAGGCCGGAAAAAAATTACTTCTGCTTCCAATTACATGGCTTTCAAAAATAGGGTCGGTCGGTCAGAATTTTTAATTCTTTTGGCCAATTTTTGTTATGCAGATTGAATGGGGCATTCAATTATATGCGAAGTTTTAGCCTGAACTATTTCCACTGTACTACGAAGGCTAAAATGGTCACAAAAAAGTGAATAAAACCTACCTTAATTACAGTCAATATATTTACGTTTGATAATTCTTAAAAAAATGATGGAAAATTCAGGTCGTTATATTCGCACCATATGCACAACACTAGTCAAGACGGGAAGCTGGCCAAAACTCCGAAGTGTGTGATGCACTGTGCATGTGTGGCGCGTGGCCAACAGACTTCGTTTTTACGGTCAAAAATTTTGGGAAACACGCTGCATGTATAACTCCAAATACGAGTTCCAAAAATGTTCTTTCTCTATCGGTGTTTTCTTGGCATTTTTACGATGTCGAATCCGACCAGGTGACAGTGCATCGGCCTGCAATATAGTGCTAGCGCTATCGATCGCATAGCCATGACAGACTAGTTACCGCATTTTCATCATGTCGTCACTGCATTGAGCTAGGTCATGTAGGTTTACGCACGTGATTATAGTCACCGTGACATCGAATTGCGAAGTAGTTATATCGCGAAGCCAATTTGTAAAAATAACGGAGGTTTCTTTTGAAAAAATAGCGAATGTAAGTAAAAAAACAAATGAATACAGGCATTTTTTTGATGCAAAAGGGTTGTTGAGAGGTATTTTGTGAAGACAGAAAAGACAACAAGTTTGTACTTTTATTTATTCAATCAATTTTTTTTTGAGGGGGGGGGGGATTGCCGATAAGATTTTTAGGGTCGCAGCCTTAAAATAGGGTCGGTCGGGTAACCGGAAGCAGAAGTATTATTTTTGTTGGCCTAATCTAGGCCTAAATTCATGCACGGCTGAGCAGAAACAACACAAGGTCCAGCCTTAGACCTTGACAATTAAAGTGCATCCTCCAAAAGCCTCCAAAATCAGCCACACATTTTTGCCATATAGCCTCAACCCTGCAAAACTTCATACTTTTTGTTCATACATCATCTCAATAAGGGTCAGTCATTCCAAAAATGTTGAAAAGACATGAATCTTGGACTCAGAAACATTCCCAATTTTGTTAGGAAATACTTTAAAAAAAATTCTTGACTCTCCATAGACTTTGAACACAACCACTGAAGTGGCTATGGATACATGTACTATGGCGTATGGTGCGCACATGTTGGACGCGACGCTGGAGACCAAGGCCAGCAGACTGCAACTTCGCGATTGTCAATCCCGTCTGCATAGTGCAGTACACGATACAGTACACTTCATGTGTATGGGCATTCTGTGTGCCGGTGTTATAGGCAAATCGGACTCCTTTTCCCTATTAATTATTGGTCAATCCCTCGCATGTGACCAGTCACTCTCCCAATTATCATACTTACGCATGCGCAATACTACCAACGAATCCATTTTTCATGGAGTCCGATATTCACACTACACCTGCATGCACAGCATTGGTTTTTCCCCCTTGGGTTTCCTCCATTCCATTCGGCATTAATAATAATACCCAGCGCTGCTTCTATCGCTTAATCTGATTGGTCCTTTGATTGTGGCACTCAATGAGTCAACCAATGGAAACTTTCTGGCAAGATCCACATGCATTTCTGCGCATACGCATTGTTCTCGATTTTTTTTCAGGATCAAGTTGAGTAGGCCTTCTAATTGATATTTTCACTTAATAATAACATTTTACTGATTTGCCTGAAACTGTTAGATGGATCCCATCATGGAGGAATAAGCACATTTCGTTGCATGTTTATTTTTATTTAAACAATGAACTGGATGCCGATGTGTGTCAGATTTTCAACGGTTGAATGGGATCTGATAGTGGTCTGCTATCCATGCCGTTGTCGTCACGTGTCGGACCCACTGTCATGACTGTCGTGTTCTACATGTAGACTCGTGCCTTTCGTGGTACGGCGCACAGCGGCATCTAGCCCCACTAGTGTGGCCGTCGGTATGCTGCGCTGAACCTCTGGCCACACACCGTGGTACCGCGCGCTACTGAGGACGAAGTTTTCATAAAATCTGCGGTCCGTTTCTTACATTCTCAGTTTCTTACTTTCTTATGGTTGTATTCTATGATGTCTCACCTATCACTTCTGGGATGCTTAGGTCTAATGATGTTCCATTTTCCGAGATATTCTTCAATCTTTCTGGAGCCCATATGCACTCGTGAAACGTCTGGTGATGGCAGCCATTTTGAATGGGACAAGAGATGACCTCAAGCTGTGACGTCGCGTTTATGCAAATTGCTTGTCGAGCGCGCGAGGGCGCGAGTTGCGAATGCGACGGCTGTTTCCTGTACCATGTATTTATCGTCAGGGGGCCACGTGCACCGATCTCTATTCAGGATCTACGGCACAGGAAACAGCCGTCGCATTTGCAACTCGCGCCCTCGCGCGCTCGACAAGCAATTTGCATAAACGCGACGTCACAGCTTGAGGTCATCTCTTGTCACATTAAAAATGGCTGCCATCACCAGACGTTTCACGAGTGCATATGGGCTCCAGAAAGATTGAAGAATATCTCGGAAAATGGAACATCATTAGACCTAAGCATCCCAGAAGTGATAGGTGAAACATCATAGAATACAACCATAAGAAAGTAAGAAACTGAGAATGTAAGAAACGGACCGCAGATTTTATGAAACTTCGTCCTCAGTAGCGCGCGGTACCACGGTGTGTGGCCAGAGGTTCAGCGCAGCATACCGACGGCCACACTAGTGGGGCTAAGCGGCATCTAGCCCCACTAGTGTGGCCGCGGTATGCTGCGCTGAATCTCTGGCCACACACTGTGGTACCGCGCACTACTGAGGACAAAGTTTTCATAAAATTTACAGGCAGTTTCTTACATATGGTTGTATTCTATGATGTCCCATCTATCACTTCTGGGATGCTTAGGTGTAATGATGTTCAATTTTCCGAGATATTCTTGAATCTTTCTGGAGCTCATATGCACTCGTGAAACGTCTGGTGATGGCAGCCATTTTGAATGTGACAAGAGATGACCTCAAGCTGTGACGTCGCGTTTATGCAAATTGCTTGTCGAGCGAGGGCGCGAGTTGCAAATGCGACGGCTGTTTCCTGTTCCAAATAAAAATTAAAATAATACCCTGCGCATGCACTGCGTGGGCATCGATGTCGACGGCTTGGACGACGCGCGCGACACAGGAAACAGCCGTCGCATTTGCAACTCGCGCACTCGCTCGACAAGCAATTTGCATAAACGCGACGTCACAGCTTGAGGTCATCTCTTGTCACATTCAAAATGGCTGCCATCACCGGACGTTTCACGAGTGCATATGGGCTCCAGAAAGATTCAAGAATATCTCGGAAAATTGAACATCATTACACCTAAGCATCCCAGAAGTGATAGATGGGACATCGTAGAATACAACCATATGTAAGAAATTCCCTGCAAATTTTGTGAAAACATCCTCAGTAGTGCATGGACCACGGTGTGTGGCCTTAGGTTCAGCGCAGCATACCGACGGCCACGGGGCTAAGCGGCATCCATATCCACCACCACCAAGATTAAGAAGACGGTCAACAGATCGATTGTTCACTAAAATAATGAATAATGAACAATGTAAACAAAGCTGCTTGTCATGCTTGTCATGTTAGAACACAAATCTAAAATTTTATGGCCTAAAAACATCACAAAATTTGACAAACAAAAAGGAAACAAAAGCCTCACACTCAATCTCAAAGAAATAAAACTTAAACTTTCTGCCAATTATTTTTTCTTATAAATATATATCTTGATCATGTCCATGTTTTTTAATCATAAGTCCTACGCAATAACTTGGCATTTTTGTCAACTAGTTTTAGTGGGTAACTTAACTGTCATTGTCAGAGAGTGGCACGCGTGTCCAGGATCTAGGACCGGACACGGGCGTTTCTGACACCATGATCATCGTACATGTCGTATGATCGTACGCCTTTTTATCAATCATGTTGAACTGCCATTTCCCCCGAATCCCCGGATTTTTCTTGCACTAAATTCCTTCTTCCTAAAAGCTTGACCATTCAGAACTGACAAGTAATTATTCTTACCTAGGTTCCAGGGCTTGTTCTAACATATCCATGTGGTTTTGCCGAAACTAAGGACCACAAACGAATCAGGGAAGCAGTACAAAGTCACGGGAACAAACACTAGGTCATGTGGGTGTACATGTGACATTGAAACAAAATGGCCGCAACCTTCGTCCGCCTGCCTTCCTATTCTTTATCGTTGTTTGTGCGCTTTTAGATAGGGTGATTTGGCAAGATATATCGCTCCGCTGGGCCAAAATCCACTTCAACTTTTTACATTCTAATTTTTTTTCTAATCTTCAAAAGACTGTCTATTCATTCATGTAAAAGTATACTTTGATTATTATTCGTCACAATGAGTAGTTTTAAATTCTTTTTATCCCAGTTTTGTTATCTATTTTCTAACAAGCGTAGGAATTATCTGTTTACGGTTCGAGGATGCGTGCAGCGGCTACGATAAATTAATGACGTCATGGCACCACCTGATATTAACCAATCACATGACTTGGATTAAAAGCTATCGCATCATCACATAAAATGTCGGTCATTATTGGCGCGATATTATGTCATTACATTTTGGTATTATTTGAAGTATTTTTAAGACAGTCGGTAATGGTGGTAATAGTATTAAGTCCGCGCTCGCTGGCAAGATGCCCGCCAGCAAAAATGGACGCGGTAAATTTTGAAGAAATTTAAAATCCGCAGTCATCTACCTCAATTAATTAAAGTAAACCATAGTCAATTGAGACAATAATTTTGAGGACAAATTTTCCCAATAATTTTCTTTCGATTTTGGCTTTTGATTTTCCGAAAACCTGGCGCCCTTATGTCACTTACGGTCTTGAATATATGAAAAAAGTTCATGTTCAAACTCTTCATAATAAATATTTCTGAGTATAGTCGTGTACCCTAACGTGGCGCACTTCGAAGCTTACCCAACTTTCCTCGTGTAGTGTTGCCAAACCTCTTTGTTGACAAACCTCAAATTCATGCAGTAAAATACTGGTACTTTGACCTTATTAATGCATGCTATTTAACCTCTGTGAACTATTTCGGTTTCATAAAATTTAATCCAAAATTTAAAAACGGTGGCGTCCGGAAATTGGGCACAAATTCACGGAGTGTTCCCTAACGTGGCGCACTTAAATAAATATCGGAAAATTCCAAATTAACATTTAAGAATTTCTGTTAACTTGATAAATTCTGATAAATCATTATTATCTCTACTTACATACCCAGCCAGATGTTTGTCAGTAAATTATTTTCTTATTTTTCGGGGCATTTTCAAAGTGTTCACTTTGCACTTGAAAATAAAATCGGAAAATCACGCCAAAATAATTTTTTCTTCTAACTTTGTAACGGATGAATAAAATCACGATTTATGAACGGGAGTGTTTAGAACTTGATGAAATGTCACTTTCTGTGAAATTTCAGTTAAAACTTTTGCTCTAGCTAGGCGCTACAGGCGAAAAATCAAAGTGCGCCACGTTGGGGGCCGCGCCACGTTAGGGTACATCAACAATATAGGCCTATAATGCCGAAAGTAATTCACACAATACAAAAGTTAGCACGATACAATGAAAGGCAACTCAAAGGGAAAACGATTTGGAAGGAAAATTTCACTTTTATTTATTAAAAAGTATGATAAAATTGCCTAATAGCAATAACAAGAATAAGGGTATTTAAATCTACTTGGCCGAATGCAGTTACGCTTCTAAATTAAAGCAAAAATGAGTTGTTTGTACAAAATACGTCACATCTCTCCCGGGCGCGGACCTCTAGCTTAATTCCAAACATTTTTTTATTTTAGACTTCTAACGAATTTTCAATTTGAGTATGATTTTTTTACACCAGTTTGTATCAGTTTTAATTTCGGGTTGCATTGCGCGTCGAATAAGTTCACCTCAGTTATACGGGCTGAAAACAATATTGCACTTTTTAGGTGGGATCTTTTTTTGGAAAATAAGTGGTATATATATAATATAACTTCATGAATGAACTATGAAATGCATAACTGTGTTTTATTTCTCCATGCTCTATCCGAACTTTCAACATGGACCTTGGACATTCGGTAATGGATTTAGTTTCGTTCGATGATCGTTAAGCACATTCTAATGCCTCCTGGTATTTTCTAACTAGGTGATGCCCAATGTCGTCACGTCCAAGTTCAAACATTGCATTGGCAAGTTCGACGGCTGTTTCATGAGGAGCGCTCATCTTCAAACTCTTCCCCCGCCAGTCCCTCAGGACTGCGAACAGCCGTTCTTTCGGCGGGAAGCCTCGCTCGATGCTGCCGATGCGGTTGTCAGGGAGACCGAGTGAGTGCGCCACCGTACGCCAATCTCGAGAGAGGCTGGAGGCGATGAGGAGCAACTCTTCGTCACACAAAGGCCCTTTAACACAAAACAAAGACAAGCAAATTCATCTTATTCTTAAATAAAGTTGATTTCAGAAGATGATTATATAAAATGTACGTGTAATACTTTACTGATCGATCTTTGAAGAGATTCAAACGAAGTCAAACATGCTTACGCTTTGTTTTAAGATTGTTTGCGTAACATCCAAAAGAATATTAGGCCGTATGATTTTCAGTGTTTTTACGTCAGTGAGTTTGTGGGGTATTGTGTCTAAGATGTTTGCTTGTTTATTGGGTTGTTTGTTTGTTTGTTTGTTGTATGTTTTTCTCACCTTTCGGTGCCGTGACGGGTACATCTGAGCATATTCCGAAGTAGGTGGTTGGATCGCCGTATCGTGGCATATTGATAACGGAACAGACTACAGAAAATAAGGAAGAAAAGATGATATTATAAATACTAATACATAATTCCTTACATTTTTAAAAGAAAAAAAATCCCAAATTTCATGTAGGCATTCCCATTCATTTGTCGACGTCTTGTTTGTTGTAATACTCTTACATGAATTTCACGTTAATTTTACTTTAATTATCTGCGTATCCGCATCATCAGTTACAAGTGCCATCCGGCCGTTTGTATTCAAAGGCAGAATACATTGTATTAGATAAAAGTACCAATTATAAAACATGACAAATACATTTGCCGACGTGCAGAAACGACGCAGGCCTGATGGACACGTTAACTCAGGAATTAACTGATGCATTGAATTCAGTTTCAGCCAGCAGATTGGTCATGATAAATAGGAAAAACGCACAGAATATTTAGGCAACAAATTGTAGTTCTCTCCGTTAATATTGTATTTGTCAACACCGAAAAAACGCGCGTATCTGCAATCACAGTCGATAGAACATTTGCATATTTACTATTGTACAGAAACGACACACTAACTCATGAATTAAGTGATGCATTGAATTCACTTTAAGGCACTGGCAGATTGGTCAAGACAGATATGAAAAACAACACAGAATATTTAGTCATTAAATTGTTATTCTCTCCGTAAATAATATAATTGGCAACACCACTTCACTACTGTAGCTGTATGATATGAAGTGGTTGATTTTCCTTTTGGAGATTTTGTAGATTTTCTTAATGACATGCAAACGATGACTGAACAACACATGTATTTTTTTTAGTTATCGTGTTTACCCCCAGCATGTTGTTTTTGTTCCATTAAAGTTGACTTTAATTCGGATTTGTTTTTCGAGCTGACACCACTCGTTTGCTTTAAATGTATTTTATAAAGATTTTAAAGATCCCTTTTGAAATTTAATGGACTTCCTTATAATATTTCGATCGATAACTGAATAAATTTGCTATTGAATTACACCTTTATTTTTGGAGTTATCGTGTCCACAACGAGTGCGTTGTTTTGGCTCAGTGATAAGTTGACTTTAATTCGGATGTTTTTCGAGCCGACACCACTCTACTTCTTTAACTGTATTATATAAAGTGTTTGATGTTCCCTTTTGAAATTCAATGGTTTTCTTTTGAACAGAACGATCGATTACTAAATACAATTTCAACTGAACAACACCTGTGTTTTTGGAGTTATCGTGTCCACAACGAGTGAGTTGTGTTCCATTGGATTTAGTTCTGTGTGGACAAAATCGGCAGTGACCATGATTTGTGTAGCGCGCCCTCTTTTGACATAAAATGTTTGTTGGAAAATGTGTATGGATATAAATACTCTTTGACATCACTCTATTGCTTTAAGTGTACTATAAACAGTGTTTGATGTTCTCTTTTGAAATTTAATGGACTTCCTTATAATATTTCGATTGATTACTGAATAGATTTGCTGTTTTATTACACCTATATTTTTGGAGTTATCGTCTCCACAACGAGCATGATGTTTTTGTTCCATTAAAGTTGACTTTAATTCAGATTTGCTTTTCGAGCTGACACCACTCTTTTGCTTTAAATGTATTTTATAAAGTTTTTAAAATCCCTTTTGAAATTTAATGGACTTCCTTATAATACTTCGATCATTTACTGAATACATTTGCTATTGAATTACACCTTTATTCTTGGAGTTATCCGTGTCCACAACGAGTGCGTTGTTTTGGCTCAGTTATAAGTTGACTTTAATTCGGATGTTTTTCGAGCCGACACCACTCTACTTCTTTAACTGTATTATATAAAGTGTTTGATGTTCCCTTTTAAGATTCGATGATTTTCTTTTTAACATAACGATCAATTACTAAATACAATTTCAACTGAACAACACCTGTATTTTTGGAGTTATCGTGTTTACAACGAGTGAGTTGTGTTCAATTGGATTTAGTTTTGTGGACAAAATCGGCGGTGACCATGATTTGTGTAGCGCGCCCTCTTTTGACATAAAATATTTGTTGGAAAATGTGTGTGGATATAAATACTCTTTGAAATCACTCTATTGCTTTAAGTGTACTATAAACAGTGTTTGATGTTCTCTTTTGAAATTTAATGGACTTCCTTATAATATTTCGATTGATTACTGAATAGATTTTCTGTTTAATTACACCTTTATTTTTGGAGTTATCGTCTCCACAACGAGCATGTTGTTTTTGTTCCATTAAAGTTGACTTTAATTCAGATTTATTATAAGATGGAATTTTGCGTCGGGGTGATATAAATCAAATTAGGTTTTGCCCTTCACCGACGTTTTTTAAACACTGTATACTTCACTTATTTAATTCAGATTTGCTTTTCGAGCTGACACCACTCTTTTGCTTTAAGTGTATTTTATAAAGTTTTTAAAAATCCCTTTTGAAATTTAAT